AAGGCGTAGTTGCGACGAATCTCCGCGGATCGGCAATTTCGAATAGAGCCTACGGTCTGAATTACCGACCAGCGAGGCAATCGTATTGGTGGTGTTACTGTAAATCTCAATTGTACCATAGTCGAAGATGTCGTTAATCACCATGCTTGCGGGTTTCAGTGTGCGCGCTTTGACTGTCGATTACTAATGCAGCCTACCGACCCACGCCCCCATCGCATTCATCCGCACTGCCACATGTTCATCAGACGAAGCGCACCGAGTCCTCATACGGTATGCCGTCCGACGCGTCGTTTGCGTACTTGCAAGTGAACACTTCAGCCGTACTTCACGTGGTGACGACGGCAGAAAGGATGTCCACGAGTGCTCCACATCCTCATTAGGCTAATCAATCGCCGCATACGTACCTAAGGTCTGCGGTGCGCACTCACTCCGTCCCAGCCATACACTCGAGTATCCAAGGGACCATTGACCGACATCAATCACCTGCATCCCAGACAAAGACAATAATTAACACGAGGCTAGACTGCCAACTGAAGTGAGTCGCCGTCCTTTAGTTGCCCCGCTTCTGAACGTTTACCCCTCATCACACCATATCAGACCTCACGAAAGCGCAGGAATAGTGACAGCCGTTCATAGCGTTTGAGCCATCCAACTAATCAGAGCGATTTAAATCAGACGTACCAAGCCTAGCCCATCACCAAACTAGATCAGTCACATCGACGCTCGTATCATGTCTTCTACCAAGGCTTTCACCTTTCTGCCACTGGGCGCCATCATCCAAAAGTTCACCGTGAACGGAAAGAACATTGTTCAAGGCTTCCCATCTGCAGAGCTGTACAAGCAGTACAACGCCCCGTACTTTGGTGAGACCATTGGCCGCATCGCCAACCGCGTATCCAAGGCGAAGATCAACGACCTCAATGGAAAGTCATACCAGCTACCAGTAAACAACGGCCCCAACTCTCTTCACGGCGGAAACCTTGGTTGGGGAAAGCGAGAGTTTGAAGGACCCTCTACAGTCGACCGTAATGGAAAGGAGGCCACCTTTTTCAAATACATTAGCAAAGATGGCGAAGAGGGCTACCCTGGTACTGTAGAGGTACGCGTGTGGTATGTCCAAGCTAAGGAGGAAGTGGACGGTGCTCAACAGGAAGTCCTGTACATCGAATACGAGGCTGAATTGGTTGGCGATGAAGTCGAAGAGACTGCAATCAACATGACCAACCACAGGTAAATCCCACGCCAGACTTTATATGGATATCGTACTGATAGCGTACATAGCTACTTCAACTTATCCGGAGGGTCCACTATCACTGGAACAGAAGTCAACCTCATCACAAACAAGTACCAAGTCGTAGACGATGGAGGTATCCCCACTGGACCTATTGAAGAGTACCCTGGCGTCAGCGCCAAAAAGACCTTTACTTTAGGCGAAAAAGAGCCCGACATCGACGACTGCTTCGTTGCCAACACCGACCCCAGCAGCATCCCCATTGACACTCGCTCCTTGCCTCTGCAAAAACTCGCTTCTTTCTACCACCCAGAGAGCAAGATTCACCTTGAAATTCATTCGACTGAACCAGCCTTCCAGTTCTACACTGGCAAATATATCGATGTACCTGCTGTTGGCGATGTGCCTGCCAGGGGCGCCCGTGCTGGCTTCTGTGTCGAACCGAGCCGCTACGTAAACGCCATCAACGTTCCCGAGTACAAGTCTATGATGACCCTCAAGAAAGGTGAAAAGTACGGCACTAAGATTGTATACCGCGGCTGGTCAGCTTGAGTCTTCTTTGAATCGCCTATATAGGATGTTTATTCCTTATCAAGAACAGAAGCTAGCTCCAAACCAAGATAACATTGATTCGTCCGCTGGTCACCTCCATAACTCACGATAGCGAATTTTCCTCTTGATATTTCTCGTTCACATTCTGTATGAGGCTGATGATCGCCGTATCACACTGGATACTGAGCTCAAGCGCACAATCACGTAAACCTTATCTCTACTCACGTATCGCTCGTGTCTCTGTTAGCCCCGATGGGTCTAACTATCTAGCAGCTCATCGTCCAGCAGTCCAACATTTCAGCACTTTTACCAACCCCAGCCCTAACAGTTATGACTCGGCTTTCCCCGTCCGAAGACCTAGACCTGCAGACCTCCGGCAACTGGCCCACAGCACTACGTCACACAAACGTGGTCTCACGGCTGCCTAACGTCTAGCTTTGGGTCCGGTGAGCGATAAAGGCTCTATTGCCGTTTATCCGTTTTCCAATTACCCCAGTCAGAAAAGCTTACACAAATCTCATCTTTTCCGATGGCGACTGGCCTATGCTCTTCCCCTTGTCGACAATATCATGCTAGGGTCAAGAACACAAATCAATCTCTGCGGCCCAGCAATGCGCTCCCAACGCTCACTGATACATGAATGCGCACAGAACGAATTCATGAATCAGCGGCGATACTGAACAGACCCTGTAAAACGCGATATGTATCCTTACCTCGGAATGAAATGACGGTTACCTGAAGCACGCGGCTTTTGACGTCAAACTGCAGTTGCCGATCCTATGGAATTTGTTGGAGCTCTCTCCGCATTTCACCATTTCCCTAATGTTCCTGCATCGTCTTTTAGTCGCCTTGTCAGTATGCATCTGTCTGTACATCGTTGCGACATGTGCTTGCACATGATGGTTGGTGCAGCGGGAACAATTGCGAAGTCTGGTACCGGGTAAGGATCATTGATGCGGCGTGACCTGGGCATCGTCAAACATCGACCTACTTGTAGACAATAACAAGAGCGGTGCTGATGATCAACACCATCTCCATAGTCAAACAGAGCCTCTCTCGAATGAGCCTGGGAAAGGATATGCGATCAGTACACCGAGCACCAATCAGAATTGTGGAGAAGCCTTGGCCGAACCGCTGAAAGTAGTGTAGTTGTGCAGCCTCCCTTTCCCCGCTGCGTGTCGCTCTTTTCGGTACCACAGGTCTGGGATCTTTCACACCCTAGTCATTCGATGACATGAGGTTGCGCGAGCGTATCCAGTCGATCTTTCAGTTCTCTTCCACATGTTTCCAAGATTTCCTCGGCCGACCAAGGGAATTATCGTACGACCGCTACCGTCGGCGTTACGACTGATAAGGCCACCAAATACGATGTAAGTAGCTGACTTTGCACTCTATCGCCGATTACATGTCCCGCATATCACAACACATGCGCATCGACACCAGCATCATACTCGCGCAGTAAATGATTCCAGACAGCGGCATCTAAATTAGGCTAAGGGGCTCGATACACTTTCTCTGCTCGACCACAGCAGACGTGCGAAGTTTTCTTTTCGATACACGCCCAACATGTGCTAAAATATCTAAGCTCCGTTCGCTAACTAAGAACAAGTAAAAGAAGCAAAGCCATGCGGCTAACTTAGATGTACCGAAAGTATATTGGTGTTCTCTGAGGTTTGCCGATCTCAATGCCGAACACAATGAGTACTCTTAATGTTTGTACTATGAGGAATTGAGCTCACGGTGGCTGACATGGGATTCTTGACTGAGCCACACGGTAGATGATGGGATTCAGCTAGACCTTCAATCACATGCGCTTGCGTGCCTGAGCGATGCCCGGGAAGCATCTACGCCCAATATATCCACAGTACCCGCCTGCAATGCACGACGGTCACTTTTCCATCCACATCCCCTTAGACCAACGATCCTTCGGCTCAAGCCGAAATTCCATCTAGAACATTGACCACCACGAGAAACCTGGCTTTCCCCCATGCACACGACGCGATCCCACAAGCCAATGGAACGCCTTACGACCCTCCGTTCCCACGCAACTGTTTCCGATACAGACAAGCCACGCTACCAAACCTCCATAGCCTTAACCGTTAATCTCGTACGGGCCTAATACGACAGTTTGCATCGAGTCTATCCTCGACTATATCCAGAATCTAGCAAAACGGAAACCTGTTTCGAGACACTATTCCCTGTCCATATCTGGAAACATGGCATATGCAATATGCATAACCAACGAACCATCACTTGGGTAAGTAGAGAAACAGCACTAGAAAGGGAACGCTACATGCACACGATTGTCGATTTGTCGATCTCCCGAAATGTTTCGGGGAGGGCAGTTATCGGTCCTCAGTTCGGATACCGGCACGGTCCTTATCCGATACCATTAGATGACTAAAGGGGGCAGGGCGGATCGAACTGATTTGTTTGACGCCTTTGCGCGATGACGTCGACGATCGTGAACTGTGTGTTGTTCGCGATGTCGATGTTGTCTTAGTAGCGAAGGATGGTTGGGCTGGGTTCAATATTGGGTTCACTACTGATATGGTGATATAGCGTGAACAGGCATTGCTTTTCACACGTGGACCAGGGCAAAAGCAATCATTTTTCCTTGGTGTTCGTCTGAAGACAAGAGGAACATACCGATGCAGTGCCAAGTGAGTTATTTCTTGCTTCTTCGCATCGAGGCTGGGAGGACCGGAAGGATTAGCATAATACATATGTATCGACGTAACATGCCATCAACAGTACCAACGATCGAAGTGAAGTGATTTTGCTCTTTCATGTTTTTGCAATCGGTCAATGGTCTTGATGATTTGCGCATTGCAGCGAGCTTTACAGTGTTCAGTCGCTCGCCGGATCGACCTATTGAACGGCAAGTATTCAGCGTAGACGACAGGCATAACGACAGGAGGGAACAGCGGCAAGGTAAGTCGACTAAAACAAGTAGGGGACGGTAGTGATAAATGCTCGAAATTCACTAGACACACCTAAGCTACATCAATAGATGCTAATAATCGCCAAGGACAATGATACTTCATGGTAGGCCACATGTAATCCTCCACAGTACACGTCGGCGAATCTATAGAGCCCTTAAATGCACCAAAACTCCTCGCTATGCAGTATGCGTGCTCATCCATGGTGAAGGATATCCATGTGTTGGGTATTGCTCGTGCGATCATATCGTCCCTTACACGTTGGAAGACGACCCTTAGAAATTCTTCTTAGGCCTCATGTCCACAATCTCCAACGGTGCGTCGGTCAGTTCGACTACATGACCTGGCTTCAGCGCTTCCGTGTAGATGTTGTCTACGTCATGAGGATGAAAGATGCCAGGTCGACTACAGTTGAGAATGGCTTGTTTGCCCGGGGGATCGGTGAGGCGGAAACAACCCCAGCTGTAGCATAGTCAGTATCTTGAATGCGACCAGAGATGATTATTGGCATACCTAGGCTGTTTTGTCGGTGCGCAAACGATTGCGATGCTCTCTGGCATCATGACCTGATATCCGACGTGTGTGTGTAAGTCTCTGCTGCTCATAAAGCAGGTCTGCGTTGGATGTGTATGAATCCAGCCAAGGACCATCAACTCCTCTTTGTCGCAGTAATCGAATAACTCCTCTTCGTTCAACGTTTCGCAGGTGTCGCTCGTGCTAGTTTGTTCGGGGATGATGAGCCGTGTGATGAAGAGGGCATTGGACTTCAATATTCCACCCAACATACCACATGTTTCGAGGTTGAGACGTGTGTTAGAAGATGCGACGGCGAGGAACTGATTGCGAAGTTGGGATGGGAGGAAAACGGGACGAAGGGGGTCGCCATTCTCGAGAAACGCAGAAGGCTTAAATGTGAACTCGTCGAGTTCGGTGGAAGGAGTCAACGGTCTTTGGTCGGGTATCTTGCTTGGTAGAGGTGGCGCGCTTTCCGATATCTTGCCTGGGACAGGTGGTGGCCGCGAGCGGTCGAACCGGGCATCATATGTGGAGGCTAGAGATTTAGGCGGCAACGGTGGTGGCGCTGAGGGTGTTCCGGATTGTCTGTATATCTGCTCCTTTGGAGGTCGCGCAGGCGCTGTGCCGCGCGACTGAGAATCAGACCATCTATCTTGGGCAGTCTTGTATGGGACAGTAGGGTAGTGATACGGAGACGCGGACTGGGACGCAGGACGCTGAGTCTGTCAGCACATGAGCCACAAAATTGTCGCATGAAGCTTACCAAGGAATACGATGTCCTGTGACCATTCTGTTGAAGCCTTGCGACTTCTTGTAGTTGGTTTGAAATATCGTCTCCATCGCCCCCTTGCTGTCCCAGCTCGTTCTGCCAGCTGTCCCATGTGCCTTCACTATGGCGTGTCTGTTCCTCCTCTTTCGACAAACCATGCTGTTGCACACCTCTTCTAATGGTATCTCTCCTCCGCACCTCCCTCTGCGCTAGTCTGGCTGCCAGTGATTGGTTTTCCAGAGAGCGTGCATCGATTGTGGGTCGAGAATCGAATGACCTTCTCTTCGACCCTCGGTCTTGAATCGCCAGCCCATCCAACTCCTGCGGAAGAGTCCTAACGCCATTTCCTTCCAAGGATCTCAGGGCCTCCTTTTGTCTCCGTCTCCTTTCTTCATGTTCCTCGTGCCTCTTCTTGATGCGCGGCGCTATTTCCTCGAGCTTCTTCAGGTCCCGACTGACGGCTGCCGTTGCAGCATTCAGCGCTTTCCGATTTTCGGGTTTATTTCTGTCCGGGTGGCCTTGTAACTTCTGAAGGACGAGATCGGCGTGTCGATACAGGAGGAGATAGGTTTGCGCGTCGTTGCCTTCTGCTTCGTAGACTTGGGCCTCTTTCTGCATAGTACTGGCTGTGCGCAGCCAGTTGGCCAACGGAATGTGCGCATTGTATGTGTAGTTCCCAGCTTGTTCCGTTACCTCAGGGAGGCTCACGGGGGTGTTGATGGTAGCCATTGTGGAGAGTGAGTGTTGCGGATGCGGCGGGGTGGGCACGAGGTACAGGTACCTGGGTATTCGCGAATTGAGCCTCAAGGCAACAACTTATCGACAAGCAGGACCGCTACCGGTGCGGGTGGAGGTGACGCGTCCTCATCAGCGATATTTGGAAATTACTTCCAGCGCTGCATGAAGATGAGGCTTGTGGCACTGTGATGGGTGATGCTGGATCAATGGCGGGGCAGTCAGGGCCCTGGTGCGGCGCGTGGCAAGCACAGCCAGTCCAGCATGACATAGTTGGGCATCAAACACAGACAACTCGAAGAGAATAGGCACAAAGGGAAGATGGTGCAAGGGGAGACCATGGCGACCTCATAACAGGAATTTGATAGCAGCGATGTTCCATATGCAGGGTAACAAAGGCGGCAGCGCGTGTTCACGTGTGATGACATCGATGTACAGGTCCACAGAGTCTAATCGCGTCTACTATCCAAACATACGGAACAATAATAAATAGCATCTAGCAACATCCTGTTGCCTTTCATCTGTCCTCCGAGTCCTCGGACAGCTTGTCCCACTCGCTGTCGGTTGATATATCGCCAGTTGATTCCCCCATTCCTTTCCTTCTCTTCAGCGCATCCTCTACAGGTGCCGCAAGACTCGTCGTCGCTCCCGTAGTACTCGCAGCGGTAGGGCCTCCACGACCAGCAGAAGCAGCAGCTTGTGCTGGGCTGTCCGATTCACTTCCGTCGGGCCTCTCGACAAATACGGTACTCTGCGTTTCTGGGCGCGGCGCACGCGGCGGGTTCGGCTTGGGCTTGAGAGTCTGCTTCTGCTCGACCTCGGTATCCACTTCAGTATCGTCGCCTGTATCCATTCCCTCTCCATCGTCGCCTGCATCACCCTTCTCTTTACCGCTCCTTCTAGCTTCTCGGATACGCTTTGCTTCCTCCTCCTTCGCTTGCGCAGCCTTCAGCTCTGTCGCGAACCAGTTAATCGACCACCAAAGCCCTCCGCATAGAATCGAGAGGATGACAAAGTGTATGCTGTAGGTCGCAATGAGCATGACGAACAGAAGGACCTGAAGCGCGGCGAACGAGGCGTTTGTTGCGATAAGGAGGGTGGGCGTCGGCCCCGCAATGAAGATGGACTCCCATAGCTGTTCGAAGAAGGATGCCATGGTGCACGTTTGTATTTCGGTTCGTCGAGTGGTTGATAGTCGTGTGTTTGTCCAGTGCTTTAGAAACTGTCGTACTGTACTTGTACGGTCCCACGATACGGCTGCCTAGCGAAGTGAACAGAGTGTAATGTTAGGTAATGCGATTCCGCAAACGTATGTCGAATTGGAGTGCGAATGCGGCTGGGCCGTTTACCAGCGCCAGAGTGAACTGACGTAGCGGCGTGCTGGAAACTGGAGAGAGGCTCGATTGCCGTTTGACGTTTCGGCGGGGCTGGCTTCGGCAGAGCTGTTTAAGCTAAACCCTGACCCTTCTCTTACCGCGTCACGCGTCGTGACCATTATATTACTCCGGCCACTAACCGTTTAGACGCAGCAATCATGCCTCGTGATCTATGATTACTGTATCAAGACTTCAATACCTCTCGTCCGGCTCCCCATCCATATACATCTGCAAAACATATTTACTAAATATGCAGAGGCTCACTGCACCGCCGAGCTGAAAGGCAAATTGCAAAAGCGCCAACAAAGAGTGAGGTGGGTAGAGATAGGTAGGACGCAAGCAGCACTTACCGTTACCAGTAACCATGTCTTCTTCCTTCAGGACGGCTGATACGGCTGTGTACGGTAGACTGATCGCACAGCCAGCACCAACACCACAGACGATAAAGTATGCAGCCCACATGCCATGGGACGTGTTGTCGTTGAGCATTACAATGAGTCCAGATCCTAACTGTATGTGTTCTGTCAGTTGATGTGGGTGAAGTACGCCACGCAGATCCTACAACGCTCAGCCCGGTACCCAACATAACGAATGGCGTCTGTCAAGGCTCAGTCTAGGAATTGCGAGATCGTTCTTTGGGAACTCACGTAATATCCTAACCTCGAAACCAATGCTCCCACTACCACTACAGTCAAGATCTGTGTCAGAGTCAAGAGCAGAATTTCTGCCCCGCTCCTTTGCACGCTGAGCGCTTTGCGGTTTTTGTTACAACGGGAAAAGAACCTTGCATCAATCCTGCTGCTCCGCATCCCGCTACCACTCTTCCAATGGTGAAGACAAAAGATGAAAACACTGTTGCGCATACTAGACTACACTACCAACTAGTCATCTTGTGGGCTACAACATCCTTTTTAGTCTCCCTCTCTGCCAAGATGAATCGGAGAACTATAATATACTTTGCGTACTACTATGTTCCATCGAACCCACTTATGATGATACAAGGATGCGTGAAGATATGTAAGACGACGCTGCAGAACAGTTCAGCTGAACAGTAGCGCAGGTACCCGCCAGTCGCCGTCCATGGATCCGCTTGTACGGCTCGAGTGTGATAACGTTAGGGGTCTTCTGTTCAATCGACCATTCTCTACATACGGATAGGTACCGAGTTATATTGCGAACGGTACGGAGGGATGGAAAGGCAGGCAAGATATTAACGTCACTGTTCATTTGGAGTAACTGTCACCCATCCCAGATACTGCTCCCACTCCCAGCAATCTACCCCGATCCTTGTCCTCCCTCATCCCCTACCAGCCTCCCCCTCCACAGCCCCATAATGTTTCAGAAACCTCCCCCAAACAACCCTCCCTCCCATTTCCGCAACAGCAATCGGCCACAATACCCTCCCAGCCCCGTCCTCCCAGCCAATCGGTCTCACCCCCTCAAAAGCATCTTCATACTCAGGCGCCGCACTCATATACCCGGGGTCAACCGTATTCATAGCAACACGCTTCCCGCGCCACGCAGACTCTGCCTCCGTTTCGGTGAGCATATTGAGTGCGGCTTTGGACATGTTGGTGTGGACGTGTTTACCTCGTTTAGCGGATGACGAGGTGTGGGTTTCGAAAATGCCTTCGCGAGAGGAGACGTTGATTATGTAACCTTGAGGTTTGGTAGGAGGAGAAGGAGGGTTGGTACTGTTGTTGACCTTGCTGTAGCCCATTAGGGGGAGCAGTTCGCGGCAGAGGATGAAGGGGACGAATGTGTTGACCGATAGAGCGGAACCGACATCTTCGTAGGGTATCTCGGATATGGATTGGACCCAGGAGGATTTAGTGTAGGGCTCCAGTTGCATGGTTGTTTCATGCGATAGATCGAGCGTGTCCGCGGTATCTACGTTATCTGTTCGCCCTTCTGGAAAGCCTAGTGTAGGCAAACTATTCGAGGTAGCGTTCTCCAGTCTCGGTGGCAATTCCCGCCCCCGGACTCTGGATTTGTAGCTCCCCTCAATCAACAATTCCTGGTGCGTTATACGTCTGCTCAGATCATTCTCTCGCTTCACAGCACGTTCTTCTTTTTTTACGCTGTCAGTGAGTGTCTGCGCTGCGTTGTTGATCAACGCAGACAACCTTACGTCCCTTCCGTTAGCCCATTGCTTCAGACATTGTTTCGTTTCGAGGACTAAATTATGCGCATCTTTCGCAGACCTGAAATCTGCACCTATCACTCGTAACCTATTCCTCCATATATGCGAGTCGGGTTCTTCGATATACCGCAATATAGCATCATGCGGATACCGTGTCGTGGCGATTACCTGGGCACCGCAACGCAGAAGACGCAGCGCCGTGTGGTAGCCGAGATTAACCCTCGCTCCTGTAACAAGTGCAGTGAAGGTTTTTGGTAAGACCAGCCTTGATGGAGTTGAAAGCAGCGAAGAAGAGTGGTTGAAAGATCCACAGGGTATACACATGGACGATTGAGGAGGGTATGGGTTGGTCATAGCCATTCGACAGATGTAACACAAACGCTTGCGTGGTGTCGGTGGAGGTCTTGGAATTTCTGCCTTGTTTGGAACGAATTCCGAGTTTGTGCGTCGAACGGGAGCAACTCGCTCCTCTAACCAAGCCATGATAGTGCCAGCTGTGGTGTCTCGCTGGATTACAGCGGTCTCTTGCAGATGGGCAATGACTTTTAGGGTGGCCGAGAGCTCTGAAGGAAGTAGTGCGTGTTCAGCCATTTCCATCTCGTGGACTGTTCCATCTGGCGTTGTATTCGATCCACTGTTCCTCAAGTGCCGGCGAATCCTGTTGAGGATGTTCTCGTAGATGAGTTTTTTGATGTCGTGACTCAAATCAAGAGACGGTGCAAGGTACGCGGCAATAGCTGATCCTCTTTCCGTCTCATACTCCGGTAGATGGTAAGCTAGCCAACTACACGGCTTTTGAGCGCTGATGAGCGCCTCATCCTCTCGCAAGCGTTTGGATATTTCTTCTGGGGTCTCGGTGGCTGCGAAATGTGGTGCCTGTAGCGGCGAGAAATGTGCCATTATAGTAGACAGTGTTCTCGATGTAGAAAGTTAAGTTGCATTTGCTTCACCGATTCTTAGGAATGAACGGCTGTGGAGGTAGGTATATGGCTCGGTGGATGTAAAGCAATCCGCGTCACGATCCGACGAAGTGACGCTCACCAACAAACAGTAACAAAAACAGCTTTTACGACAACGCATCAAATACAATATTACCTTCTTCCTGATTCTAGAGGTAGCTCGAGGATTGAGCGCTCATGATGTGATTCGAGGTAATCATGTTGATGGACCTTGGTGGAGTCGGCGCGCCTTGCGCTACCAGCGCCCTTTTCGTGACTCAATCTTGGAACGCCAGGCAGCACTCTTTGATGAACGAAAAACGCAAACATATTTCTTTTTAAAGTATTGAGGACTATCTTGTATGATTTTGAATTAGAATTGACGAAGTCCTCGGTAGCACGGCAAGCGTACACGTAAAAGGATTTCGTGATCTGAGTTCCAAAGCTCGTGTCTACCTACGACGAGGAGCCCTTACCAAGGACAAAAAGAAGACAAAAGCCATGCTAGCAACCGCAAAATTCCAGCGCATTTCGAGAGATCTTGAGAAGCTCCCTTGTGAGCTCCACGGAGACATATTAGACGACCTCGAATTCGCGCAACTAATCCGGCTATCCTCGTGCGCCGGACCACGTCTCACTTGGTCCCTCGAAAACAGCCTATCGGCCTGGGGCGATTACTACCGTGCTGAGGATAGGAGCACATGGCAAAAACTGCTCTCCATCTCGGACAGCGTAAGATATCTGTGTTTCGTCCAACCAAAGTGCAAGGAAGATATACCATATATATTCAGCTACTTAAGCCGAGATTTCCTGTCATACCGCAACCAAGACTGGAAGGCAATCATACGCAGTCGGGCTCCGGGAGAAAGTGAGGCTCATGGCCGCTTTGTTGAACATCAATTCGCTAGAAACTGGTTTGTGGAACTAAATTCCATCGTCATGGTCACAACATGGTCCGCGTTCCACGAACACTACGCTCGTCTTATCGAACCAACACTTCCACAACTACCCCCACAAGCCAAGACTATCTTCTCCAAGATTCCTGAATTAGGCCGCAAAGACGCAGTCTGGTATAGTTACAGCAAACTTTCGCAGAACCCCCCGTTCAGTATCGATGATCTTGTAACTTTCATCGATATGTACCAACAGTTCCGTTTGCTCAGAGCACAAACACTGGCATCGGAGCTTTACCGCCTGGCGAATATCTACGAAGCCCATCCTACTCGTCTCAAGGAGCCGTTCGATCTTAGGGTTCGTGCACCTCACCCACTCAACGCCCAACATGTTCCTACTCATATGCGCCGGCAAGCAAGGAAGATGATCAGGAAGGCGAAGAATGGGAAGTGGAAACGCAGCGAAGGAAGCATTGTTCGCTTCGCATGGCCGGCCCTCGTGCCGTACGAGAGCGAGGTGGAATTGTTCTACCAGGGTCTTGCGAATACTGCAGATATACAAGTCGCGCCGGCCGAGATCGTGGACAAGTGTCGTGCTGTTATCACAAATGCACCATCTTGGGCGCAAGACAGTACAGAAGGAGAGGTGAATGCAGTGACGCATCTGTCTGGGTCGCTGGAGCAACAGCACGTAAGCTTGTATGGGCCCAATCCTAATGTCCGCATACGAGCTTACCAGGCGGAACAATCGAGGAGAGCACCTGTAGTCTTGCCTGTTCTTCCGCGTGGAGATGCGGAGTTAGAATGGCTAGAGAATTTCGCAGAGGTGACTGCTTGGATGAGGGAAAAACTATCCGATGATCTTCAAGATAGTCATTGAAAACAGCTTGATTATTCGTGCTCATACATGTACACGACTAGTATACATTCAAAGGGTACCAGAAGCGAGAAAAACATAGAACCCACCCATATAGTACATTCGTTTAGCGTCCTCCAACGCTAGGATGTCCCGATTTCAGATGCCCTTTGATATACATGTCGACATATTCCTGTGCAGGCCAGCCACCCCACTGTTCGACACTCTCGATTTGTGTCTTGATCAGAAGTGCTATGTCTTCTGGTGCGCCGGATGTGTAGTCGTTCCCTGACTCAGAACCCCCACCATCGACAGCTAATCGCAATGCCACGAGTGTCCTGAATAGAACGCTCCTGCCTGAGCGCTGTGCTTCTGTGCGTGCAGTCACTTCGGCATGATGTTTGGTGAGCCAGGTAGTGAAGGAGTAAAGGCCTTCGTAATCCCGGAGAATACCTAGTGCTCGTACATAGGCATGCAGCTCCGCAGATCCTGGAATATGTGGCGGAACGACGTTACCAGTTTGAAGACTCGTAGGTGATTGCATGTCGGCATTGGCACCGACTAAGGTATTGAAGAGCGTTCGAAGGCGAGGGGAACTAGTGGAGAGGACATGCCGCGTATCTTCAATAGAAGTGAAGCCTTGGTGGACGGCCTGAGCAGCATACAGGGTCGCGGTACAGACTAGACGGAAAACTTCGTCGTCAACATCGAGATCGATCTGTTCCATCTGCTCAAGGATGTCACAAATGAGTCTATACCGAGCAACACTCTCAATTTGCATAAAACCTTTCTGCCGTGCCAGCTTCTCTATGATGACAGCCCAAGCCGGTCGGTAAACCGGTCGATGATGTCTAAGAAGCATGTACGCATATTCGACAAAGTATTGTCGGTTCGACCTGAGATGAAGAGCATGCTGTTCCGGGGGTAGGAACTCGATTTCCCTAGGAAGTGAATGTTCGATGCGGCCATAGCGACATAAGAATATAACGATCGCCTTGAGGAGATAACCCGGGATCGGCTGGTCTGTAATACCTTGATTGTGGGTTCCGTCAAGGATTTGGCCTATCCCGCCCTTGAAGCTGTTCTTAGCCATGGCCAGTAGATCTAGACCCATATCGAAATCGGGACACGTCTCCAAGAGAAAGGCAAGTAGGCGATTTTTAGGCTTGACCTGTTTGGTCTGCATCCGTCGAAGTAGCTCTCGGTACCCGGGAATAGGTTCACTAAGGTATACGTAGTGTAACGTAGACAGCGGGTCTGGTAAGACTTCTTTCATATCTCCAGGTAACAAATAGGAATTGTCTTCTTCTGGAGTGCCGTCTGCATCAGATGAGAACTCTGGGCGTGTCGACCTTTCTGCTGTAGCATGACACAACTTTTCAAACATTGCGAGATATATCGCGGGATGAGCAGGTTGTCCAGATAGCTCTTGTGAAAGGAAGCATGCCCAGGCTTCCCTACGCGTACGTGTCGCTCGTATGCGGCCAGCCCAGAGTAGAGGACGAAGTTGTTTAGCGTCGTTGTGTTGCGAGGAGAAATGTGGTAAAGACGTTCGAGTCTGTATTGTTGGACTAGAGTCTGTGTCCCAACCAGCATATACTTGTGCTATATCTTCCCACAGTCGACCGCTATATCCGGCTTCGTACATACGGTGCAAGAGCCGGGAAGCTCGTGAAGCACCAAACTCGTAGCCTTTATCTTCATCCATTGCTGTACGATTCTCCTTCCATGGAGGCCAGGCAGGCCCTTTGAGCTCAGCCCATTCTCTTTCTTGAGGTGTCTTGGCATGAGCAAGCTGATTGCGCGTTACGGATCGGAAGCCGAGACGTGTCACTACTATTGCAGGCGTCCTACTGGCCATGTATTGAAGGATCTGGAACTGAGCCTTTTCTTGGTGGACAGCGGCCACCACAGGTCGAGAACTTGCCGGCAGGGATAGTAACAAAAGAAGATTGTTGCAGAACTGAGTTAAGTCTGAAAGTCTACGAGGTGACATAGAATCGGATCCAGGCGTATCGTCGTGTAAGCGGCTTGCTTCAGTAACAAAGAAGGATGCGATCCATGGCATGGACTCAGGCCAGAGTTCGCGCGCATGGCGGAGTAGACGAACCGTGATGATCTTAAGTGCGGACCAGCTTATCGATGCCGAATGCGCAACACGATCAAGGTGCCTTATGATGATGCCAAGGGCAGACACTCTGATCTGCTTGCGACGTAAGAATAGCAAGAGCAGGAACAGAGGCGGCATCTCGACCCCCTGTTCGAAGGCTTTCGCTGCTACAACTGATCGAGGTTCCACAAGACAAGAAGCCCATCGTTGTACGCTTTCCACTGTGTAGCCTTGATTTTGTAGCAGCTCCGACTCCAGTGGGGTATAGTAGAAGGCCGACTCGGCTGCCAGTGTCGCCGTGTGATGTTGGAGATAACAGGCAAGGACCGAGTAAAACGAGACAGGTTCAGGAAGCGGAACAGTGCCGAGGGGAGGCGCGTTCTTGGGCTTGCGTCTCTGCGAAGAACGACGTGGCGCAGTGTAGGACAAATCAGTCCCATGAGGTGTGGTAAAATAAAGATCTCTGGCTGAGCCATTCATGGACGCCAGGACTGTTGCAGGCCTACTTGGCCGCTGGGCCTTCCTTGCTTGGCGGGACAATTGTGGTCGAAACCTAGCATCCTCCTCAGTATCCTCCAGCATATCTGCCAAGGACGAAAAGGCGTCCTGCGCAGCGTCTGCACCTAGACTGTTTGAAAAAGCATCTATGGGACTCTCAGAGAAGGTGTCGTCCTTGGGACTATGTACGGAGTAACGCCTCGGAGGCCGCTGAGGCTCGTCATGGCGATGGAAGGCTATACAACGGCGGGGTTTGAGCGTCGCGGGGCGATAGCAGAGCAGGAGCGCCGAAGGAATCTGGATATGGCATGTCGAAAGGAATGATGTGTTTCGCTTTTGAAGATTGGTGGCGGAGTTGGAAAAATACTTGCAAAGCAGGTCAGTATAAGTCAGCCTTCAGCATAGCATGCGGGCATACCCAGAGAGGTATCAGGCGCGTCACACGACGGCCGAAGCGGTGCGAGTCACCTGGAGCTGCCAGGGAGAGTATTAAGGGCATTCATCAGACGCAACAGACATAGAGAGACGCGTGTGGAAGGCAATTGCGATGGGTTGTCGAGGGCAGTAAGAAATTCGTGGGTAGCTCATGCCCCATCGTCACTAGCGCAGTATGCTACAGGCGCAAACCACTTGTTGAACATGGTCACCAAAGGTAGCGATAACCTTGTTAGATACCAACCCTTGTGAATTAACAAACGACAGCAAAAAGGCTGTTGAACCAGTCAAGGAATCACGGCTATCGTCACAGCTCGCTAGGTGCTATCTCCTGTGGCACTCTGCGGCCTTGTCTTGGCGCCGGGCCTCGCGTTCCATTCATCGCTGCACGCACTTCCACCAAAGCAAGTCAACTTTGAACAATCTCCCACAGCACGACCCAACCTCCGGGAAAACATTTGCGCGTCAACGAGAGCAGTATTGGATCCGATTACGCGCCTCTTCAAATTTCAGCATCGCGCCTTCCGATATCGCGGGGAGGGAATGCTGTGAAGCAGACAGACTAAGAACGACTCTGGCCGCCCTGAGCGCGTTCCATCCCACGGCATCCATCGCGCATCGCCAACAGCACCCAAAAGTCACCATGACCGCCGCCAACGGCACCCTCACCCCGCCGTCGCTGCCGCCCGCGCCCGACTCGCCCTCTGCCACAAAACGCAAACTCGCCGAGCCTCACACAAATGCTGCTAATGGCGCATCCACGACTGCGCAGGGGGAGAGCGCAAAAGAGAATACACGTTCTCTGCAGGAAGTACTGGGGGATGTACTGGCAGTCCTTAAGAGGTATGACACATGCGAACATCTCCCCACTCCTACCCGTGTTCGGGACAATACCAGTGGCCCATGGAAGGAATGCGCTCGGCTGCTTCAGCCATACGTTTGAGTCGCAAGACCACCTACGTTCGCATGTTGACACTGAATAGCTACGACACAAAACCCTCCATTCTGTCACATCCCATCACCTCCTCGATAACGCGATCTGCCTCTGGAGAAGCCGACTCGAAGCGCACTAAGCTGACCCCACCAAATGGCCCTGCTACTATCAGCAACCTGATACAAGACGGCTCCTACGATTCTTTGCACGCATTAGAGAAGGATGTCGAGAGCGCTGTCGCCGAAATCTTGGCGTCCAATGGCCCGAGCGACTCATCAACAGCGCCCACGTCTCCTGAAGATAATGCGCTACAAGGCAGACTGCTCGCTTTTCAAACCATTTTAAAGAACCTGGTTGCTAGAGAAGAGGCGCGCAAGGCACATGGTTTGGGAAAGGAAATCAACGGCGATGCGGATGCTCAGGTCTCTACAGAGGAGGGCACTCCGGCGCCCATAAAGGAGGAAGAGCAAGACACGGAGATACCCCAGAGTAGGACTGTTCTCACGTTGTACGGAAGCGCGCCGCCAAAGCAGCTATTCTCCAGCTTGCAGCAGCCTCAGAAGATATCACCCACCAACGGAATATCTACCCTCGATACCGCCGTCAAGGTGACTCTGCCTCTTCGCGAGACGAACCTGCCGAATCTCATCTCGACCACTGAAGTATATCCACTCCCTGATCCGGACAGCAAGAAGAAGGTCACGACCATTGGAGAGGTCTTCCGTGCACCTCCCAACCTGCCACAGATCAGCCCTCCCAAGTCCGCTCGACCAACAACGAGCAAAGGCAATAGTACCATTACCTTTGCGCACCAAGAAGCACCCAAACCTCGCCGCAAGGGGTCCCAATCGTACGCGCACCAAAATCTGTCATCCGGATTCTGGCTTGGTTATGGCGGAGTGGACATGCCGAGAGACCAAACCTCGCCAACAGCGAAGCAAAAGAGCAGACAACGGGCGTTGAGCATGGGCGAAGCGCAGCAGCCACCGTCTGAAGCGATTCTTGTTGCAGTCCAACAGGCCAAGGAAGACGCCCTGTTCCGCAGTGCTTACTCTAGCTTTGCTCCGACCCGAGATGACAGCTCCGCCATCGTCCCGGAAGAGACTAAGAACATGGTATGGTGGCAGAAGGTTGGAGAGAAGCGCTTCAACGACATGTTCCCTATTGATCCTGCTCTACTAGATCCTAAGGAGGCTAAGCAAGCACTCACAAACGGAACGGCTGACGAGGATGAATTGTTCAAAGAGGCCGTGGAGAATTTCACCCCAGTCGAAGGAGACGTATTGCCTGGGATGGAGGAGAAGACGGAAGAGGAGAAGGATACAGACGAGGTGCTCAAGGAGATTTCCGAACTCTTGGAGACATTGGCATCTTACCAACGGATACGAAACCTCTCCCTTACAACCAACCCGCGCACACCTGTTGTACAAAACGCTTCACTTGCGACCCTGGCCGGTAGTCCATCCACTCCCTCATCAGAAGAGTTCGATGTGTATCAGATTCTCAAGTCGCAACTTACCTTGTTGATCTCACAGCTTCCGCCGTATGCTGTCGCCAAACTTAACGGAGATCAGATGGACGAACTCAACATCAGTCGAACCATCCTGTTCGATACCAAAGAGTACAAGGGAGTCTTGGAAGAGGATCAGCTGTCCAAACTGGCAAAGACGCCGGGGATGGCAGCCGCAACGCCAGCTACTTTGGCTCGAACGAGCTCTGGAACCAATGCACACTATCCCGCGGCTGGCCATCAGTACAGCCGTCCAGCGCAGTCTGTGCCTCAGTCAGGCGCCCGTCCAGTGTATACACAACCGCAGTCTCTCCACCGATCATCCTCGATGCATCTACAACGCTCGCCTTCGGGTGCTGCGCAGACATTTCAACCAGGCGGTGCGTCTTATGCCCCTAATGCTCGACCAGGCTATTCAGCAACCCCATCCTATAGCCAACAGACGCCACGACCAAGCTATGGAACTACTCCTTCTGGGCAGTACTTCCCACAGCGCTCTGCACAGCCAAATAGCTACAGTGGCGCCACGGGCTCGCAGTACTACAACTCCACACCTGCACAGGGTCAGAATCGATATGCAGCACAGCAGAATCAGAACAGTTTCTATCCTCGCTCACAAAACGCGGCGCCTCTGTACAATGGCGCACAAGCACAACAGCCACGCAATGCTTCGCCTATGAAGGGCGCACCACCCACACCATCGGCTTATGGTACACGGCCAGCATACGGCACGCCGGTGTCTGGAGGCCAAATGCGCAGCACCTACTACGGTCCATCACAATATGCTGCTCCACAGACGCCTGCTGCCGCTGCCGCTGCCCCCTACAACGGCGTACCCGGCAATCCCCAGCAAATGATGCTTGAAAGGCAACAAGCCCAGCAAGCACAGGCCCGGCTTGCGGCACAAAATAGCTTCAGCAGTAGCAGGCAAGGCTCAGGGACGCCGCAACCTCCCAACGGGTCCATGTATGGCGCCAATGGGGCGTCCATGTCCACGTAAGGTGTTTTGATGAGTAACTATGGATTGGCATGGTGTTCTGGATACCATAGATCAGCCTCGGCGTTTCGGAAACTCTAGCAACAAGCGGGAGGATTATCATTTTCAGGCATGTCTTGTTCACCAGTGGCACTGTCGTCCTTTCTGGACTGGACATGTCATTTAGTTAGTGTAGTCAGTGTACTTGGCGATAGCGACGCGGTATCACGGTTCGGTAAGCGCCTCGTGTTGACTAGGTAGCACATTTATCAAACCCGGCATTAATCTTCATTCACTACACTGCCACGAGCATCATCCATGACTGGCAGCTGTGGCTGTGACGTGGCGTGGACCCTGCATTCCGCTTAAAGTTGCCGAAATGACGTCGCGCAACGCGTTCTTGCCCGGCGAAGCACCTGGGCAGTCAGTCAGTCGCAGATCGCAATCCTCAACGCTGCCTTTGCAGAGAAAGCTATGAAATACACACAACACTATGGCCCACCTCTTGCGCGGAAAGCAGGCAGGTATCAGCAACGACCTCTCCCAAGGCCTGGGACCTGATCTGTTTGTGCTGGACCATGTACGCACTCGCTGCCTCACCCCGCTGTTCCCGCCGTCGCCAACAGCCCTACAGGCGCAAGCTAACAGCATGTGAAGATCCGCAATTATGGCATCAACTCCAAAGTCACCCAAGTCGCATACGACCCCGTTCAGTCCCTCATAGCCGTCGGTACGAGCGAGAGCAAGTTTGGCCCTGGCCAGATCTACATATTCGGACAGAAGAGGGTCGAAGTTGTCCTGCCGCTACCCACGCGCAGCGCCTCGGTCAAGATTCTGCAGTTCTGCGCCGAGAAGCTGTTATGTGTCGACTCAAAAAATGACTTGTCTGTCTTCTCGCTAGAGACTAAGAAGCTGCTCAACGCCCATTCACCCCCCGCGAAGATCACGGCGCTTCATTGCGACCCGACCATCGACTATGCGCTTCTGGGCACACAACAGGGCGATGTATATGCCTACGATCTGGCTAGAGAGGCACTTACGCCTTTCAAGATACCCAACTTGTGGAGGGAGAAGTTTCCGCGCTCGCGCCTCGTCTCCGTCGTTACATTGTCGCTACATCCTCGTGACATCGGGTCCCTCCTGATTGGGTACAACTCCGGTGCAGTCATCTATTCATTCAAGCAGAACAAGGCCTTGCACTTCTTCAACTACGTCGTTCCCAAAGGAGCTCCTGGAGGCGACTCCGATCCGGCCTCCATCCACATCGAGCGCGAACCTCCATTGACACAGGCTGTCTGGCATCCGACCGGCACCTTTGTTCTGACGGGGCATGAAGACAGCAGTATCGTTATATGGGATTCCAAGGACGGCCGCATCGTACAGGCAAGGACATTAACCGATACAAACGTGGACAAACCGGGTCAAGGAAGCTTCTCCCCAGGTGCTGTCGAAGGGTCATTTGCGCTCAAGTCACCCATCTTCAAGATCGCCTGGTGCGCAAATCAGGATCCGGATGATACCGCTATACTTGTCGCGGGTGGACAGCCATCCAATATCTCCGCCAAAAGTCTGACTTTGTTCGAGCTGGGCCGGACACCTGTTTATGCTACTGCGTCCTGGCAAGTGCTATCGGATCACTTTGAGAGTCCTAAAAGGCAAAGAATACTTCCATGCCCACCCGGAACTGAGGTGGTGGATTTGTTCCTCATTCCGCGGACTTCTCCACACTATGCTGGCTGCCACGATCCAATTGCGATTATTGCTCTGCTCGCTTCCGGAGAGTTGATCACCCTATCGTTTCCAAGTGGAATGCCCATAACGCCCACTAATCAGCTGCATCTTTCCATGACACTCGTACATCCGTACATCAACTATGCAAACCTTGCACCGGTAGAGCGTACACGATGGCTCGGCATGACCGAGAAGCGGCAACACGGTCCACAGTTCCTTATCGGTGGTGCCGAGGCTGTGCATCCCCTTAAGCGTTTTGAAAACCGCAACATCGTCCAGACAGCTCATGCAGATGGTACTATTAGATTATGGGATGCAGGTCATGCCGATGAGATCGAGAACGCTGCCTTGTTACAGGTAGACGTAGCTCGAGCAGTCGGCCGACCAGAGCATGTCCACGTCACACAAACCTCATTCGCAGGTGCGGCATCTGAACTATCTGTAGGACTGAAGAGCGGTGAAGTAGTTGTGTTTAGATGGGGTGTTAACCGGCATGCTGGCCAGGAGTATCCACTAGGTGAAAACAAAGCTCAAGCACTCACCGATATCTCTGAAAGGAGTGAGGCGGCTCTCAAAGAGGGACTACTGCCATTTACCTTGCTCGATGAGGGCAATGGACCAGTCACCGCCCTGAAGCATTCTGACGTAGGCTTTGTCGCTGCGGGCTTCGAAGGCGGCAGTTTGGCCATCATCGATCTGCGAGGACCGGCAATCATCTACAGAGCATCGATACAAGAATTTATCAAACCAGACAAACGTGCCAGCTTCCGACGGAGTTCGACTCAGGCGACACCCAAAGCAGAGTGGCCCACTTGTATTGAATTTAGTGTCATGACGCTCGAAGACGAAGACTACTCCAGCATCCTACTTCATGTTGGCACCAACCTTGGCCACCTTGCAACCTTTAAGCTACTACCGGAATCAAGCGGCCGATACTCAGTTAAGCCTGCAGGCGTGTGCTCTCTAGACGACAAGGTCATCAGCATCTGCCCCATGCATGCCGAAACCGGTCGCCCAGCTTATGCTTCTCAGTCTGCCGTTGCGGGACTACGCAACGGCTCCAAGACTAGTGGTGTGCTCTTAGCCACAACAGCATCGGGGGCGAGGTTATTCCGCCCTGCCACCAGTAAAGGAGCGCATAAGACCTTCGATCAATTCCTATGTGATGCGGCGACTCTGGTTAGATACGAGGACAAGGGCTATTCGATGCTTGGTCTGTATGGTGATGGGTGTGCGAGAGCTTATTCGCTACCTGCACTGAAGGAGATAGGGTCTGTCAATCTCAGTGAACTGCTAGACGTCCGGCGCTTGTCCGAGGCAGTCATCACAAGTACTGGTGACATCTTCGGCTGGAAAGGCCCTGCAGAAATGGCTCTAGTCAACGTTTTTGGAACCGGACTCCAGTAGTAAGTCGAGCCTTCTCCTAAATAACGACACGTATACTAACATGTCCTAGCGAACGCGCCAAGGATGTTTTGCTTAACCCAGAACTGCTAATCCCGCCACGACCAACTATTAGCAATATCCAGTGGATCTCTGGCACACAGTATGTGACACCAGCCGATATGGATCTCCTCAGTAAGCCATTCTCCCATCACCCTTGACTACTTACTAACACATGTAAGTCGGCGGTCCTGATCGACCCCTATCAAATCGCCAGATGGCGCAACAACGCGCAGAGGCTGAGCAAGAACGCCGTCGCGCCAACCCGTCCTTAGCCAGCTCTTCTGCCGCAGGATACCAATCCTACCCTACTCAAGTGTCGTCTCCCACTCAAGAAGGCTGGGGTGCCTGGGCAACTCGCCAGCTCAACGAGCGCACGGAGAAGCTGAACATCGTTGGAGACAGCATGGACAACCTCTCACAGAATAGTGCAGGCTGGGCGAACGACGTGAACAAGTTTGTTGGAAAGCAGAAGAGAGGTCTAGTCATGGGTGCTATGAAGAGCAAGTTTGGATTCTAAGGCGGCAGTTCGAAAAGTAACATGATGATTCACGCTAAGTATGTGGCTGCACGAACCATAATGGAGATTGTAGGCACGAGATAGATGCTGTTTGAGCAGTCTTGAGCGGTTGCACATGCGGGCTCTTTTACGTCTACCCGTAAGTGACAGATTCGTAAAGTAACATGTTCTACTACCATACTTGAACTTTCTGTGACGCATGATTTGCAGTGTGAAAACCATCGTACTTGACTAAGAACGCACCCATAACCGGTATAACGGCCCCTGCTAGCGCGGCGCAACTTCCCCAACCGTGCGCAACCTTACACCTTTGGACACGCCATCACCTGCTTCTCATGATCATACTAAACCAACAATCTTCGCTTCTTTAAAACGATGAGTATCCTAAGTAGTATCCGGCAACTGCTGCCAAGTGCGAACTGGCTGTTGGGCACACCCGAGCCAACTGGCCCTTTCACACCAACTTACGCTGACGTCTGCCGCGCCCGCGCCCTCCTCAAGTCACTGAAACTCCCCACCGAACTAGTACTCAGCATACTAGAGTACGCGCAGTATTGGCCCACCACAGTGTTTCTTCGAGATGGGCGCCCCATCCATGTCGGCGCCAGCGGCAACAGGCCATCTGCAGCAGCCCTCTGTCTTCAAGCCGACATCTACGGTCCCGCCGTTGTAGAAGAAATCCGCCTTGGTGGCGAAACTGCAAAAGTTAAGCGCATAGAATTCGACATGACGAGCAGGGACCAGGGATGGACGAGCGAAAATACACAGGGTACCTTCTCGACGTCTTCGTGGCTTGAAGTATCTATCCTGCGCGATGCATCAAACATCAATTCTCGTCTCCCTACTCCGCGGTTGGTGAATACTTGGATTGGTAGTCCGATGGATTATCATACTAATATGGTGGGTCGAGGTTGGTCGCTTGTTAAGAGGCCCGAGAGTGCGCTGCAGGGTCCGCAGGGTGGTGAGGGAGATTATGCGTGGTATTTGCAGGGCAATCGTGTTATGGCTGGCGCTCAGGATTATCATGTTGTTTGGGATGAATGCGGTCTGTGTGGAACGAATGAAGGGAATGAAGGCGCAGGTAGTGGGGAAGGCTTTCTGGATGCGTTGAGACCGGGAGATCGTGTGTTGGTGTGGGCGAGGGCTAAGGTAAGTTCAAACCCGCGAAGATAGTTTTGACAGTACAGCTAACTACTCGAATAGTACCCAGGGTGGCAGTGCATCGTCGATAACGTCAACATCACTGTTCATTATGGGTTTTGAATCCATATCACACCTCTTTCATACTAAAGAGTTGGGAGCGCTCCTTTTAAAGATGTCCATTTGCATTCAAGTCTCTAGATCATCCGTGCTATCTCACTGCCCATACCAGATCTCTCCCAAATAATATAGTATAAGTAGATCTCTACTTGGCCCAGCGAGCCCCGTGTGGATCTAAGCAGTTGACTTTTCCCATCCCAGAAAACAATGATACTTGACGCTGCGCAGCAAAACCTCAATATCCAAAATACCCAAAGCCTAGATGTCCACTCGTCATCAGAGTGCTGCTTCTATCAAAGTTGTTCCATCACTCCACACGACCCAGTCGTTTTACTTGCGCACCTGGGTCATTCTTCTATATCACTTCGCATCTTCGTCTTCCTTCTTTTCCACACTTTTCTTCGCATCCTCATCCAACGCCCTCTTCAACTGACGCAAGTACTGTCCAAATTGCCCGAAACTGCTAAGATCCATGCCTCTGGTACAGTTGGTCAAGTTCCCGGCTGCCACGTGGAGGTTGTCGAAACGTCTCTTGACTCTAATGTAGGTCTTTCGGATGTTTTCTTCTTTGCGCTCCTCAGTGGTAGTCAGCGCATATGAAGTGACGGAAGAAGGGGCGGGAGAGAGAAGCTGCGAAGGTTGAGAGAGTTCAGCGGCGAAGATGGAGGGGTATGGGCATTGCTGCGACAATTCGGAGGAGGGAGATGTGAAGATGGATTGAGGCATAGGCGGTCCTCGCGCGGCGGTGGCTGCGGCTCCGAAGTTCGCGTTCTCAGTTCGAAGGCGTTCGTTTTCAGTAATAAGGAAGTCGTTTGCAGAATCCGAGGTTGGTTCTTTGGACTTCATAACGTCCTCCAGGATGCTTTCGTGTTCTTTTCTCTCACTATCTCTTAACCTTTTCTCTTCTTGCAGTTCCCTAGCTAGCTGGTTGTTCCTCGCATTGCTATTATCGATGTCGATGCGTAGCTGATCGCGCTCCCTCACAGCTGCCCTTAGACTGATCCGTTCAGTCTCGAGTTCGTTTTGTAGTCTTTGCATCTCCTGCCTCGTGATGTTACTAGACCGAACTTGCATCAACTCCTTGTCGCCTTCCTCCTTCTCATGGAGCCTCTTCACATTTTCAAGTTCTGCTCTTGCTGCATCGAGTTCTAGGCTCAACTGCTCTTTCTCTTTTGTATGCTCGGCCTCTGCGCATGCCATGTTGTTCTGCAGAAGGTTCCGGGAAGGTCCAGTGTGGAGATCGGATTCGCTCTCCGAGGCATCAGGGCCGCTGAAAGCCCATCTGGGAGCTTGGTCAAGAGGAACAAAAGGGCTTCGCATTAATGCAGGCTGAATGGATTCAGGGTTCGCTGCAAGAGTGGGGATATCAGGCTTGACGTCGTCCTCCTCCTCATGGATGTTTATCTTCGGCGCACCGAAATCTGCATTCCCACCCTCTTTGTGGCCAATGCCTCCTCTTCGCGTAGGCTTATACCCTTCGTCTTCGCTGTCTGATATCGTGATGATCTCAATATCTTCGTCAGACTTTGCCATCAATGCAGTCGTCATACTGTGGCCCATGCTGCCCGTATGATTGAGCTTCTGTTTGGTGTTTGCCTCAGGCTTTTGACGCTTGGCTGCTCGAGGTAGCACGCGTGCTGGCGCAGCCCGCTTCCTTGGTTTCTCTGTTGTGGTTTTTCCAGCGTCCTTAGCCGGTGTTTGCTTAGCAGGCCGGCCACGTTTTCTGTTCACTGTAGGTGTCTTCGATAGCATAGCGGGCTTCCAGTTGCCAGGCAATGGAACGTGATCTTGGAGGGTATATCCTTCTTCCTCTTTGTGTACATGGGGTTTCGAAGATATTGGCGAGGTATGTTGAATCTGAACCTCAGCGTGTCGTTTGGTTGGCGTTATCTTTTCTGCTTCGGCAAACAGTGCTGATGGTGGTGCTGGTGGGACACACGATCTGGTCTGGTAGGCTTTTTGGCGGTTGAATAATAGAGTAGCAAAAAGGTCGCAAATAGGTGGGTCTTGCGGTTGAGGTGGCGTCGCTGGTAGTGGTGTTGGAGATCCAAATGGTGAGTAAGGTGAAGCTACGGATCGGCGATATAAGCGCTGATTAGCGGTCTGGTGACTGGAAGTAAGATTAGAATTAGGAGCCATGGTTTCGATCTTGTTTAGGTGTATCTCTGTATCGTGCGTATCGTACTCAACAACGGTAGAAGTGAGAGCACAACTCGAGGAACAGAGGACGTACTAGTAGTGGCTGGAGTGTTGCCAAAGCAAACGTAGATGAGTGTTGCCTTGCACTGTGGTTCAAGCGTTGGTTGATGGGGCGGTGAGAGAGCCGCGGAAGGCGAGTATGATGCTTGCCGGTGTCTGTCACATGTCGTAGAGATGCTTCGCGAGGTCAAAGGAGATCGGAAGCACTTTGGCTAAGGAGGTCTGAAGATCGTGTTTGGCAGAAGTCAAGGGAATAGACGATATCAGCACTGTGTTGTAGCTAGCCAGGTGAAGGCAGCGTTGCAGGAGAAGTCGCAAGCGATAACCCGCTCCACACAATCAAACTCACTTTTGCCCAGACGATGGATTTGCTCCCTATAGCAGTGGCATTCGATGATTACTAACGGCGCCGTCTAGATGAAGCCAGTAAAGTCGAATGCCATACTCAACACAAGGAATCATATGCCATATACGAGCGGTCAGGAGGAAACATCATCGATTACAAGCATGCTGTACGCCCACTCCTCTAATAGATGGTATGCGAAGATAATCCCCAGAAATGTACCCATAGTGCCTACGTGCGCCAGCCGAGCAACCTCGTTACACATTATGTCGTAAGAAAAGATAGACAGAGAGACGAACGCAAATCGCTTAAACGTCTATCAGGAAAGAAAAAGCTTGATACATGAACAGAAAAACTCGACAAAGGAAACGTACTAATACATCTCCTCGCCCCTCTCTTTGCCACTGCCATTATTGTGCCTTACGCTGCCAACCACACTGGCACGTCCGCTCCCACCGATACGACTGCCACCCGCAGACGCACTTCTTTGGATGCTTTCGGCACCATCTTCATCTCTTCGATCCCGCTCTTTCTCGAGCGCAGCCCTCAAGTCTGCATTCTCTTCTACTTTTTGCTCCAACCTCTTCCGGGCACCGCTTCGGTCAAGGAGTCGAGCTTCACGCTCAGCCTTCAACCGCCGTTCGAGTTCCTTAAGTCGATGTATCCACTTCTGCTCACTTGGTTGAAGCGGCCCAGCGGCAGGATAGGGGTGACCTGGCGCAGGCGTCGACGAAGTTGAATAATTCTCGACCACAGAAGCGGAGTGAGCACGCAGCAGCGTTTGCGCCATACTGGCACGTTTGGAAGAGGAAGAGACAGGTGACGCAGCACGTGATGGCGAGCGGCTGACAATAACATCATTACCGGATTGTGTCGTGGTGGTGATGGCGCGGAGGGTCTGGACCTCGGATCGCAATGTCTTGTTCTCAGTACGCAGCTTGTTGAGTTCCGCGGTGTTGAGATCAACAATACCGCCACGGACGGTGCTAGGTCTTCCGATCGACTGTCTTTGAGCCATCACAAGCTTTTCGAGCTGATCAAGTCGCTTGGAGCGAGCGTCTAGGCTATGCTCAAGAGTTTGGTAGTCGCGGACCAGATTGTTCTCTATGTTGCGGATCCTTTGCTTGAAGGCACCAATGACACCCTCCACAGTCCTAACCGCAAGAATGATGTTCTTGTTGAAACCTTGAACGTTCCTGGAGATGAGCTCCATCGAAGTAAGTTCGCCATTGATGAGAGCGTTGTTGCGGGACCACTCTGCACCACAAAGGGTGGAAAGTCGATTCCACAGAGCATAGAGCAGATTGTTTCGCTCGAGCAGCTGCTCCTTGTACTGTTTCTCCAGACTGTGAAGTCTCTGGCGATCCTGGCTTCGAAGAGTTTCGAGCTCCAGAACTCTTGATTCGTGTTGCTGGATCGCCCTGGTAGTGGATTGATGACCACGTTTAGCGTTCTCGAATGCAGTTTGGTCTTGTCGACGGGCTTGACGTTCACGTTCGAGCAGCTCTGAAAGACGGCGGCTCTCCATGCCGGTGCTCTCCAGGAGGGTGTCGCGGGCGCGCAACAAACGATCCTTCTCTGCGAGATCAGCCTTGACGACCTCGAGCTCTTGCATAGTCGCTTGAAGATCTCGTTGAAGCTTTGCGATGTCCTGAACAATCATTGTTAGTGTCTCTCCAGTCGCTAGAAGTAGCTTTGCTTACCTTGAAGAGGCTTGACCTCGTACCGTTGAGGTTGCCCAGGGACTCACGAAGCGTGTGCTCCAATTCGTCATGACGTTGCTTCCAGGTGGATGCCTCAACCTCTTTGCTTGACAGGTTCTTTCGTAGCTTCCTGCTGTCCTCCTTGAGCTTCGTCAACTGACTGTTCAGATCAGTGATGATCTTCTCCACCTCTTGCTTCTCTTGGGTTTCCAAGACATCGCGTTGCTGCCTTTCTTCGGCCATACGCTCTTCAAGGTCCCGAGAACGTTCTCTGGCCTCTTGTAATGTGACTTGAGTGTGGTTCAAGGCTGACTCTAACTCGCCAATCTTGATCTTGTCGCCTTCTTGCTCTTCTCTCAGGAAGTCAATCTCACCCTGACAAGACTCAAGCTGGACGTCCAATCGCTCATTCTTCGATCTCTCCTCACTAAGAAGCTTGTCTTGTCTGTTCAACTCTTCATTGGCGTCTCCGAGCTCAGACTCAAGGTTCTGAATCTTGCGTAGGCTTGCGTCTCGATCGTCCTCGAGCTGTAACAGGCTCTCGCTAACATTCTTCATTTCCTGCTGTAGAGCGTGGAAGTCTTCAGTGGTGTTTTCGAGATCGTTGTAAAGACGGTCACGTTCCGCCTGCTTCTGCTCAAGATCAATTTCCAGCCTTTGAACAGTATCCAGCGCTTCCTGCCTTAGCTCCTCACATTCCTGCTCTTTATCTTGCAGCAGTTCCAGTGCCTCGTCACGCTCGTTTGCTAGTGCTTGAAGATCTTCTGTCTGTGCTTCTATCTCCCTCTCCAGCTCCTTGACCTTATTCTCAGTAGTCTCAAGCATGTCGAGATGGCCATTGAGCTGGTCATCAAGTTCTTTGTATGACAGCTTCAGCTGAGATAGCTCGTCTCGCAGAGCAGCATGTTTGCTTTCGAAGTCTTCTCGGTCAGGATCGCTCTGCTGGGTCAAACGCGTTCCGCCGCTTGCTCTCGAAACAGACCTCATGTGGTTGCGGGAGATGGAGCGTTCCAGGATACTATCACCGGCCGTTGATCCTGCATCTCCTCTTCTGATTGTGAGTTTCAGGCCTTCGTTCTCTTCCCTTAGACGAAGGTTCTCTCGATTTCTTGATGTGAGCATAGAGGCTTGTGCGTGAAGATCACGTTGCAACTTCTCGTTGTCGCTCTGTAGATGTTCCACCAAGGTGCTGCTTGTGCCACCAAGCGAGATTGGCGCAGTGTTCTCATTACCATCCGAGCCAGAATTCGAACGAGCAGCAAAGGACTGCTGAATGCGCCGTGAGTTGTTGAAGGTTTTGTTGAAGTACTGGTTCGTTGTCGAGTGTTGCATCTGCTGGTTCTGCTCCTTCAAACGCTCAACCTCTTCTCGGAGCCTTTCAATTTCAGTCTCTGCTTGCTGACAGCGAGTCTCGACTTGCTCACGCCTTGCGCGTTCCTCCTCGAAATCCTCCTTCCACATGTTGATGGCCTCGTCGAAACCGGCAGAGTCTTCACCAGAGCTCTTTTCTCGCATTGTCTTGATGTAATCAGCCATGCGTCGATTGTCCGCTTCTTTCTGAAGGGCCTCCTGCTGCCACTGGTCCACAGTGATCTCTGTAGACTCTAGGCGCTCTCGTAGAAATTCAATCTCTTCCTCCAGCTCAGCTTGTCTAGACGACTGAACACTTCTTCCGTCTTCTGAGCCGCTGCCAAGGTCTCTGGAACTGGCGTGTCCTTCCTCCTGGGCCTTGAGCCTTCGCTCCAGATCACGGATCTTCTTACGCATTGACTGACTTTCCTTCTTCTCAGTCGCGAGGTCGGTTTGCAATTGGACGTTCTTTGAGATCATCTCCTTAACCCCCTCGTCAGATCGGTTCTGAAGCGCTTGGTCGAGGAAGTGGATCTTAAGTTTAAGATCAAAGTTCTCCTTGCTGAGCTTGTCGATCTTGCTATTCTGTTCCTTCAGCGTAAGATTGTGTTTGCTCCGAGTGAATGGAGTGGCCATATGCCGTTTGTCTGGCGACCGCGAGTGCTTAGCTCGGAAATCGCGTGCAATAGAATCCGGCACTTGTATGTCTTGGACATGCCTGGCGATAACGGTATCGGTGGGAGCAGCAGGCTGCACGCTAGGAGCGCGAGGTGTCTCGGGTGGGGTTGCACTGTTAGGAACCTCCTCATCTAGACGACCTAGACTATTGTCTGGCTGGAGGAAAGCAGACAGAGAGTTGGTACTGATACTCCGGCCCTTTTCCCAGGGGTTGGTGTCGCTGTATCCTGACATTGACGAAGCGATGCTACCTAAGCTCGGCAATCTTGATAGGCCAAGGCTCATCCCCCGTGGTCCACTCGAGCGAGGAATTGCGCCACCAGTTTGTAAGGCATAGTCTGCACCGAGACTTGCTGTGCTTGCGCCATCTCCAGACGCGTCGGAACGGTTGGTAAAGGAAGATACAGATGACCGTTGGCTCGAATGGCGATGTTGCAGGTAGCTCGGTCGCTTGCTGATCTTCTGGGCGGTCGCAGGAACTGGTGGTGGAGGCATAGCTATGCTGTCCATGCTAAAATCGTTCTCGTTTGTAAGGGAAGAACCTTCTTCAATTTGTGAGAAATCGGGAGCTTTTACTGTCGAGGCGCTGGATGTCGGTCGTCGCACGTCGACTCCTTTTTGCTGGGCGCCTGAAGCAGCGTGTTCCTCTTGATGCGTGCTGTCCTCTCCCTCTGATTGTTCCGTCGTCTGACTTGCCGAAGCGCGAGATTGGCTTCGTTGCGCGGCATCCGCAGCGGGTGAGGAAGGTGCAACTTCTGATGTTGCGGTGCTTGTATCCATTGAGTCATCTGCCCCAAAGTCTAGCCGTCTAGCGGCAGGTGTCTTGTAAGCGTCTGCGGGCGTAGGAGCCTCCGAAAAGGATGAGGAGTTGCTACGAAGAGTGTTCCTAGATTGCGACTTAGTCGGTGTATTCCCACTGCGCACTTCAAGCTTCTTGGGCTTCTTCTTGGGCTTTGTTAACTCTTCAAGATTGTCCATTACTCGCTGCATATCCGCGTCGTCGTCCACAGGTCGAGCCGATTGCTGAGAATTTCCTGGTGAGCCCCCGAACAGGTAGGTATCGTCTACGCCGGACGGTCCTTGAGGTGCTTCGACCTGGATAGGCGCCTCCGGAATAAAGCTCGATTCAATGTCCATCAATTGGCGCTTCATCTCGCGATCCTCGAAGACGCTTTCGTCATTGTGCGCGTCTTCTTCTTCGATAATATGGTGTACGATGCTGCCGTCTTCCTCAGTTGGTAGGGGCGGCAGATCGGAGTCTGGCTGATCAAAAGCCCTGACATCGTCGGCGTCTGATATATCGTGCGCCATGTGGTTTTCGTGTGTGGGTGCCAGCGTGGGGGTGGAGGGTGTGGAGTCGAGTTCGTCTGTTTGCGAAGCCTCAGCACTTGAGGCAGGAGCGTTGTCTGTCGCCATGGGGGCCGATGCGCGCGCAATGAGCGGAGAAGTCGCGTGATATGGAGTATTTGCGAGGCCTAGTCACCAGCATAGTGCAACTGCCAAGGCTGCGGTGAAGTGAAAGTTGACGACAAGTGCGGTGATTCCCTGCACTCGCCTGTGAGTGACAACAGAGCGCGCGTTGTTTGCGCTAGTATGAATTCGTCGTATTGCCCTACCATTCTACCGGTCCGGTCCTAGACCAACCGGATCTGCTGCCGGACATGGGGTCTGCCGTACCCAGATGTGTGTTCGATATGATACAAGGTACCTTCGTGTTTACATTGCGCGGTATTCTAATTCGTGAGTGATGTTTTGTTGACGACCAAGTGATATAACGTGCGCGGCTAAACATACGCACAAAGAACATCCATATAATCCCAACATTCTGATACAGCGAGAACAGTGATAGATGTACGTCTTTATTGTGTCATGGTTCGATGCTATCGACTGGCCTCACGAAGTACTATCGTCCCAAAAACCAGTGCTCATGTAAACTCCTGCTAAACGCTTATGGCCTTTCAACGTGCCGGGCTTCTTGCTAACGACGTTCCGATGCATATATACGTGTGTGATGCGAAGTATGTAGACCGGCCCAGCGAGGCAGCGCAGGTATCGTCTACTCTGACCGGATGCGCTTTTTAGCATAAAGATTCTCTATGCGTAGATGCCGTGCTAGTTCTAGTCGTATGGCGCTTTTCAAGCCATTGCCGCGTCCTTTGCACGCTTCTTCTCTTTCTTCGCTTTCTTTTCCTCCTTCCTCTTAGTCTCCTCAGGGTCTCGGTGCTTCTTGGTCTTCTTTGATGGCATTTCAGGCGCATCGACGCCATTGACGTCAGCGTGTTTCCTCTTCGGCGTCTTCGAGGGTAAGTTGAGTCCATTCGGCATTCCAAGGCCCGCAGTCCCCCGTGGTGCTTCAGTCTCGCTATCTGAATCACCAATAATCCCGGCGTCATTGCCACTAAAGCCAGTGGGAAGGAAGCGCATCTTCAGTCCTGTGACCTGTGGTCGTGGTGCACGGATAGTCGATCGCGTGATAGAAGCGGCCGCTTCTGAACCAGTGTTTTGGTCTGCTTGTTTTGCGCTGAGTTGAGGGAGTCGCACAACCGATCGTAAACGTAACGTCTGTGATATCCGTGTAGATACTAGCCAGGTCAGTACAGTCAATAGAAGCAGCATTTGGTGAACGAACCAGGCTCCATGCCGTTCTTGCGAGGCAACAAAACCTCCCGGGTGCCATCTTCACTCTTTTCTGTCTGAGCGAACCCATAGTCGGTGCCCTTGTAGCTTAGTATAGCGTCGCCTTTCATAGCTTTGTCCATGGCAAGCTCGCTGAGATCCTTCAGTGAGACGCCTGCAGGAGCAGTAATGTGCCATACTTGCTTTCCGTCCAGATTATCAAATAAACCTGTCGACTTGGAAATGGTCTTGTCGCTTAATGGCACCGGATTGAATCCTTTCGGCGGTACGTAGGCCTGCGTCGGTCGAAAATCAACTGCATGCGATTGTGATTGCACTGGAGGTGGTGGTTGTGTTTGAGCTGGTTTGCGTGTTGGTTGCGGCGCGTTGTCTGAGTCTGAGTCTGAGTCTGAGTCGTCACTAGAGGTGTCTGAGCTGCTTGTGCTGCCGCTGTCGCTCGAAGTATCCTTGCCCTTCTCGTTACCCGGAAGCTTCGTCTGTATGTCCCTGGTCGGCGCGTCATCGCCGCTTATCTCAGAACTCGACAAGTCTGCGACATCCTCTTCTGTTGCGATATGCTTGGATGCTGGTTTCTTGGGCGAAACCTTGGGCTTCGATGTGGATTTGGAGGCAGGCGCGTCTTTCTTGCTAGGCTTGGACTTCGCTTTAGGAACACCGTTCACGTGGATACCGATGGTGGCTTTCGGCTTCTCCACCTTCTTGGGCTGCGCGGTGCTCTCAGTGTGAGAATCATCATCACTGTCGACGAATTCTTGGCTTAATTGCGCTTTTGATGGGATGATCTGAGGTTTCGACTTCGGCTTGGAGCCTGGCAGCGGCACCTTGGTTTTGTGTGTGTCCTTCATGGTGTGTGTGGAGCCATACTCTTTGCGATCAGAAAGTCGAAGTTCGTTTGGAACTTTTTTGCGCCGCGGTCTGTCGCGCTCGGGCGGAGAAGAGCCGCATATCCACTAGTCCCGATCTAGAGTTGGCGCGCCAAAAATCATTGGCTTGGTCCTTGAGATGATGGACACATGCAGAACATCAGCATCAACATCGAAAGTCAGTATGTCGGGAAAAAGGAAGAGAGCAGAAGACACTGCTGCAGCTGGAGTCGCCAGCGGCAAGCCACTCACTGCGATTGCGGCAGCTCGACTGAGAACGGAAGCCGCAGCTAAAGTCGTAAACACACCTGAAGTCACGCTTGAGCAAATTCCTGTACCAGCAAGTCCATTGCTTCAAGATGGAAAATCAGGCCAGGAAGATTCGGATGAAGAGGAACAGCGCGTTCCTGTACAGCGAAATCTCAAACTTTGCAACTGGCGCAACGAACCCCAAAACATACTTTCAGACACCGACGCTGAACTTACTATCAATCTGAACAAACACGCGACAATCACATTGGTCGGCTGTTTTGACTTGGTGGTGTTGAGAGGCGCCGTCAACATCAATGGTGCCAATATTGGAACAGTCAGTCGTGATGGCCAGAAGAACCAGGTTCATCGAGCATCTGTACCAGTCACGCATCCTATATCCAAAATCCGTGGACTAGATGGTACAAACCACATAAGATTCAAGACTTGCAAGATACCTGCACCGCTGGCGCATATTAGCCCAGTGTTTGACGGTATTTGGAACGATGTGAATGATCGATCGTTCCGCATTGTAAGTGCATCTCTTCACACATACAATTACCTTGTCCATTATCGTGTTCTCGTGGAACAGGTTGACTTGTTGAGACTACGTGGAAGATCTAACGTTTCTGCTAGGTGACCAACTCAGATGCGGATACGCTTTCTCGACCATTACGTCCTGAAGTGACGCCCGAAGACTGGCTTCGTGCGATCGAGGACTGCGCCAGCAATCCTTCTATTACCGTTGTAACTGGAACACCCAGCTCAGGCAAATCGACCTTTGCTAGGCGGCTTGTGAATCGTTCCCTTACAGGACTGGGCAAGACCGCTCCATCTGTACCAGCCGTATGTTGGATGGATCTTGATCCGCAAAAACAAGAGTACGTACCCGGAGGTCAAGTATCTCTCGTCGTGGTGAGAGATTTGAATTTGGGCCCAAGTTTCACACGTCCCTCCGTTGTACCAGAACAAAGAGAAACGACCAGGAATGAGGTTATCCGCGCACATCCAGTTCCTACGAATTTCGCCAATTATGCAGACTATTACCAATCTTGTGTTGAGGATCTCTTTCTGGCATACAGGAATCTTTCTTCTCGAGATCCGTCTTTACCATTAGTTGTCGACATACCTAGCTTCCTCTACTCCTCACATTTCGACCTACTGAACAAGCTGCTGGCGAGGATCAAACCGCATAATGTCGTACACCTCAGCGATACACGAGCCATCGACACTGAAACAGCGGCAAGGCTGCATTTGCTCCAAACATCAACGTCGCAATACCACGGCACAGTCTATGAGATCACAGCGCAACAGCCTCAGTCAATCCCTGTAAGGTCGGAGAACGAATTGAGCGCTATGCAGATGCAATCCTACTTCCATCTCAAATCGAGCAGTACGAGCCAGGGTCAGCCTCAAGTACTTAGCTGGACGCTAGACCCTCTTTCACAGCTAGTACCCTGGGAATTTTGTTACGAAGAAACCCTCGAGCGAGAACAGGATGTAGTTGCTTTCGCAATGTATTCCGAGCCAGTCGAGCCATCCTCATTGCTGCATGCATTGAATGGGTCCATCGTTCAAATCATCCAATCTACATCATCTGCTGTTCCTACTTCCGATGGCTCGCTTCCCAGGACACAGAAACTTGGGATTCCATATCTTCCAGAGTCTGAGCGCACAGGCATGGTACAGCCACTGGATCCTCGAACAACAAGACTGGTTTGCACAGCAATGATTCGAGGCTTCAATCCCGAGAAGAAGATAGTGGAAGTTTTGGTACCAAAGACCCACGAGTCGTTGTTGTACAATCTGTCGCCCGAAAGGACCATCTTTGTCGGCGGGTGCTGCGACGTGCCCGAGTGGGCATTCTTGGAGGACGCATGTGCTCAGGAAGAGGCGGTGAAAGCGAAAACGACTGTCGGTGATGTACCCGTTTGGGTTGAAAAGGAGGACGTTGTAGATGGCATGGGATATCTTAGCACAGTACGCAGAGTGAGGAAGTTCCAGACCTAGTATTACACTAGGGAAAGCTCTCTTCATCATCACTCCATAACGAGAGGCAAAGAGGAAATTATAATGCCATTTTCGAATCCTAGGCTACTTGCCTCAGGAGCACGTTGCTAATTTTGCTACTGCTGATGTGTGATCACTCGTAGTATACTATATGCTTCTAGTTGGAGAAGTTGCGTAAGTCCTTTCAGGTGCATCTGCATACCATTTCAGGTCTAGTCGGTAGTCTCGTTGAACGAATGAAATGGAAATTTTGGCTTTCTTGTTGCGAGCTACTGTTGAGCCGCACTATTGCTATAATATGTACAAGTCGACGCCACGACCTCGTTCCAATGTCACCGACTACAAGATCATCTTCGGTGGAGCTGGATGTTGTCAGCAGATAGTCTGAAAATGGTTGATGAGGAACTCACGATCGATGATTGGGCAAGGCAGGTTGCGCTCGTACTTTGATCCTATGACGCCCGTCAGTACAGTCATATCCGCGGCCGATGCGGAAATGTATCCGGGTATGGGCAACGAACCTCCAGGAGCCGTGGGTGGGCGGTAAGGGTCCGGGTGCTTCCACTTCTCGAGCAGGTTCTCCGTCTCCTTGATCAGTTCCTGTGCGACTTATCAGCAAAGTCCCCTATGTAGCCGTAATATGTGTAGAGTTGCAGATGTAATCGTCGTGGTGGAATAGGGAGACGCACCCTCATCTGTCGCGGTTCGGTAACATTTCGCTTGGCCTCAAAAAGTTCGCGGATGTACAGGGCTTGTCCGCGCCAGAGGTATCGGTGGACGCTCCAGTCGAGGGCGAGCTTGAGGGACCGCCTGTAGAGGCGTCTGCAGCTGGGTCAGTTTCTGCGCGTAAAAGGCGAGGCTGGCGGGGATTCGGCGTACAGGACGTGTATCTTGGAGCTCATGACGGCGATGGCCCTTCCAGTGGAGTGTGTGGCGGAAGGGAGAAACGTGGTTCGTGGCCGCAATGCCTCGCTGTTGTCGCAGATGGCTTGGTGAGGGCAGCGTGAGGTCGCGGGCTTGGCACTTGTGCCTGTGACGGAGGGTGGCTTCCGAGACGTCAGAACCGGTGCCCTGTGCCTGCTTCAGTACCGTACAATTGCCTCAGGAGGACTCATATACGAAACTTCGTTCGCTCGAAGTCGTCCATCTCTCTCACACGCATTCGGATTTCTTTTTTCCAGTCTTCGCTTGGCTCCCTATCATGTCTGGCCAACAGTGTCTCCGCCGTCTACCAGCGGCTATGCGCTCTGTGCGAGCTTTGCGCGCAAGCCCACGAGCCATTCCTGCCGCGCGCAGCTATTCCGCCATCTCCAAAGCGAACTCCTCTGGTCTCCTCGGTCAAGCCTCAAGGTAACTTGCATGTTTCTATGTGGTAATATGCCCACCACTAACTGTTTACAGGCGGCCTGGACAGCTGTCTTCACAACGCCTATGGACCCTCGAGCAGACACGAAGCTATGCCGACACTATCGTCAAAGTGCCTGAGATGGCCGAGTCGATCACAGAGGGAACCCTGAAGCAGTGGTCAAAACGTGCGTCCACCTCATTCAATCAAATACTCCACCAGCTCACAATATGCAGAGGTCGGCGACTATGTTGAGCAGGATGAAGAGATCGCTACCATTGAGACCGACAAGATCGACGTTGCCGTCAACGCACCCGAGGCTGGTACTATCAAGGAATTCCTGGTCAACGAGGAGGACACCGTCACCGTTGGACAGGACATCGTAAAGCTTGAGGCTGGTGGTGCTCCCGAGGGTGGAAAGAAGGAGGCCACCGAGCAGCCAAAGGAACCCGCAGCTAAGGACCAGGAGACTTCGTCGCAACCTGAAGGCCAACAAGAGCAGTCTCAGCCAAAGGAGGAGCAATCCGAAGCGCCAAAGGAGGAGTCAAAACCAGCGCCTCCCAAGCAAGAGGAGAAGCCTCAGCCGCCCAAGCAGGAATCCAAGCCTGCGCCATCCAAGAAGGACTCCAAGGCAGAGGAGCCCAAGTCAGCTACACCTGGCAGCCGTGAAGAGCGCCGCGTATGCACCCCTTATGTACACAGAGTTGTTGGTACTAACAGCCTTACAGGTCAAGATGAACCGCATGCGCCTCCGCATCGCTGAGCGCTTGAAGCAGTCGCAAAACACGGCCGCCTCTCTGACCACCTTCAACGAGGTCGACATGTCCTCCATCATGGAGTTCCGCAAGCTCTACAAGGACGAAATTCTCAAGAACAAGGGCGTCAAGCTCGGTTTCATGTCCGCCTTCTCGCGCGCCTGCATCCTCGCCGCACGCGATGTACCTGCCGTTAACGCTTCCATTGAGGGCCCCAATGGTGGTGACACCATTGTCTACCGCGACTACGTCGACATCTCCGTCGCCGTCGCTACCGAGAAGGGACTCGTCACCCCTGTTGTCAGGAATGCTGAGAGCATGGACATGGTTGGTATCGAGAAGGCCATCGCAGACCTCGGCAAGAAGGCGCGTGACAACAAGCTCACCATCGAGGACATGGCTGGCGGTACCTTCACCATCTCCAACGGCGGTGTCTTTGGCAGTCTGATGGGCACTCCCATCATCAACCTTCCCCAGACCGCCGTTCTTGGTCTGCACGCCATCAAGGAGAAGCCGGTCGCTATCAACGGAAAGGTCGAGATCAGGCCGATGATGTACCTTGCGCTCACATACGACCACCGACTGCTCGACGGAAGGGAAGCTGTCACTTTCCTGGTCAAGGTCAAGGAGTACATTGAGGACCCCAGGAAGATGCTCTTGTAAGCGTCGGCACTGTAATCTTGTATTTTTGCATATATTGGGGGATGGGTTGTCGGGCGAAAGCGCGGGAACTAGTAGCAGGGCAGAGAGAAATGTGGTCGGGTGGTTCAATGAGATATTTGTACATGCATTGATTGACTCATAACGCGTACATATGTTGCTTGGAAAATCGAATGTGTATGGATAGGCGGTTTGCTGAATATTAAGCGTTTCTCATCCCATGATGTGCATTGGTGTGTTTCTGCGTCAATGTCACGTCTTCGCGCAAGCGGTCGGTACTCGACGCGTCAATATCGACATATATCATACCGAAGTTCACGCTCTCGGTCGTAGCGGGTCCGATTAATTTTTAACATATACGCGCAGGTACATAAACACTCATATACATGTCCGGGAGTATTGGTAGTGTTTGATCGCGTCTGGTGCTCGTGCCTCTCGAATGGCTTCACGAAGGAACGACTCCGCCACGTTCGAATTTTAATGTGCAAACCGTCGCAATCGTTTCTTCGATACAGATTCAGTGATTCAGTTTATTTTCGTGTAAATCGAGTATGGTGGTGGGTTGTGGCTATTTTTTGAATGAGTTGTTGTGCAGTGTTAATTCCAAAGTTTAGTAACGGACATGCTGACATTTTGATGGATCAAGAACAACCAGAAAAGAAAACACCAGTGTAGAAAATTAAATGAGAACAAATGTACTAATTAGGAGCATGTAAAACATTTAGAGAATTAGGTACAATCTATATAACCTGTGGTTATTTTCCCATTGAGTCGACGGTGCAAGTGGATGATGCATGACTACAAGAAGATACCCAAGCATACGCGCCCTAATGCACACATCACTTAAGCATAAAATAGCATATAGAACAAGACAGAGTAGACGTCAGACTTGTTTTACAAGTTAATTGCGCACACAAAGTCATGTTATTCACTGAAATGCACGCGCATGTCTATTGACGTTGGTAAGCCTTACACATCTATGGTACAATCTCAACCAAGCCCAAATATAGCAATTGAGAATTTAGGATACATCATTCCCAACGCTTGCGAGCATTTGTTGCCCAGGTGATACAATTCGAGACGCATAGTCTAAACATGACGTCGTATGCCATGTATATACGATATATTTTCACTATTACAATGCAACAACCCGTCGCAGATCGATAGTCGCAACTACATGGATTTGCGCGGAATGTACATGCAGGCTGGGTAGTCGAGATTGCGCGATCAGCAAAACTGGTTGAATGCAACGTTGTCGCACGAGTTGACCGCTTCGAGATTGCGTGCCGCGTAGATCTACCGGCAACATGGATTGCTTCTGGTGCGAGGCTGGCTAGCTTCCCAATGAATACCCGCCCCACAAACTGCAATCGCCAATCCGCGAACAAGAGACATGGGAAACTAAACGTTAATCAAGGCAAAAGTAGTCACTGCAGAAGACAGATAGTGAAGTGATATGCTCGATTCAGCTCATGAGCTCGCGGTCGTCAATACAACCAGCTAATATACAGCTCTGGTATAAATCCCGTAAAAAGCCGAGAACCCAAACCCAGACCGACTCCCATTATCATTGCAGATGAAAAAGACCCATGAAGTAACCACGCCGTGAAGAAGAAACTCAAATGCAGGACGCGTTTAGAGCTCCTGCGAAGGACCCTTGCCAGGCTTGGCTGTCTTCTTGGGCAGAAGGTCTGAAAGTATGTTAGCAACTGATGCGATGCGATTGGGTTATGATGTGACGTACTCTGGTGAATGTTGGGGAGGACACCACCCTGGGCGATGGTGACGTGTCCAAGAAGCTTGTTCAGCTCCTCGTCGTTCCTGATGGCGAGCTGGAGATGGCGGGGAATGATACGGGTCTTCTTGTTGTCGCGGGCAGCGTTACCGGCCAACTCGAGAATCTCAGCAGCGAGGTACTCAAGGACGGCAGCGAGGTAGACGGGGGCACCGGCACCGACACGCTGAGCGTAGTTGCCCTTGCGGAGAAGACGGTGGACACGACCGACGGGGAAAGCGAGACCGGCCTTGGATGAACGGCTGAGAACGAGTTAGCTATGATGCAATGTTGGAGATGCAAGTTGCAGATGCAATGCGAAAAGACGCGTCAATCAAGCAAAAGACGCGTCAAAAGGATGCGAATTGAAGCTGCAGAATGCGCAAGGCAAACTCGAGCTCAAGACGCGATGCAGGAGATGGAAGTACTCACGATTGAGCGCTGGACTTGGAGCCGCTGGCCTTGCCTCCGGATTTGCCGCCAGTCATTTTGAAGGAGTTTGGTTGGGGTGGGTTAATTGAGAAAGTGGGAGTGGTGAGAGAGATGAGTTGATTGAGCGGGTTGAGCTGGTTGTGGGCGTGGAGTGTCGAGACGATGGATTGCTTGCTGCTGTCGGGGGGCGGGGCGGTCTTATAAGGACGGCGCTGGACTGTTGTGAGTGCGCGAGATCAACCTGCCCACGCTAGCGCGCGAAAAGGCAGCGACGCCGGCTAGCGCCTGCCGCAAGTCAGCGCAAGATCACTCGCAGGCCTCGCTTAGCCACCAAACTGGCAAGAGCTGCCGCACGGGCCTCCCAGCCGCTGCTGGATCACAACATGAGAGCGCGCTCCCCATAAGTAGCGCGTCCCCCGCCGTCGACGACCTTTCCCTTCATCCATCGCAAACTCCCACCACGACACTCAACCAACTCCATCTCACTCCAAACTTCTGCTTTTAACCCAAATCCACCCTTTTTACCCAACAACCCCAAGTCACTCAAAATGCCCCCCAAGGCCCAGAAGACTCCCACCACCGGCGGCAAGGCCCCGGCCGGCAAGGCTCCCGCTGAGAAGAAGGAGGCTGGCAAGAAGACCGCCGCGCCCTCTGGCGACAAGAAGAAGCGCACCAAGACCAGGAAGGAGACCTACTCCTCCTACATCTACAAGGGTAAGTTTGCCATCTGCGCGTCATTGAGCGCGACATTCAATCTTTGGAGCAATCTGCTTCATCGACTTCCATTGAGCAAAATTTGCTAACTCATCTTTCCAGTCCTCAAGCAGGTCCACCCCGACACCGGTATCTCCAACCGCGCCATGAGCATTCTCAACTCTTTCGTCAACGACATCTTCGAGCGCGTCGCCACCGAGGCCTCCAAGCTCGCTGCCTACAACAAGAAGTCCACCATCTCATCGCGTGAGATCCAGACATCGTACGTTTTACACTTGTTTCGCAACCAATCGCATATACTGACTTCATCCACAGAGTCCGTCTGATCCTGCCTGGTGAGCTTGCCAAGCACGCCGTGTCTGAGGGTACCAAGGCTGTTACCAAGTACTCCTCTTCCACCAAATAGAGTGCTTTCTTTTCGCCGGATGTTTTCTTTGGGTCTTTCTTGTCTATTTCGACAAGTGGTTATGGGGTGCGGTGTTCACGGGTCCTTTGCTAATGTGATCATGGGTCGGTTTGTCTGTCATCGAATCATCTAGTCGTATTCGACTACGAGGTCCATCAGGGTCTGTACATTATACCACAGCAGACGGGAACGAATCAATTCTTTCGAACTTCATACATGACTCCAATTTTCCCTACCTTGATCTATCCATTATTTTTTCACCCTCTCGGTCAATTCGCATTATCCTCTAACTATCAGCTACTTCCACAACGAACAGAACGATTCGGCTTAGTCGTTATGCGCCTATGACGCGCAGATCCGGGGAACGCGACACATTCGAGTCGAAGCGCGATATCGACGCGTTCGAGATGGTCGCGTGCACTGCATCCGGACACGCGCGTCAAATCGCGACTTTCGCAATCGAGTGCTCTCCGATTTTAGTTCAGATGACGTAGACGCCCATTTCACGAGCAACGTGTTGTTTTCACAGTTGCAATATCATGCACGTGCTCCGCATGGCGAGCATCGAAACCTGAACGAATAACTAGCAAAGAACGAGGACTGCACATGAAAACGCGTCATTTACGAATTTACATGTACCAAACCCTGGAAATCCACATTGATAATCCTCGACTCCAGACATGTATGTACCCGTATGATATCATTGCGAGACCCAATTTAAAACGCCGGAGAGAGAGAGAGCAAGCAAGACAACTATGGTCTATGGTAAGCCATCCTCATCCCAGCTCTCAACTTCGTCAATAGCGCCCTCTCTCTCCTGTCCTCGTGGCGCTGGCTCTTTATCTTGCACATGGACCACGCTCTTACCTTGCACGCTGCGGACGCCTTCTTTCCAATTATCGTAGTCTTCCTGCGATGTTATGAGGAAGGCGAGGAGCATCGAGGGATCCATCTCGCGGATTTGAAGACGGCGGATGCGGCGTGTGTGACAGGTTGCGAGCTCTTCTGTCGAATATGAGGATGTGCTTGATGCGGGGACGATGGTTGTGGATGAGGACGTGGATGTTCCTGAGGCTTCAAGTGTGGACGTCGATGCGGTTGCCTGGCTTTCGGCGGACGATGAGGGAGGGCGGTAGGGTAGGAGTGGGCGTGTGCTATGGGGATCGAGGTAGAAGAAGTTGTTCGCCTGTGTGGCTACAAAGTAATGTGATGCTGATGGACGGCCACTGTGCATAGTCAGTAAGACTACTATTGGAGTGTGCCAGATGCTCGTTGCGTCTTACCCTGCGATACCGATACTCTGCTTCATCTGCAAGCTCGCCTTCAGCGCTTCCCAGTATACTGGAGTGATCTTGTCGATGCCCAACCTCGTGCCGACTAAGATCAGCGTAGGCTGCCATTCTCCGTCATCCTCCATGGCGATCTGCTTTAGCTTGTCCTCGTACACATCGGCTCCATCGCCCGACACGTACACTCTCAGCCCAGCTTCCTTGTGCTTGTGCACTAGATCTTGTATGCAACGTGCTGCCGCCGAGGGACCGAACCACTCTCCGGGGTACTTTCCACACACAGCAGCGCCATGCTCGACGAAGCGATGGATAGAGAAGGGTGCTTTCGGATCATCGGCAAACATGGAGAGTATTTCTTGATGCTCCTTCGCATCAGGCTTCTCTTGGTATCTCCAGTCCCGTCCGAGACGTAGTATCTGCAGCGCGTTGGCGAGGATGCACTGCCCGCTCCTGATCATGCATCCAAAGCCTGTATCCGACGTAAAGCCCGGCGAGGCCAGGTTCTGCATGCGCACGCGAAAACTCATGGCACTTGTTGCCTTTGGATCTTGACTCTTCTGGATGGCTGTGAAGCCAGAGCGGTAGGTCATCCATATGCGCGACTCGAAGTCGTCGAGGAAGGCAGAGGGCCAGTTGCCGTATTGTGCTGGGTCCTCGCCATTTGGAGCTTCTTTGCGCTCTGTCTCTTCGATGCTGGTTCTTATCCAGCTTTCATCTTCGTTGCGCTCGGACAAGGGCGTTGGTGTCCCAGCGGATGGCGAATCAGTGGGCGTAGGCTTGGACGGCGGAGGTCGGGGATCATAACGCTGGCCTAGCAGCCATATAGGTTCGTTGGAATCGTTAGTAGGCGGGGGGTCGTAAAAAGTGCGGACGACGTTGCGGGTAACGCGCTCAAAGTCATGCATGATGGCTAGAACAATAGGTGGTGTGGCCAGGGCGACGATGGATGCGGAGGTGATGCGGAGGTCCGAGATGAGGTTGCCTAGAGCTGGCTACATGCGTTCGTACTTGCCACGACTATTTGCACATATCCACGACACCAGGTGTTGGAAGAGAGATATAGTATCAGCACGATGTCGAGCTTCTTCAGTTGGTGCAGTGAGCCGCAGAGGTCATATGCGGCTCTACGAACCAAGGTTCCCGCGGGGGAGGGGCCCACGGTGGCTATCACCTGGCTGTATCACTGAGCGTCAATCACGTTTCTGGGATGCGTTGGCGAGGAATGCACAATCACGAAGTAACACGATTCATTCAAGCGCACCGTGTCCACCCACTCCACAATGAGGTTCCTAACTGAGGAGCTGCTACAGCTTCCCAGACGTGCTCAGAGCTCTCTGGGGCGCGATAACCAGCGGCCCTATCGTCATAAGCTCCGCTAAGCTAACCCTGCGCATCATTACTAGCCCCGCGCCACTCGCGACGAGAACATCCAAGAGCGCATCATCTCCAAAGCTTCCACCGCGCCTTTCTTTCATTTTCACTGCAAAATTTCGTCGCACTACTATCGCCATGTCGCGGGGCAAAAAGGGCAAGAGCAAGGCCAAAGGCGGCTCAGCTAAGAGCACACCGCAGCGCGCGCCTTCCAAACGCCACTCATACCAATCATGGCCAGTCCATGAGGAGAGTATGTTTGCGCTCCTTCCCCAATCGCCACGTTAAGATTGGGTTGTGTTGACCGTTCCTGCAGCAGCCGCGTCCAAGTTCTCCCTCAAAGACGAAGCAAAATGGATGTCCAGTCACCGCACCGCCGCATTTGAGGCTGGCAAGAAATTGCGACACATGCCCATCGAGTTCATAAGCGCCGGCCACCTCGAAGGCACGCTGAAGAAACTAGATATGCCTGAAGTAGAAACTGCTCAGGTCTCGTCTGATTCCAGCGCTGAGTCAATTACACCGTCCTCGCCCTCCTCCACACCCGACAACACGACAGCGATGGCACACATGGCGATTCGCAGCCCCTCGCCCGCGCTCTCTGAGGCTTCTTCATCAAGTGCCGATGAAGTGCTATTCAGAGGCCGTGGAAATCAGTCATCAACTGCGCCCATCGCCACCTCGTCCACGCAACAGGCACCCACCGCCACGCCCGCCACGAAGCCACAGCCCTCCGAAAACGCAACAGCACGACCATCACAACCTGATTCTGCTACAGAAATGCCATCTGTTCGGACGCCTGAGCTCACAGCTACCTCAACCGTCGGCCATGCATCAGTGACCGCGACAGGCGACGTCCCAGTTTCGGTTGAGCTTAGCATTCGAGGTAATGCTACATCTCAGCTTGAGGTTGAGGTGGGCTCAGATGCCGACAACGTTGATCAAGACCAGTTTGCAAAGAGGAGAGGAGGTAGACCCGCATGGGAAGGCAAAACTACCGAGTGGCAACATCGAAGCAAGCCAAATGTCGGATGGTTGCCTGGTAATGCCCGTCCCGATATGGATGCCTACCTGCGTGGCGAGGTGAACCCCCGCGACGCAGCTATCGACGATTATATGCAGAACATGGAAGAATTTGGTCTCACCGAAGATCTGGTGGCTGCGTCTGGCTTCGCTCGTCGTGAAATGGATCTCGATGCCGGCAGCCATAACGACTGGGAGTCAGCTTCTGGAAGCCAGGACGACGGCAACGAAGGCCAAGGCAGCGATAACTGGGATTCGGACATGCTGCAGGATTTCGAAGACATGAGCACATCATCAGACGTAATGGACAAAGTTGTTCGGATTCTATCAAAGCGCACCCGCAAGAGTGGCCTCCAATATCTCTGCGTATACGAAAACTCTGTTACAGACGATGCCCGTTGGCTTTCGTACACACATCTCAAGACCGCTGATGAGAAGCGACTGATTAAAGCTTTCGAGGCAGAGGTCTACGAGCGTGAGCAGCAGATGCTTTCCAGCAGTGACTCTGAGGACGAAGATGAGGAGGATGATGATGATGAAGACGAAGAGGACGACGACGACGACGACGATGATGACGATGAAGAGTTCGACGACGAGACCATCGCAAGGATCTTGCAGAAGCAAGAAGAGCTTGGCCTAGGTGGTGACGAGGTGATGTTGTACGCCGGCGACGATTTCTTCGATGGATCAGGCCCTGCCAAGGACTACTCGTATGGTGCTTACAGCAGGCCTAATAAAAAGAAGGGACGTGGACGAGGTAACAAGGAGCCTACTTTCCCCTCGGCTTCTGCTATGGTTGCGGCCCTTGAGATGGACCCATACGGCGGCTTCGATATTATGGACACTGAGCGCCCATCACTAAAGCCTAAGAAGAAGGGTCGACGTGGCCAGCCACCGCCAGAGTTGGACGATTCTGACCTCAACGAACAACTACAGAGCGCGTGGGCAAACGACAGAGCAAAGAAGCGCCTCAAGAAGGCGGAGCGCGAGGAGTTGCGTCAACAAGGCTTGTTAGGTCGCAAGGGTAAAAGCCCCAACCTCAAGGTCAAGTACCAGGGAGGTATCGACATGGAGGACATTGTCGAAGAGCTTCGTGAGTTCTTGTTGGGTGATATGCAGACACTGTCTCTACCGCCTATGGAGGCCTATCGCCGTGCCACCGTCCACCAAGCCGCTTCATTCTTCAACTTGAACTCCCGTTCCCGTGGCGATGGTATGGATAGATTCACTATCCTCTCCAAGACCACTCGCACTCGCACTTATACAGACGACGAATTTGATATCGCGATTTCAAAGAAGGGCTTCGAGAAACGCCTCAAGGGTCCTCTCTATGCCCAGGGTGGCGGTGGCCGTCCTGGAAAGTTCTCTACTGTCAAGCACAAGCAAGGTGGTGCACGTTCTCGTCCGCAACTGGGCTACAAGGATGGCGAGACTGTTGGCGCAAACGCACCAGAGTTGGGCCCGGAAAACAAGGGTCATGCTTTGATGATGAAGATGGGATGGTCTAAGGGCACTGCTCTCGGTACTGCCGACAACAAGGGCATTCTGCAACCTATCCCGCATACTGTCAAGATCAACAAGGCTGGTCTGCAGTGATGCTCCAGCTCCGACCGAGGAAACGCTCTTCAACACTACTTTTCTCTCATGAGCGTTTGCAGGATTGGTGTACGACGAGCCCTTTCCCTACAACCGTTTCTCATGTCCGCGCAACGCTTGTTGCGCTGTGACACTCTATGTAAATCTTTCTATGTATTAGTACTGGCGAATATTCTGGCGTACGAAGGTTTTTCGGTAACAGCACGGTTACAAAGGGCGATGGCATAGCATTGCATGGCGGAATTCCCGGCGTTGTTTAGATCTTCCACTATCGTCTACATATTTCGCTGTAGCGGTTCATCGCGCAGCTCTCATCCAGAGCTTGCGATGTTTTCCATAATGCCGCTCAGCTATGTCTCGTTGACATGTAGCATATCGCGACATTGCTTAGCCTAGGCATCGGAACCATAGAAAGAAAAAGAAAAAAACTCCTTCAACAAACATTAACGAACCCATGTGTCTGACATTGACTTGGCAATTCTGTAGTGATATTAGGTAACGAAAAAGTTCATGTTGATAGGGGGATAGTAGAGAGAAGTGCGTATCAAAAATCTATGATGTTGGTGGACCGTTTTTACGTTTTTTTTTAAACCGCATCACCAAAACTATATGAAAATTCTTAACAAAGCAATAGCACATAGTTTTGATTTGAGAGCGATTCGTAATAGTCATTCGTTGACGCAAAATGTTCATTTGTTCCTTTTTGACGTAATCCAAAATATATCCAACGAATTGTTCCTTCTCGTCCTTCTTGCACCAAGGGTTGGAGCGAGCGTCTCCAAAGCATTGTCACTCAAGAGGAAAGAAAAGATGCAGCTTCCTCTCTCTCTCAAGACTCTTGAATTGCTTCGTCTGTCGCGAAGGCTTATGTGTATTGTCGCTTATGAACAACGTGGGCGCTTTGGAATAATTGTTCGATCAGTCATGATTCCCACTGAAGGGGGGGTCAATTGACGGAAAGCCTTTATCAAGGCAAGCAGTCTGAGAGATCTATTCGTAAGATAGTCGTGAAAGAAAAGACACAAACACCACGTGTGTAAGTACCCAATGTTATATACGGAACGCCGAATAAGCCAATGCTCCCCTCTTCTTAACCAACAAAAAAATGTCTCGACATTGTGAATGATGCTAAATGAGGGTGTCGTGTTCCCCGAAGAGTCAAAATGTAGTGGATATCACAGTGAAAGTCCTGTTGTACTGGTTCGTCCTGGTTCCGCAATTTCTCCCTAGTATTCGAGAAAGAGCGGATGCGATCAAAAAGCGGCGTATTCCTCGTTTGGCGGCAGTTGGTAGTTCTCCGCGTGTAGACCCTTGAGAGCTTCCTCACCGTCCTTGGTAAGGTCTGGTCTGCCGACCGGCGTGACTGCCCCAGTGAAGAATCGTGGCTTCCACTCCTTCTCTGCTGCCTTTCTCTCCGCGGCCTTCTGCCGTTGCTTCTCCTCGATCTCGGTCTTGAGGTTTGTCGCCAGTCCATATTGCTTGCCTACTATGGCATTTGTAACACCGTCCCAGAATTTGAGAGACTCATTAGGAAGCTGCTGGTCGAGTGGTGGAACGATTTTAGCTATAGGGTCGAGTGGGTTGAGGTCGATGATTAGGTTCTTCTCCTGCTAAAATATTAGTTTGTGATTAAAAGACGATGATCAATGTACTTACAGCAACCTTGGCGAATGGCTTGCTGCCCAAGGTGTAGTAGACCTTGTCTTGCCAATTGCCCTCTATCCGCGCAAGGACGTCCTTGTCTGACACGTCCTTGATCTTTGTTATAGTATCGTTGTTGGGGTCATACTTGAAAATAACACCCAAGACCTTGTTCTGTGAACGACCGAGCCAGCCTTCCTCTTGGTATTCTAGGATGACCTTCAACCCCGTCTTTGGGCAGGTAATGAAGCAGCTGTCGGCGACGGAGACATTGAGGGAGCCTATGAAGACGGTAAGCGCAGTCACACTGCGTATGTGCTATCGTGACATACCTCGCAGGATACCACCAAGGTAGGCTGCCGGGTGTGTGAGTTGGTACTCCTCATTGCCCCGGTTCTTCAAGTTGATGAAGATGCCCAGGTTGTGCGCTCCAGCCACCACACGCACACTTGTACCGGTGAACTTGGCGCTTAGTTGATCGTAGCCTCGTGCACTAATGCCCTTCTCGGGACAGTCGACGTAGAAAGCGGAGACGGGAGGGTGGTGGGACGTTTGCTCGGTAAGGTAAGAGACAGTGACAGTCTTGCCATCGCCTTTGACGCTATTGGCGGCGCTCGTGGGTGCGGAGTTGGGCGTCTTGAGGGTGGGGTGAGTATCCTCGATCTTCCAGTTACACTGCGAGAGTCAGTAGGTAGCCCGTTGTCGTCCCAGATGAGAGCGTACCCTGAAGAACTCGCCCAATGTAGAGTTGTAGGGTTTGCACGGCTTGCCCTTTACGTATTTCTGCGCCAGCATTAGCTATGCCTTCCTCGAGGATGTGTGCAACATGCCAGGTCCTTGGTAAACCAGAAGCGCAAGCATCCCAGCATGCGACCCAAGTCGTCATCCGAATCTCCGATACTGCGCAGGTCAGTGATGGCCCTGGCAACATAAGTCGGGGCTATGCTGACCTGATGAATGTGTCGGGCCTGTCCAAGTAGTGCCAGTACTCTGCTATCCGTCAGATGATAGTCCGTCGACAGCGACTGCCATGATGGCAATCCTTGATCCGTGGTAATATAACGTACCCAAGTTTGGTCTTGGTTCGAGGAGTTGCGCGGGGAGGGAGAAGCGAACAGCAGCGAGGTCCGAGACGCCAATGAATCTGGAGGAGGACGGGGTTAGCTTTCGCGTGTCAAAACTCGCCAGTCGTGCTGGCTGGACATGCTGTGACGAGATGGTGCTACGTTACCTCCTCAATATGCCCAGGAAGGTCTTGAACTTGGAGCTGTCGTCCGGAGCCTTCTCTGCGGCAGCGTTTGAAGGTGTTGCAGCCCGCGAATTATCTTTCGAGTTGAGGGCGGACGTGGTGGCAGAGCCCGGTTGGGCCTTCTCTGGCGCAAGGTCCGCCATGGTGATGGACTATGTGTTTTACTCAAGAGGGTAATAACAAGTGGAGATAGGAGCTTGAGGCTATATCTAGGTAACGATCGATGATGTCGTCAGGTGTTGAGGCGTTGCGCTTTTCGGGGTCACTTGGCAGTTGGCACACGCGCGGAACTCTGACGTAGCGCAGCCGATAGCCTTCAACCTTGTCGCAGCGGGGTAGTGGAGAAGAGAGGGAGAACAAGATCAGATCGAATGGAGCATACACTTTGCAGGTCCAAAAGATGGTTATCGTCAACTTGCAGGGGCTGCTGTTGTTTTATTTAGCGTTGCCGTTATCGTACCTCTAATCCCAACCCGCGCGTCTGCTGCAAGTCGAAACGCGCAATAGGCACATGCATTGACAGATCGTGCATCGCTTGATTGGGTGCAGTCTCGCCACCCGACTCTCACCCCTACCACGTTTCACAACTGCGAATAGCTTACTTCACAACCCGTGGAACCGCATGAGACGTCTAAGAGAACTCGTGGTCTATATTCTGCTAATACTGAACTCCACCAACTTGCGTGTGATGATGCAGCCTGACGTTCCCATCTCCCATATATGCACACGACAACGCCAAACTTCTAGATATACCGACTAATACCTGATCGCTGTGATCGACAATGCAAATGACCGTCGGTCACCCCTAAACGCCATCACTAATCGTACCTTGCATTGTCGTAAAATCATCAGTCATCCCATTCCCGCCATACTCCAATTTCACATGCCTTGGGCGTGTCCGTGTAGATTTCCACGTCATACCATTCCTCTATCGGCCCTCCAGAGCCTGACAACCTATCCAGCACAAGCCATAAATCGCCTTGCGTGGTGAGCTTCGGGTCAATGTTAACACTCTCGGACCGAACTGTGGCAGTATCCGAATACTCTCCTTGTTCGCTCGCGATGATGAACTTGCGCTCTGGACCTCGACCAATCTCAACACTCAGTCGAAGCGGACTGCGCGCTAGCTTGCCCAAATCCATGGCGCGAGGGCTTGTTGCCTTGGCGAATCTAGCAATAATGGTATACGAAGCCAAGCGCATAGGCCACAACGGGGCAGCAACTTTATGTATGTTGGCACCGAAGCAGGCCGGAGCGAGCTTCATCGAAAGTAGTCCTGCTCCATCGCGCGGGACCTGCTTCAACACTACCTCGCTCGTGCTGTCAACTCGGAGTTTGTAGTCACCAGTCAGGCCAGCTTCGAACAACGAGCAAATGATCGTGTAGGAGCCCGGCTGAAGGTCCTTGATCTCCGCCAAAACACACCCACTGCGGTGATCACCCGAGTCTGCAAGTACATCGCGACTCTGGAGACGATATAACCTCTTTCCCTGTCCCAGCGCAAGTTTGACATGTAGCGGGTGCTCGTGGTTTGTACTCGTGAGCAGAATGGCTAGTGAACTGCGTTCCCGGACGGTGAGCCAATACTGAGGATTATCAAAGTATTTCGATGAGTCTGTGCCACCGCCAGCGGTCTGCCTCGTCCAAGCGCCTTCTTCCGTCTTCTGGAGGGGGTACCGCTGCGCCGCCTGTTCCAGTGTGATGGGCGAGTTTGCGAATGCTGACAGAGAGAAACTGTATAGTGATGGAGGCAAGTCGTCTTGATCGATCACCACTGTATAGGTCGAGTTCGCGTCCGTGTCGCCGCGAAGAAGACACTGCGGCGTTGTAACGTAATCGCTCGACTCTAGGTAGGTATCCTTCATATATAGTCGTTCTCCCTGGCCATTACAGATAGATATGCTCATGTATCCCTTCGGTGCATCTCCGTTAGAGTTGACTTGGGAGTCAGGGCGAATGCTTCCATCGTTGAATGCATCTGACCCCTCTTTAGCAACTGCTGCTGTGTCTCGGAAATGGCGGCTAAGGAGAAACCACACAGGGCCGGCACGCTTAGAAGTAAAGGCGAACTGAGGATGCTTAACAAGGCAACCGCCTGGCGACGACTCCACATTCCACTCGAAATGAATGTCTTGTCGATACTGGAATAGGCCAGGGTTCCAGTTCAGGTACAGGCTCTCAAAGTGTTGTATGACCTGCTCAAGCCCGATCCAGAATGTGGTTGGGTGCGGTCGATCCTGAGTCGGAACGCTGTCCCTATGATAGCTCTCGAGGCTGTTGTTAGAGCCGCCACTAGAGGTAGACGCAGACGTATCTATGGCCGTCACAGCCAAAGGACGAGGGCCGCGCCAGCCTTTGCCTTCGACCCATGGGTTTTTGACGAGCAACAGTCGATCATGATCTGTCTCCCTCATATCCAACACGACGTAGCTGTGTTGGCCCTCAAGACCGAGTTCGCGCTCCTGCCTAGTCGACATCTTTCCAGTACCTGCCGTGACAAGAACATCGCCATACATAAAAGCGTTGTATATACGCTTCCACAGCTGCTCTGGAACTGTATCCGCCCTATGATATTCAGTATGGTCAGGCGTAGACGGGAGGTGGGAAACGACTTACTCTTGCAAGAATACTTGTTCCGGTATCCAGCCGGTCATCGTCCAGAGATCACTGCATGAACTGCTCCCAGGGAAGTCGTACCCGCCACGGACTTTCAGATATGCTTTTTCAAGTAACGCTGGCCATAAGAGCGCTGGATTACGGCGGTCGATGACATGGAGCAGCCGATGGGTATTTGAGACTGGTAACCGGTCGTCGATAACCACCCTTCTCCAACAGCCATTAAAGTTGAGCCTTACAATATACTTGCCGTTAGACGAGAGTACTGGCTTTCCAAGCTGCTTATCGTATGGGTATATCTTGTTTGTGAGCATCTGCCACAATTAGTACCAAAGTTGCAGACCTTTTAGGATGACAAACCTCATCGTGACCCCGTTCGGAGCGAGCAATGCCAGCGCATAAGCTTGTAACCACTGAGCAATCTGAAGCTGCATCCTGTACAAGATCTAGAGGCCTTGTGCTAGACATCAAGGGCCCGATGCCAGTCCTGCCGTTAGGAAACTGCGAGGGTGGCGGGACAGCATCTTTGGCACGCAGCCAACTTAAGAAGAATTGCTGCTGGTATGACGACAGACTCAGATCGCGGGTGTCCCTGTTGCTGTCAGTATCTTTGAAGAACCCTCTCCCGAGCATTGGGTGATGTACGTGTAGGGAGCCACGTTCTCTTCCGAGGTGAATTCGTCTGCAGACGGCGTCTTGTCCCAAGGCGGAAACTTGAAGCCGTTGACCATGGAAGCCTTCAACAAGATGATGCTCTCCTTTGCGGGTAATTTTCTGGTTGAAACTGGCTCTCGTAGCCTGTGTACCTGAGAGTGAGGTGTAGTTGATGGACTTAGGGCCGCTGTTTGCGGCATAGGTGCCTTCGGCTGAGGGCGCTGACTAGAATGGTGTGGTGTTGCAGATGGGATCAACTCCACATTGCGTATGTCCTTTGTGTGGTGATCATGGCCAATCTTGGCGTTTGAGCTATCTTCGTGCGATGCATCAGTGAGTGCGCTTGGTACGTTGACTGGGAAAGTGTCATCCAAAAAATCAATAAGTGGCATGGAATCTTCGCAAATAGCTTGCTTGACGAGAGGGATTATCGAAGAGACGTCTAGATGATGAACAAGTACTGAAACTGAGGAAGCTGATTATTTACCTGAAGCTGCTGAACCATCGACGGGCCCTGTAGTCGAGGAAATATCGCAACGGGAGGTGTCTGAACGCGTAGTAGAGTCTTCAAAGACCGTACCTGGAGTCGCACTCCTAGCGAACTGGGCAGCCCATTGACCGACCCGCTCATCTCTGGAGCTTGAGGACTGGGGTGCGACTAAAGGTGTCCATGTCTCGGTGCTCTTGATGCGATCAGCAACATTCATCATTTCGCCGCATTGGGCCTTGATTTGCTTCTTTTCATCCGGATTCGACGATAGTTTGAGCGCTTTCATCAGATTCTCAGCCACACTGATCGCCAGACTGAGCGCCTCATCTTTGGTAGCAGCTGCCTGAAGCCGAGAGCGATGGTTCTGGTAGCTTGATTAGTTTGAGCCACAACAGGGAACTTGTTGCTGCTGCGAGAGGTTAATTGCGAGTATCACATACGCTTGCAGCAGCTTTATAAGTCTCAAGCTGGGTGGCCCGGTCAGCCATCGTGAACGGCCTGAGACTGGGTATAATAGAAGAAGTGTGACCAATATGACTAGTGGCGGATGAAACTACTTGTTTTGTGCCATGACGATGCGACTAACTCGGGGAATTTGAGTCCAAGGCGCACTAAGAAGTCGTGATCGTGTTCTGTTGTTGTGGTATTGTCGCTGAGAGTTTTAGCGCGACGCACGTTCCTGCCAAACGCTCGTCGCGACTGCCAGCTGCAGCAGAAAATGCAAGTTCATAGCAGGTGAGCGACTCTTAACATCTCTCATTCACGTGTGAAGTATGCCGAGCCAACAACGACACGCTCACGCTCACCGAAATGATCAACAACGGTTGCGGTGAAGGAAGGCCCAAGGGAGCACGATAAGACGTCATCCGAACCTGAACCTCGGCCTCTGGAACCTCGGGAGAGGTCAGCCAGGCATGCGACAGCGCTATCGCGTTGCGGGCACCATGAATGTTCCCTGCCCGCTTTTTCTAACTTCCGATGCTGCTATCTCCAATCTTCAGATTATCGCTGTCATAATGAGATAGTACGAATCAATAGCTTGTTTCCATACGACCATCTCCTCTGCACGTCACACTCTCCGTAGTCGCAACATCCAAGCCAAGCCTTAGCAACTTTACTCAACCACCACTACCATGGCCGGGCAGTCCAAGGTAGAGACTCTACCACCATGGGGTAATGCTGTCGCAGGCGCCGCTGGTGCCGTCATCGCGAACACTCTGGTCTATCCCCTCGACTTGTAGGTTGCACATAATCTGAATCTTCCTTGACGATAGATACTGACACAACCTCAGGATCAAGACGCGGTTACAGGTCCAAATTAAGCGCTCTCCTACCTCCAACGACGCCAATCCCGCCGATGACGAACACTACGATGGTGCGCTCGACGCGTTGCAGAAGGTCTTCGCACAGGAGGGTCTCGCCGGACTATATGCCGGCATAGGGGGTTCTCTGCTCGGCGTAGCATCAACCAACTTCGCCTACTTCTACTGGTACACCGTTGTACGAAGTCTCTATGTGGCGAACCGTACGCTTCAAACATCGCCGAGTACCCCAGTCGAACTCTCCCTTGGAGCGCTTGCGGGAGCACTCGCCCAGCTCTTCACCATCCCGGTCGCGGTCGTAACAACGAGGCAACAGACCATGAGCAAGGCGGAGCGTAAGGGCATGATCGCTACAGCTATGGACGTGGTTAACGGCGATGATGGCTGGACCGGTCTCTGGAGAGGTCTCAGGGCTAGCTTGGTGCTTGTGATCAACCCTTCAATCACATACGGAGCCTACCAGCGACTACGGGAGGTCCTCTACCCAGGAAAGAAGACACTGAAGCCCTTGGAGGCGTTCCGTAGGTTATGACTATAATCATTGCCAGAGAAAAGTTACTAACAGATACCAGTCATCGGGGCCCTGTCCAAGACCCTCGCCACAATCGCAACACAACCTCTCATCGTCGCGAAAGTTGGCCTTCAGTCGAAACCCCCACCAGCCAGGAATGGCAAGCCTTTCAAATCTTTCACCGAAGTCATGCAATACATCATACAACACGAAGGCCCCGCGGCGCTATTCAAGGGCATCGGGCCCCAGATCCTCAAGGGCCTGCTCGTCCAAGGTTTCCTTATGATGACCAAAGAGCGTATCGAGCTATCCTTCATCCTCCTCTTCCGATACTTCCGCCAAGTGCGCGCCGAAAAACTGCAAAAGCTTGCAAACATTGCGGCAGAAAAGGCAGGAAAGGCGGCGCCGATTCTCGTCAAGTAGGCCTTGGCTTGTTGGCATATTTATACCTTCATCTCGAGTGTACATATCCTGCTCTGGACCTGTTTGCGCAGGCGGGTGAGGCGGACGCTGTGTTGACCTTGATCTGGCGTTTGGTATTGATTGTCGTTGGGATTATACACATAGTTCATTTTATAAACATCATTGTATTCTTGCCGCAGTATGCAAGCCTTTGTCATGAAGCGTTTGCAGTCACGCCGACTGACGTGCTGTGCTGACGCTGTGAAGGAGCCCGAGCGACCAACATCATTCACAAATGAAAGCCTTTCCACAACTACCCTGAAGTCAAAACGTTGACTCACTACATCTCCTTATTCCAGCACCCCTCACTTCTTACTCCTTACCAACAAGCAAGACCACTCGTCTGACACAACTAAACCCACGATTCACCAACCTTGTCATAATTCCAATCTATACCAAATACCAGCACCACCTTCATACGATATTGCACCCCTTCATATCTAGACATGTGCCACCTCCGCCCCACAAAGTACACATGCGGCCACATTTCTCCCATTCACACACCAGACCACCAACGCCCAAGCGAAACTGTAGATGCCAGGCAGTCAAGCCAAGAAACTGAGGTAAGATTTGGGTGTATGAAATGCATGTGAGATATACGCTAACTTCGTACAGTGGCCGACACACAAGGATACCAAGTGTGGAGTGTGCCAGGATTCTTATCGTAGAGGTGCTCGATGCTATGGGCCCTTGGAGGAAATGGTGGTTGTGTATGAAGAGGGTGAGGGCGAGTGTAATGAGTGTAGAGAGAAAAAGAGGGTTGAGGTGGAAGTGGATGAGAGGACGTGTGGAGTAGTCGCTGCGAGGATTGAGTGAGGTGGGTGTAAAGGCTGGCAACGACCTTGGTTGAATGGCATTTGGCTACTAAGAAAAGAGTGCCTTGTAACTACAAGGGTGTTTTGTGCTAGCTGAGAAATATCCGAGAAGTGTATTCCAATCGGTTACTATATCATGACATAACCACGTATACTGATGTGCGTAAACTACTCTAACCCACCTGAAGCCTCCTTCCTTCCCACAGTCCCAGCGCCACTACAGACCAAGACTGTCAGCAAACGTCAGCGTCAGAGTCAACATCGAAGGACGATTAGTAGGCCTGCGCCGCTCGTGCTTACATTGAGCAGTTCATGACGAAGTGCACCTCCTAAAGCCAGGCTCTGAATCTCCGCGAAGAAACGATGGAGGTGTCGTATATCTTGGTTGCGTCAGTTGTGGCGGCAGATTTTGGCATGCTTTAGTTTTTTTAGATCCGCTGCCGCATGCATCAGGTCGTCATGGTCGGGGCTGTATTCAAGAGCCAATGTTACAACATTGGGGCAGGCCTCGACCAGAAACGACCTGCTGTCGGTAATCGGCTGCTTTTTGGTAGGAGGTGAGAGGAAAGGTAGCGGAGGAACAGACTGGCAAGAAATGGTACACGCGCCTGATGGTTCACGCCGTTAGTGTGTCACGCTAGTCCGTGTTTAGTGAAAGGCACCTTCCAAGATTCTGACGTTTGCTATGCCATTGTTCTGCAAAGAATACATAGCAGTTCTATACATATGAGGATGATGAGGAACATAAGAGGAATGATATCGAGGTAGGTCAGCGGCTAGGTGAGCCTTGCTGCATTGCGACTGCGTAAGGTGTATGCGCGTGTGGGTATTGACATCGCTTTGAGAAGCAGTAATCGAGTAGGGGAAGTTTTTGTGTATATGTCTAGACCCAATACTACATCATACTACCCTCAAACTTGAGTATACGTGTGGGTGAATCTATATGCAATGTGCAGTCCAAATTTTAGTATGGATGCAGTTGACGTCATCGATACAATGGCATGTCTTACTAAGTCATCATCTCGAGACTCTTCCAACATAGCAATTCCGAACATCTGGTTCTCATCCCACCAGCAATTTGTCTTTACCAAACCATGTCAAAGTCGTCAATCCAACTACCATGGCATTCCATACCCCCTTCCACGGCAACATGCAAAGTTCATCTAATTCAAGCCGGAGGTATTCACATTCCTACGGACATGGTCTTGCTTCCTGGTCCAGATAAGCCGCAAGACCCAAAGGACTTCAACGATGAGAGCGGAAAAAGGAAGTCGTTCTACGCCCCAGACTACGTGTTTCTCGTCGAGCACACAGCAACCGGGAATAAATACCTTTTCGACCTAGGCATGCGAAAAGACCTTGAGAACCTCCCACCTCTTATCGTGGAAGGCTCCCTACCAAACTTCAAATGCGAGCCGAAGTCACCAGCGGAGATACTACAAGAACATGGATCGCCAGAGCAACAGCCTGAGAAGGTCAAGGCTGTCATCTTCTCCCACATGCACTTTGACCATGTCGGCGATGGGGCAAAGGCTGGGTTTGAAAAGGCAGAGATGTGGATTGGACCAACTTGCTGTACTTACGCAAGACCTGGGTATCCGGTTGATCCGAAAGCTCCAACGCTGAGTGAGACTTTGCCAGTGGATGGTAGTCGAAAGATTGTAGAGAGCTATGTACCAGATGATGTGTTGAGAGAGGCAGGAGATAAGAGAGCAGGTCAGGTTATGGAGGGTATGGTGAAAGGAAAATACGCTGCCGTGGATCTCAAAAAGCCCGAGTGGATCGGTCTCGGCGCCTTTGATCGAGCTTACGATGTTTTCGGTGACGGGTCAGCGTATATTGTTGACGCTCCAGGGCATTCGCCAGGCCATCAAATGATGCTAGTGCGAACGACATCAGGCTCCACTGAGAATGAAAACACCTTTGTACTACTGGCCGGCGACTGCTATCATCATCCGGATCTGCTCAAGGAGCCGAGACGCACTGCCAGATCACCTTATGCGAAGCCGGGCATGCACGCCGACCCTGAACAAGCAGTGGATACGATGTTGCGTACAAGGGAGTTTGCACGGAAAGACAACGTATGGGTTGTTGGAGCTCACGACACAAGTGTAGGCGAGGGCATCAAGTCAGGAGTCAAGGAGCTCGAGGGACTGGTCGAGATCAACAGTTGGTCAGAGAAGGGATGGAAGAGATGATTATATCCAACGTATCACTGTAACCAACCCATCAGAAAGCATGCAAAAATTGTTTTGCTATCCAGAAATTATAGTATCTGAAGCCTTTCACATGCTCAGACACCAAGCCCTTGGCTCCCGAAACACCCAAAGCTTGACAACTGTCTCCCCTCCCGAGGTTGCGTCACACCGTCCGCTCTGCACCCGTGACTGCTACAAACTGGCAAGGGCCTTCCCAACCCCATCGCTCGGTATGAAGCGTAGATCCCGCGGAGTCCGATCATTGCCGTTACCCGGGGCGATTGTGGAGTTCATCTCGCGTTGCGGTACGCAGGGTTTCGGAACGTTTGGGTGGCTTGGACGCATGAATGAGAGTGGCGTGATTATGGATATGTAGGATTGGATGATGCCTGAAATCTGAGGGAACCAGGATATAATCAGCCTAATCTTTGGGTTGGCAAGTACGAACAGGTGCAGCCATATGTAGATGCTTACGTATGACATTCATTCAATCTTCATCATTATTAGAAATTCTATGGGATATCGCAGACGTTGAACATGTGTCTTTAGCCGCTTGCAGCTTCGAGATTAATGAACAAAAAGACGAAAAATGGAAAGAGACGAGCGAATTATATACAACCATAGTAATAAGTGACAATTCGCTCTCAATATAGCAAACGGTATAACCCCAGTCCCTTCGTCTTTCTCCCTACAACTCTCTCTTCAGAACTCGTGATTGCACCTAGAAGTTCTCCTTGCCCCACACGAAACTGAAGCCAGGCTCAGAGTACATGTTGCACTTGACGTGGAGTGTAGAACCAAGACCCTTGGGTCCACAGAAGAAGACACCAGCTTCGGCAGGTGAGTGGATCTTGCGGATGGACTTGAAGATCATGTCCCAGTTGGGGCGACCGAAGTTTGTAGGTGCGCGCAGACCGGTGATGGCGTCTTGTTCGGCGTTTGCGTCATTGATCATGATGTTTGTCGCGTCATCTGCCTTGATCTTTGCTGTAAGGTACTGCGGAAATAGTTAGGAAACCATTGTTTTGAAGAGCCACTGATGAATATAAGACTTACGGTGTGGATCTCAATGTGGTCATCGATATCTTGTGCCTCAATAGCCAGCAGCAGCGACCTGAACCATTCGAACGACCCAAAATCTCTGCAGATCCAGAAGAAATATACCTTCCTTAGCCTTGTGCGAGACCCTTGAGGATAGTTCATGCGGTACCAGATACTCTTGAGAATTGAGGCGAAAGGTGTCACACCGATACCAGCACCGCAGAGAACGGCGACTTCGAACTTGAACACATCCTCAGAGGCGGAACCGAAAGGCCCATCGATGTAGACTCGGGGGAGAATCTGGCGCAAGGCGATCTCTTCGCTCGATCCACCCTTCTCACCCTTCTCGCCGGCCGGCTTCCTCTCTGTGCTGCAACCAAGGGCCTGGCCGAAGGCTTTAGTGAAGTTACCGACCATACGAATGTGCACAGAAATGTAGTCTTCTTCAGGTGCGCTGGTAAGTGTGAAGGGATGGTATTGCCAGATGGATATTTCAGGGCAGCACAAGAAAATGTACTGTTGTTGTTAGCATATGGTCATATTCCAAGGGGTAGTTGACATACCTGTCCAGCACGGGTCTTGGTATGCTCCTTCTTGATCTGAACCTCGCAAACGTTGCTGGGATGCTGGATGACCTTGGAGATGTACGTCTTGTGCCGTCCTCGTACTTCACGGGCGATACGTTCGGCCAGGTAGGCAAACCCTCCGTACATCCAGTACTCCCAGAAGACACCGATACCATCGCAGAAAGGCGCAAAGTCGGGCTGAATCATACAGAAGGCTCCGTGGATCGACCAGAAAACGAAAAACACTATGAATAGGTGGTGCATGTACCAGAAGCGTTCGAAGTTTGCGCGACGAGCCTTCTCTGCAGCTGTAATCGCAATCGCATTGAGCGCAATCAACATGACATAACCACTCCATCCGGGTCCAGTCGCAAGGTTGGCTAGTATGAATCCCATAAATCCTAGGTTGTTCGATGCAGAGAACTTGGCAAGATTGTTCCAATGGGCGATGGTATGAACCCAGGAGAAGAAAACGATGGACCAGGCTACCAGCTTGTGGAAAGTAATGTTCTTATCGAAAGGAATTACGTCGTTCAACGGCGTACGGCGAGCCATGGAGATTAGGTTTCTGCATACTGGAAAGAGGATGAAAGCGACGTCGACATGAAGCACTAGAGCGGCTGAACGAGCGATGGGGAAGGTCAGGCCGAACCTATTCCTTGAACCGATGGAGTTATCTTTCAGCCCATAGTTCATCATACCAAAGACGAAGACCATGACGTGTAATATCGCAAAGGTAAAGACAAAGCTGGATACGTTAGTCTATTTGCTTCTTTGACCCAGTACTGCGACTTACAATCTTCGGTAACCCTCGTTGACCATCCACACATCAAATTTCTCTTTCCGGGTCAACTCTCGCGCCCTCTCATCCGACATCTCTCCGGACATGAGCATGCGCGTCAGTGGTGGCCATCGTGACCGCTCGCGACCGGTGAGGCTGGTGGTGTACGACATAGTTGCTAAGTAGAGCGAATGTAGCAACGATTGAATGTGTGGTGTGGATGGCGATGATCTTCAGACCTGCTGAATGTGGCCGAAGTGGAGCAACAAGTTCAAAGAGTGTCTAAGTTATCTGTGCAAAGGTTAGATCAAAGCCACCAGGGCCAGCGACACGGCAGCACGAGAAGCCATGGAAAAGAATGAAGCGACTTACTAAAAGTGCCCGCACAAAAGAAGAGAAATGGTACAAGAAGAGGCGTTCAGTCACCCGGCTAAAGAAGCACCGGCATGAAATCGGTCGAGTCTTGGGGTGAGTAGGGGAAACAAAAGCCTATAAGCCAACGTTGCGCAGCGGCGAACACAGGAAAAAGCGGCAACGACGACGGGGGTAGGGCAAGTTAGGTCAGCTCTGCCATTAGCGAAGTGGGTAAAGGGTATCAGTTCGTCAGATGGTCGGGAGAATGGGCAATACAGGGCCCAAAGAGCGAAACGGTAGCAGAAGTCGAACCATCTTCCATGGCTTTGCAGTGCGAAGCTGCGACACCGTAAGATCCGCCGTCTACGAGCGCGTATCGCAACGGGATGATAGCCAATTAGGGACGTGAGATGGCCTGACCAGGGCTAGACGCATGCCAAGATCCAACTCTGAAACGTGAATAGCTATGCATTTTAGTCTTCGCCGTATAAAATGGCAGAGCGAGGCGTTTGAGGGGTGTTTGGGACGTGGTAGGCTAAAACCTAGTGCGTTAGAGTGAGGCGCCTCCAACCTCGCCCCTGGCCGGTGCTTTGAGGCTCAACTGCCGATGCTAGTCAACCTTACGACTCCCACGTTGTGCTCCGACGGCTTTCGACCGCATTCCCATGTGGATCTGGACACAAGCTTCAGTGGTGCACGATAATCTTGCGGCATGGCTGAAAGTGACAGCTGTAAGAGATGGGTGTACTGCTGTTCGCACGCCTTGGCTGAATTTTGCGACTAATCACGCCTACCGAAGAAGTCTTAATTGCAGTTCCTTTTCATCGTTCGAATGCAACATCTCCTGAGCAGGCATATTCACATGTTGGCGATCCAACGGCTGTGGCGTCATCGACTTTCATTCAGATATCGTACTCGCTCGGCCATGTTCTGCATGTTTCTTTGAACGGTCGCCTACCCGCGTACCAACTAAATCCGATCTATTCCCGTCCAAACATCTCCAGTCTTAGAACCCAAACACCATGGCCGAGATCCACTTCAAGCTTCCATGCCAAACAAGAAGCTTTATTGCCAAACGTTGAAAAAAATGCGCTTACAACATCAGGAAACCACCACTCGCGGAGATCGTCTGGCCCGAAACCCACTTCGCGTCGTCGCTACAGAGCCAGGCCACAATTCTTGCGATATCGTCCGCAGTGCCAGCTCTTCTCTCTACTGCAGTCTGCTTCAATTGGGCCTCCACAACCTCTTTTGGCACATCGTCCAGCATTTCCGACTCTGTAGGACCCGGCGCTACAGCGTTGACTGTATGTCCTGCATCACCTAGCTCTTGTGCTAGGCTTCGGGTTACACCTTCTATCGCTGCTTTGGATGCGGTGTAGAGGGTCAACTTGGCAATACCTAGTCGGGCGCCTATGGACGACATGTTTATGATGCGGCCTGGTGCACGTAGATGAGGCACTACCGCACCTGTAAGAAGGAGAGGTGCGCGGACATTGACATCGAATATGCTGGCATAGTCCTCTGCTGTTGTCTCTGTAATAGACTTGTTCATCAGAACGCCAGCGTTATTGACCAGGATGTCGATCTTGTCACCAAACGCTTCTCTAGTCGCTGACACGATCTTTTCAGGTGCGTCGAGTTGTTGGAGGTCGGCTTGAACGATTTTTGAATCGCTACCGTTGCCAAGTGATTTAATTTTCGATGCGACCTCTTCCGCTAGCTTCCCGCTCTTCGGAGATGTGTAGACGAGAGTGACCTGTTCCACGTATAAGTGGCTTGGCTGACTTGGTTCGAAGTCAATCGACTGACCTTTGCTCCCCTTCGCGCCAGCTCTAACGCCAAGCCAGCCCCAATACCTCGTGAAGCGCCTGTGATTATAGCGACTTTGCCTTGTAGAGGGAATGTTGTTGGGTTCGACTGAGCAGACATGATGTCAACGGCCTAAATGTGTGTTGGTGTTCTGTATGGAGGTGTCAAATTGTTTGCTTGCAACCGTGTCTTATAGCATTCGAAGGCGCCCACATATCTAGCGACATGGTGAACAGTGATCGGAGATAATCGATGTGTTCGGATATACGTGTAATTACTGCGTTCTGATGTGGACTGGATATATCATACGTCATTGGCTCGTAATCACCGATGAACCTCATGAGTACCGAGAAGCTTCGGAAGATACTTTGTAACGAACGACGCAGAACAAGCTGTCGATCAGCTGTCAATAAGTTGATTAAAAAGCATGTCAATATTCCTGTGTATGGTGAGAATAATTGATGTGATGGGTAAGAATTATGTATTGAATTTGAAAGTATAGCAAATCGTTCGCTCGTAGACGGCAAACCTGTGTGCCTATCGGTGGCGTGTCTCCACCCTTTGTGACGAGTATCAACAGGCTCGATCCACTTCCCAATGCTCCAACAAGAATCAGCGCCCAGTGGTTAATCAAAAGCAGGCCGACGTCGGTCAAGGATGTGATGATATGGATTCAATCGAGACTGCGCTTGTCGATATAGTATGGGCGTTCCAATTATTATCCCGATAGTCGTAGAGTCGTCTGCTGACATGATCCTAACGGTCTCGTGTTTGGCCCAGCATCTCCCCCTCCCCCCTCCTCTTCCAACTATCGCTTGATGAAGCCGAGCAACGGGCCCTTCTTTGCATTCGGGTCCTTCTTCTTCGGATACATCTTAGATGTGACGAAGTGGACGTACCATATCAGGACACCAAAGACTGAGAGGCCGAAGATGACGAGGAAAAGTGTGATGACTGGCCGGCCATCGGCTTGCACAGAGCGTAAGGCGGCGGGCGTGAGAATTGGTGCAAGCCATTCGAAAGCCATGTTGTGTTTTTTTGGCTGCGTACGGTCAGATTGGACGAGATTTATGGGATGGTATTTGTTTTGTCGGAGCGTTTACGAGCTTGCGATGACGATCAGAATCAGGACAGCCGGCTGCCACTAAAAGAATGTATGAAGATATCGCCTGCGACTTGGAGAATCGAAGTAAGGAAAGGAAACGTGATATTGGGTGACAGCGACGGGAATGCGCAAAATGCGACAGTTAGCGTTCATGTATCCCCACCGCAGAGCCGCTCAAGCGGCAGCGCGACGGCCAAACCAGACTCGTTTCGCGCATGACCTGACCTCTTAGTATCCTTGGCAGATCGCATGATGTTTACAGAGAAGGCCATACGCATGGCGTATAGTAGCACGTTCGATGTGAGGCGACCGTCTGATATGCTGATTGTTTCAAATGCAAGGCGGGCCAAGAGACCATGGTGAGACGCTTTCGTTGCAGAATGTTCCGACGTCCAACTAGGAGCTTACATTACTTGCAAGGAGCATTGTCGGTGAGCCTACAGGGCTTCTTGGTGTAAGTAGTAATTGATGCCGAGTTGACTGCGCATCCTCGGATACTCTTGCGCTTTCGGACCTCGTATTAGACCGGATTTCCCCGAACCAACGAACAACCTGACAACGAGTCAAACAGGGTCGCTACAATGGACAACCACGTCGCATGTAGCCAATGACTAACCCGACAGATTGCTGTCTAGTCCCAACACAGCGCTCTCGAATCTTATCGTTGTGCTCTGCACGGTGTTATGCAACGGAGAGTTTGGTGGTGAGAACTAACTCATTCGATTGTTGGTTTTCTCACGTAAGCACGCCGCTCGCTCGGCTGTGATTGGACCCAAGAAAAACGCTGTTTTCACCGACAGTTCGCACAAATAGGACGCGTAGTTCCCAGCCATTCTTCAAGCTTACCGCATATCCACCATCTTTTTTTCGTCGAGCAGGAAACACTTCATCAAAACTGGTGTGTAAGTGCATTCACGGTTGCTGACCCTCAGGTACCCGGACGCACGACTCATCCACTTGTTCACTTTTCCCCCGCCTTCAACCTATCTTTTCGCGCCAGAGGTCACACAGGCTTATACAAGGTTATTCCAGTAACTTGTCTATCACCACACGTCAAGATGGCTCCCCTTCCTAAATCCGAGGAGTCCAACTCGCCAACAGAAAGACCTACCTCGCGAGACTCAGCCGAGCGGGGAAAGAAGCGCGCAAGTATGTCGACCGCCGATTCCTTGGTAGCGCCATCGAGTTTCTTTACTATCAATCGTCGACAACGCTGACACTACTGTACCGCGCGCAGGGACACAGTCGATGCCACCCCCGGAGCTACCCAAGTTAGTCGCCGAGCAACATGCTCCCATCCCGACCAACGACAAGGATACACAGCGCCTGATCGTTGTCCTCTGCAATGCGACCCTCGAGACTTATAAGGCGTCGCATGGCACCGGTCGGGGCCCCGGCGCGCGCGAGGACAAGTACAACCTGCTCAACAGCGACGATCACATCGGTGTAATGCGCAAGATGGGGCGCGACATTAGCGAGGCACGGCCTGACATCACACATCAAGTGCGTACAAGAGGAGGCTAAGGGCGTTCGTCAGCTAACGTGGCGTCACAGTGTCTGCTCACATTACTTGACTCGCCAATCAACAAGGCGGGCAAGCTCCAAATCTACATCCACACGTCCAAGAATGTGCTCATAAGGGTCAGCCCTACAGTGCGCATTCCTCGTACATTCAAGCGGTTTGCTGGACTCATGGTCCAACTCCTGCACAGACATCAAATCCGTTCGACGTCATCCCAGGAAAAACTCATCGAAGTCATCAAGAACCCCATTACCGATCACCTCCCCCCGAACTGCCGCAAGGTCACGCTCAGCTTCGATTCTGAAGTCGTACGTGTCAGCGATTACATTGGCGACCTCAACAAGGGCGAGAGTATTGCAGTCTTCGTAGGTGCCATGGCCAAGGGCAACGACGACTTTGCCGATCACATCAAGGACGACAGCATCGCCATTAGCCAGTTTAACCTCAGTGCCAGCGTTGCATGCAGTAAGTTCTGCCATGCTGCGGAAGACGTTTGGAACATCTTTTAGTTCAGCAGACGACCAAGGGTTGGACCTATCTATACTGGACACGCCAGCTAGCCCACAAGCAACAACTGACTCATGCGGACGAGTCGGATCACGGACCGCACATTGATGAAAGATAACCAGGACCTATAGGCTGCAGGACACGTTCATGGCTTAGATCGCAACATCGACAGCCTGAGCGCTACTGCATCTGATTTTGGGCGTCTGCTTGAGGTTTTTTTACAACAAAACAACTACTCTGGCTCAACGCACAACAATCAATCTTCTTTTGAAGATCGCGGGGCAGCTCAACCTACCCCGCACCTCCTGTTTTTCTTTCACCTTGTTCCATCGGCACAGTACGCTAGTCTGTATGCGCCCTGTGTACGGTGTCATATTACTGGTCTAATCATGGCCTGTCGTTCGATTTCGAAACGTGTCTGTCAGTAGCTAGCTTGTAGGATATCGCGGCTCTTCATCAACTCTAGGAGTTCTGAGCAAGAGGATCATCAGTGTTGGGAATGACATGTCTGGCGAATGAAAAAGTATACTTCACGTCATCTTCGCAGTACAATCCCTTGAACCCCTCTTCCAAGCATATACCCGGTTATTCGCTCATTCTATGCCTTATGAGGTTAGAGGTTTGCCTGAGAGGACTCATCGCATTCTGCGCGTGTGGCGGGAGGGCAACGGGTAGCATCTATACATGGAGCCGCATCGCCGATCTCCCATGATGATCTCGCGTAAACATCGATAAAAGCAACAGCATGGCAAGTCCTACCGACTTTTTGGTGCGACTCCAAGAATCTACCACGATGCCTGCAATCGTAGCCTCATTACAGCATCATCTTGGTTCTTGTGCGAACGGTGCCCCATTATCGACGTCACACCATGTCCAATGGCGCGTTACGACGACAAGTGGCGCATCCAGACCGCAAATACTCAGTTGCACGCGACAAGCGGCCAGAATGCTACGAGTCCATATGTACTATAGCGCAGTGCGCAATGTGAGGCGTGCGGCGACTTAAACCTCTCGCGGCTCCGGGCCGACGTTGAGGACCAATGTCATACACCGACACCTCGCTTACTTTAACAAATTTGTTAGCTGCAGACGCAGGACATGTGGCAGCATCACAACATCTTAACAGCGACCTCCTTGATAGCTAACTGCAGCAGTGGGGCATGCTAGTAGGGTGTGTCCCGCAACGGTATGGAACGCCCTGCCACTCGGTTCACGATGCATCGAGACGCTGCACCTGGACGGGGTCATGATATAAACCTCGAGGTCGTACCGATACTTGCCCTCCCTACTCACACCATACATCTCCAGCAGCTCTGACACGATCACACCTCATCGTGTGCATATCTACACCCTGTTTTCTTCTTAATTCTCCTCTTGGCGATTGTTCTATCCGCGTCCTGTCGTTCTAGTTTCTGTTCACCGCTGTTTAGCAATGCCCGTCTCCCACATTGGCCTCACGGTATCGCATCTTCCAACCTCAACATCATTCTTTCTCTCTGCGCTTCAACCACTGGGCTACCGCTATATCGGCCAGTTTGGCAACCAGATTGGCCTCGGAATTCATGATGCCGACTTCTATCTCTGCCAAGAAACGCCTGGGTCAGTACCACAAATGATCACCAGGCACACCGCAACTGACAGCTGAGTAGTGTAAGAGCCGGCGCTGCACACATCGCATTCACCGCAGCTAGCACGACCGCAGTCCGGAACTTCTATACCGCTGCATTGACTGCCGGCGGTCGTCCTAATGGATCACCGGGTTCTCGTTGCGCGGAAGACGGTCACTTCAATGCCGCCGTACTAGACTTTGACGGAAACAGCATCGAGGTCGTATACCGGAATGGACCAGACATGAGGAACGACGGCACCATCATCGAACACAGCAGAGTCATCACCTGGCAGAGGACAGTTTCGCAGAGCTTCCGGGAAAGCCCGAGTATTTTCAGCGCTCACACATGTGCTTCGAGAGCGGGCGCAACACCAGTCGCACCACCGGCCGAAGCAGCTATTCCGAAGGCACCAACTATAGCCAGAAGCGCCTCTGCACCCACTGTCGCTCCTGTTCCCGAAGCGACGACAAAATCCGATTCCGGTAGTGGGGCTGCCACGCACATCCTCGGAACATTACTTGGAGCTGCTGCAGGTGCAGCCGTCACATATGCATTCATGCGGAGCGAGAGAGATAGTGCGAAGAAAGAGGCGGATTTCAGCGCCTTCATGGACGCCAAAAACGCGGTCAACACTGCGGCTGGCTTCTTCGCTCAGGCCCCATCCCAACCCCCGACACCCCAGCAGGACCCACAACCCGCGCAACCACCTGTCGAGACCACCGCACCGCCAATTCCTGCTCAGCCAGTAGTACACCGCATTGAAGACGACGCGCGATCTTCCTATTCGCGCGCCTCCCAGATTCCCAGGACTTCCGTGCCGCGACAGATCGAGGCTGCGCCCGCTAGCTACTACTCACCGTCTCAGTTTGAAGCTCCTCGCACGCAGATCGCGGAGCCTCTCGCGATCGAATATGCCCCTGCATACTCTGTTGCCCCGTCACGGGCTCCTTCAAGGCTCACGCCAGCTCACCGCTCCAATACCAGCCCTGAGTTGTTGATGATCGAAAGGGCGAGAAGCACTGTCTCCACAGCGAAGCCGGAAAGTATCGCAATGACTGCAAAGCCGCCGCGACCATCGTCCAAGCCTCAAAGTGTCGTCTCGAAAGCACAGAGTGTAGCACATAGTGCAGCTCCTAGCTCTTTCATCTCGTCGTTCGTGGCAGATCGTGACGATGAAAAGAGTAGCTCGGGTAGGTCTAAGGCCAGGTCGTCTCACTCTTCATCCTCGAAGCATACCTCACACAAGGAGCACAAAGAGCATGGTAGTAGCAGTCGAAAAGAGCGTAGCTCATCGCCTTCTCCACCAGCTCCTGCATCCAAGGCTCCGTCTAAAGCCCCCACCAAGGTTGCATCCAAGGCTGCTTCGATCGTCAGCAGTATCCTAGGCCGTGACAAGTCCAAGCACGATGATGACGACGACTTCATCGACGACCTTGACATCGAAGAGCTAAGCGAGGACGATCTTGACACCGTCGTTCCCAGCGACAGTATCTCCCAGATTGGCGATGCTCCACGACGCAGGCACCGTTCCCACCGCAGCCACAAGACTAAGAAGGACGACGACGCTGAGACTTCTGTGAGTCACCGCAGCAAGAAGCACAGTGATGACAAAGAGTCGTCCGTTAGCCACCGCAGTAAGAAGCAAGATGATGACAACGAGTCGTCCATCAGCAAATCATCACGCTCTCACCGCTCTCACCGTTCGCGGAAGACATCTGCCGACTCCGCTGACGACGAGGACTCGTCACGCCCTCACCGTTCCTCTCGCTCTTCCAAGTCTAAGCCTTCTATTACCTCTGAGCCCAGTGAGGTATCAACTGTCCGACCCGTCAAGCCTTCCAAGACATCAAGGAAGGATAGCTTGACCCAAGGCCAGTACGATAACCTTTTCGACGAAGTGCGATATGGAACTGGTGCTGTGCATGCCTCCAGGCACCCTCCCACACCCAGTATGGTTAGTGCGGCACGCAAGAATCCCAGTCGCAGCATGATCAAACACACCACCGCAACCAAGATGAGGAACTTTGAAGGCAGTCAGGTCGGGCGGGCAAGGGATGATAGCGATTAGTTCGAATTCTCTCTCTCTCTGTCTTTTGCATGTTGTACCGTTGTACCATTGTATCGCGTCGCAGGTCTGCTTTTGCTTTTGCTTTCTTGCTCTTGCATCTGCGTAATGCTCTCTCATCGTATCGCGTCTTTGTTGCTCCTTTTAGCGGTCTGGCATTTCACGGCGCGGCATTGGTATGGCGTTCTGTTTTGGCTTGTATGATTACCATAGAAATAAACGAAAGGCAACGAAATGAATAGAATGAATATATGGGTGGAATGGGAAAACAAGTCGTCTCTGGTTCAACTTCGCTTGCCTATGTGTGCTCTTATGTTGTCTTACATTGCGCTCCTGATCATGCTCCATTCTTCTCGTCTTAACATTGATATAACTCAGTCAGCTCTTCTGCGTCTTGGGTTTCTCCTTCTCGCTTTCGATCCTCTACGCTATACCTTCCGCACTTAGCCGTTGCAAGTCACAACGCTGCATACCACACTCCTCATCTTTTTGTATGTAGTAATATTCTATTTTATTGCAGGTTGCTCCGTCGGTGTTGGCTTCGAAACCGGCATGTGGATGGACCGTTACACCCTTGTGACCGCAGGTGTAAGTGATAATAAAGCGCTTGCACATCTTGTTGGTATTGATTTGTAGGTCGTTCAACAAGGTTGAGAAATCTCGGTGGTGGAGTAGGTAGTGTAGATGTAAATATATGTAATGATTTAGATTGGGTGGTACTGGGTGTGTAGAAAATTGTATGAGGATGTAGAGAAGGTGATCGAAGATATATACTCCCTCCCTACTCTGGTGAATGTATATGTGTGATCAGATAAACTTGTAATAGAACGATGAGGCACATACATACTTCGCTCAATCTTTGACGCACACATATTGAATGAGAACTCGATAGTTACACGCTGGACATAACATCACTGCCGAACCTCAAGCACTAACAGGTCCTCCTTCCCTAACCTTACTTTTAACCCTTCGCCAGCTCACTTCGCGCGGAAAAAGTGCTTCAGGCGGCCCTTGTCCTGGATCGCATTCCCAGCATTCTCCTCCTCTCTCTCGATTAACTTGAGTAAGGAAAACGCACTCCGGATGGCGTGTGCAGTTGCGCCGGACCCAGAACTCGTGTTGACATGTGCTGTGCTTAAGGATGACTTTTGTACACATCTTTTTCCGGTGCTAGTGGAGAATGTGCAAGGTATCAATTCGCTCTACTCTGTGGAGGATGGTAGGTTTGGATTGTGATATTGCGGCTCTGGACTGGCATTTTGTAGTGTGAAGCAGTGTCTCCGACACTATGCAAGCGGACGAAAGGTCTTGGTCGACTTTAATGTATGTCCGGCAGGGCTCGCAAACGTCCACGTGAGTCGGTTCACTCTTCAATCTGACGAACTTGACACGCTCGATAGAATGTGATGGGTGAACCAAGTACCCGACTCGACTGGCAAAGCTGTGAAGGCCGGATCGTCAGTGGCGCGTTGGTGAGTAAAACAACAGCCGAATGACACAACCCGCCAAGGGAAGTGAACGAAGATCACTTACGGCTTTGAACTCCGTAGTCCTGATAACTCTAATAAGCTACCGATTTTGCCCAAACAGGAAGTCCACGATGGACGTCACACCAGTAGTAGACCAGCGACGTTTCGGGTCCGGCAAGGACCCTGAATGCTCCCATATCTTCACATACTTATACACCTCCAAATTCTGCAATCACCCCGCCTTACTAAGCCCGTGCGCCCAAGCAATCTTGTGGTGAACCCAATCAAGTTTTACCCTAGGAGCTCAGCATGCGATCGCCGATTCACCTCTTTCGGGCTCTGTGTCCCACCCATATCTCCATATAATCCTCACGAGAGGTGAAAACGAGCAGACTAGGCTTGATATGACCTTGAATACAGTTGAAGAAGGTGTAGCGTGTCGTATCGGTGATGGGTTGAGCGGCCCGATGGTTCTGTTAATAAAATGTCATCGCCGATTGCCAGCCTCGTCCTCGGCCGTTTCGGAAGCTCGTGCGCTGACACAGTTGAAAAGGCGGAAAATGAAGTTGTATCGGAATCGTCGTGTCCATTGGTAGTGCGAACGTGGACTGCTAGAGTGAAGCAATCCAGGTGTATGCTAAACAATTCCGGGTATCTTATTAAACAGTACATACTACTATAGCCAAACTCCTCGGGTCGGATATCTGCACAGGCTGAGCCTAGTAGAAAGCATCTGGATTGTTGTCATGGCTTCGGTTTCCATAGCCGTGGTCAACATCATCTAAACTCCTATACTGTCCACCGCCACCACGACCACGTCCCCGACCGCCGCCGCCCCGATCTCCCCGATGACCACCACGAGCACCTCCTCTTTGACCGTACGAAGGATTTCTGTTGTTACCACGGCCACGATCTCGGTTGCCACCACGGTAGCCACCTGGTCGGTCATCTCTGTCTCTGCCTCCTCGGCCGTGGTTTTGCCGGTAGTTGTCGTGACGGCCGTTCTGGTCCTCCCTGCGATGAGATTTGTTGGGGAAGTAACTCTCATACTCGCTCTCGTTTGCAGTCTCTTCCTCGATGCGCAGCATCTGCTTCTCGCCTACAACGCTGTCGAACTCGAATGCCTGATCCTGGGATACGGGATGCCAGTTCACAATGCGTGCGGCATCTGCTGGCCGACCGTTCTTACGAATAGCCAGGACTACCGTAGGCACAGGGTTCTCTGAATAGAACTTGGTTCCTTTGGGCACAGTTTCTACTCTCGCCGCCCAGAGTTTGTTCTCAAAGCAGGAGATGGCCGTCACCTTCCACCTGACCCTCGCTCCTATACCGCCAACCTTATCGAGTATGCTCTTCGGGCATGGTTTCGGTGTGATGAGTATGCTGTTCGCGAGGTATCGGATGTCATCCCTCGGAGCACCCTGGGGTAAGGAGACGAGTGATGTCAACTTGTCGGTTACGTCAGAAGGAATCATGTAGCCGGTGTAGAAGACAGTCTTCTTGATCTGGTACGGCGGTGTACCAGGCGGAGCGGTGCCTGACTTGACTTGTATATTGTGCGCGTTAATCAGCTTCTGTATTTCGGCGATCTCGGCGACCGGGTCGAGTTGCGTGGCATTCTCTGGGACCTGAATGACTTCAGTAGTAATGGGCCGGCGCGACGCCTGGTTTTGTGCCCTCAGTAAGTCCTCGTTGAACTGGAAGAAGAAGTCGCGGAAGCCCTTTGTATGCTTCACGCGGTCCTCGTATATGTTCAACTTCTCTGCATCCTTGTATGTGTAGACAATGTCTTTCAGCAGCTCTTGCTTGAATTCCATGGTGTTCCTAAATTTCTGACCTGCAGGGCCTATCGAAGGCTTCAAACAGACCATATCAAAGTCTAATCGTTTGCTGCGAACCATGCGCTTGACGAGGTCAGCGAAGTCAGATTCTCCTCTTCCAGTGAGAAGCACACTAAGCGCATCCTTTTGGGCCATGGAGGATTCGACAAGTTCGACGATCTGTTCGTTCCACCAACCTTGCCATGCGCGCGATTCCTCCTTGTCAATGCCTTCGCCCGTCGCGGCTAGAATGCTCGAGTCGTGCCACCAGCCTCCGTTGAGGAACATGTCGGGTGATCCCAGCTGGCCTATGGTCGCGCTGTTCCATAGCTGCTTATTCGGCAGAGGACTTGCGAACACTGTACAAGTCAGCTCTAGTTGTAGCAGAGAGTCGCGATGTACATACACGTATTGTCGAAGTCGTAGATGTGAATTGCCTTGACGTCGGATACGGCAGGTAGCTCTTTATCATCGCATGACCACCTTTTCAGTGCAGTTACAGTATGGTATGTCGCCTTTCCATTTGGGCCTGCGACAGCAGGCCTGGTTGAGGTTGCTAGCATGGCTGGTAATGAGCGTCGGATAGAGGGCGAAGTGATGCGTCTAGTGGCGGAGAGGAGCATCCAGCGCGAAAAATGTGCGGCAGTGGGCGCTAGGGGGTCCGCGATGAATTGCACGTCTTTGGACACGTGCAGCGAGTGTGAAGGTGAGTGTCGAGCGATCAGGCTGCGTTTGAATTGGAAGTCGCGACCACTTTTGGTTGGCCCAAGCTCAGATGGGATGAGCTCATCACCCGAACCACATCTTCCTTCTTTCACTCCCACAACTCCAAAAGGAAGCGCATGCCAGCAAGTACGGCCGACTCGACACAAGGCGACTCAGAGGAGACTTGTGTGATATGCCTCTCTTCAGTAACAGAGAGGGCCATCGCCTATCCATGCAACCACTACACATTTGACTTTGTATGTCTGGTGTCCTGGTTGCAGGAACGGTCGACTTGCCCGCTATGTAAGATGCCTTCTGCCTAAACTATAAATTCATCTGACAATATATGTAGGCAAAGCACAAGTTACCGCGGTGCAGTACGACTGGCGCTCTCCGACTGACTACAAAAGCTATACTGTTCATCGCAGCCACCCACCCAGCACTACTCGACCTACCCATGCGTCCCATAGCCGCACCGATCGACCTGGCTCTCTTTTCGCACCTTACGGACTGCCGAGCAGACCACGTGGCCCGCGCCGTCCATATTCGCCACCGATTGAAGATGTTGCGTTGCGCAGACGTAGAGACGTGTATCGAAGGAAACTGTATTCGCTGCATGTCGGTAGTAATCGCTTCTCAGGATATCGCGACATTTCTCCCCAAATGATCGCAAACTCGCCTGAATTGCAGTCGAAAGCACGTGCTTGGATTCGACGCGAACTCCGTGTCTTCACCTTCTTGCACATTGATTCAGCGGGTTCATCCTCTAATGCAGCTACGACGAGTAGCAACGCCGAATTCTTGCTGTCATACATTGTGTCGATTCTGAGAATGGTAGATCTGAGGGCAAGTAACGGACACGCGGAGAATTTGTTGTCGGAATACTTAGGCAGAGAGAACAGCAAGCTATTCCTTCATGAGCTGAACAGCTGGCTAAGGAGCCCGTACACGAAGGTCGAGGCATGGGATCGGGAAATTCAGTATCAAGAAGATCTGGAACAAGACTAGACCCCTCTATATCTAGTGGAGGCTTAATCAGCCTTCGCAGCATAGCCACGCATGAGACGCATTACTCGGAAGCGAACCTCGTCCAACATTCGCTCTATTACTACTTGAATCGCCACAAAAAGTCACTCTCCGGATGCATGTGACTATTTCAGGGTGTTCGCATGATACCGTTCGAGACGTTGCATCTTCTGGCTAGACCCACTAAGGCTTAGTACACCACTACGTTAATGTTTCGTGTCAGTTTCGCGTACCGCCCATCTGACCACTCTGCATTCCAACCAAATGTCGCATACCATGCGTAACAGAGCATGCGTTCTTCACACCAAAATTCCGTCGACAGTGCTTCTACTACCCTATTCTCGGCTGACAGTGTATTCTCGCTATGGCTCTAGGAATTCGCTTCGGGATGCCGTTACTGATTCTTTCGAGAGACTATGGATACAGACAATGTTTCGACTTCTCCGCCCACTTTGCTTGGTTGGGTCTTGATGTTTCGACAATGCAGCAACGCTGCTACACCCTGGAATAACCTTCCTTAGTATTGCCCCGCCACAACGGATGCACGATATGCTTCATATGTGGGTAGGTAGACGGGGTTGCTATACTCTACCTTCTTCCTCTTCTTTCTCCTCTTGTCGATTCTGCCGTGGAGGCAATTCTCTTCCTGTCTTCACTTCTTGTTCTTAATTTGAGTACACTATTGGCGCTGGATCGCTCTATTTAATAATTAATTCCTTTAACGGCAGAGCTTCTGATCCTGCTGTAAAGCCCGGAGCTTGCACATCCACGTCTCACTCCTCGGCCGCGTCTTTGGTATCAACATGCGTTCCTCCGTTGTATTATTCGGCGCCCTTTGTGGTCTCTCGACTGCGAACCCTCACCCATGGATATATGGTGTCCCCGACTACCCAGACCTCGACATGAATGAGGTCATGACGGAAGCAGACGTAAACTTGATGATGGTAGCAGTAGTTGAAAACAGTACTACCACGGGTTCGACGGGTGCGCTGAACTCGTCAACTCCCTCATCAGCCTCTCCTGGACAGGAACCCTGTGCGGTTGTCAGTATGGCCATAGCAGCATTACCCTCAGGAGCCCGGCCCGTCGTTCCGGCAGAGTTGGGAGTAAAATGTCTGCAATCCGTACCTCTCGACAAGGAGGGAAATGTCAAGTTGATCGACGATATCAAGGTCATGGTCAAATGGCAATCGAACATCGCCTACCTCAAGAACCCACCGCAAGATTACACCGAAGAGCCCATCGACATTGTGGGTGAGCTAGACACTATGCAAAAACAAGTAGCTGCTGGTGGCTTCAAGACCGAATACGATTTCCAGCTCAAGATGCTAAACCTCTTCACCAAGGCTTACGATAACCACTTTGCTTATCAACCCGATATTCTTGCTTCGGCGATGCAATTCCAGCGACCTCCTGGGTCGGAGTTGGTCTCTATTTCGTCGGATGGTATGGCACTTCCAGAGATATATACATACAGAGATGTTGTGAAAGCAAATAACGACTCTTCCTTCAAGCCGTCGCCCGTTAAGATGATCAATGGCGTTAGCGCTCAGACCTATCTCGCGAACGTATCGGCTGACTCTGATTTTCACGACGCTGACACACGATGGAATGCACTTTTCCCTTCCCAAGCTCTCCTGGCATCCGGCACTACCTTTCTCGGAAGCTTCAGGACTGGACAATACCAGGGCCCGAACACGACCATGGAATTTGCTAACGGGACCACCTGGTCTCAAATGAACCTCGCTGTCGTCTTTGGAAACTTCACTGGTGTCGATAGTGGTAAGGCTTTTTTCCAGAGATTCTGCACTGGACCGAAGCCTGTCTCTGCTGCTCCTGCTCCCTCGCCTACCAGCAACTCCACAAGGACCGTTACTCCTACGGCCACACCGACTCCCTCACACATCGGTTACCCGAAGGCTGAGCTTATCAATCCAAACCTTGCCGTCGGAGGCTACTATCTCAGCGGCTCAGGATATGAGGTATGTCACACCTATCATATGTCTCGTTTGTCTAACCATCATAGGACGTTGCTGTTCTCAGTATCCCCTCCTACGAGTCTCCCGACGTTCAAAGTTTCCAGAATACAATGCGAGACTTCATAAGGATGTCTCAGAAAGCGGGCAAAACAAAGATGATCTTTGACTTGCGAGGCAACGGTGGAGGCAATGCGATTCTAGGCTACGATACTTTCAAACAAGTATACCCACAGGCAGCCGCAGAACCATTTGGTGGAACACGGTTCCGCGCGAATGATGCTCTGAATGCTGCTGGTAAAATCACCGAAAGCTTCCTGGCCAACAAGACATATGCGCAATCCAACCGGACCGCCTTCGTAGAAGCATTTGGCCGCGGTGCCACGCAAGCCGACATCTTTGGCTTCACAGCCGGGTTCAACTACCAGCACATTCTCGATGTTAACAACAAGGCTGCAACCGGCTGGAATCAACTCTTCGGTCCCCAACAAGCGAACAATGATTCCTTTACCACAACCCTTCGGTACAACTTCTCAGACAGTATTAGCACAACGTACTCGGGCTTCTCTGTAATCGGCTTCAACGACAACACCAACGAAACTAGCACACCACAACCCTTCCAAGCCCAAAACATGGTCATGCTGCACGACGGCATGTGTTCCTCAACCTGCGCCATCGTCTCCGAACTACTCAAGAACCAAGGCGCAGTCCGAACAATCGCCATTGGCGGACGTCCTCAAACCGGCCCGATGCAAGGCGTAGGCGGCACCAAAGGCGCTCAGGTCTTCTCCTGGGACGACATCCAAGTCCGCATGCAGGCCGTCTATTTCCTCGGCTCTCCCGATGAACAAAAAGCCTGGATGACAATGGATCTCGGTAAAACGGCTTTCGCAACACAACTCTTCAAGCGATCTGCGTACCAAGGCGGACGGATCGCTGGCGGCGTCAATCTCAAAGATAACTTGAGACAAAACGATGCTAGTGCCACGCCCTTGGAGTTCATCTACGAAGCTGCGGATTGCAGAATGTGGTTTACAGGCAAGATGGTTACTGATGTGACAGAAGTGTGGAAGGGTGTTTCCGACCGCATGTTCAGCGGAAATGGCACGATGGGATGTGTGCAGGGGAGTACAATGGATCCTTCCAGTGTCAGCGGTGGAGGACAACTGAGAGGTGGAGATGGGAAGCTGACGATGAAGAGTGAAAGCACAATTGCTGTTGCGGGACAAAGTGCGAATGTGAATGGTAGCGTGCCGCAGCAGTTTACTGGCAATGCGCTAAAGACTTCGATAGGAAGTCTGGGTTGGTGTGCTGTGGCTGGTGTACTAAGTTTGGTAATAGCACTGTAGACTTCCGGGCCTTTGCTCTTCATATCTCCGTCTCCATTATTTGTACGTTCTTTCTTGAGGGATGTGAATGTTCACTCGTATATACGTTTTGAGGATAAATGTATCGAAGTATGTACAGAAAAGACTGTAGTTTAAAGAGACGCTTGGGCCTCATGCCCTGGGGCTACTGCCTGTGTCTCGCTCTGGAGCTCTGGTTACTGCCGTTGACAGTTTACCACGCGTTAGCAGACCACTGGTTCACAGTGAACGTTGCAGGTCCACCAGTGAAAGCCTCGGTACCGAATTGGTAAGCTATCAACACATTAGCAAACATGCAGCGATATACGTCTCAAAGGAACTTACTGATGAGGTTCTGGCTCGAAGCGGGATAACCCTTGTTGTTCTGGAGGTAGGTGAAGAAGTCCTTGAGGTTCGCCTTGAAGTTGTTGATGGGGCTGGAAGGTACGAAGCTGTAGACCTTCATGGAGCCGTTCGGGCCGTAGAAGAGTTCCCAAGTGCGACCACCGACGTTCACCATACCCTGCGAGGTACCGATAGGGTAGACGTCGTATCTTGCGAGCCAAACCATAAGTTCGTAGTCACCGCTGCTGGTGTCGTGGTTGACGTTCGCAGCAGTGAACAGGTCATATGCAACATTGCAGCGGATGTTGTTGCTGTCGTAGACCCAGTATGCCTCTGTCTCCAGGTTGCTGTACTGGCTAACGGGCTTCTTGGTGATCTGACGTCCTGAGTAGACGTAGGATTTGACGTTGTCCTTGCCACCAGTCCACTGCCAGTGAGTATGCCATTTAGCGCCTGTGCTTGACACGCTGTCTACGTAGGTGCATTGTTGTCCTGAGGTTGCGGCACTGCGACCCCAGATGTTGTTGTTCAGCTCATAACCGTTGCTAGAGAAGTACTCGTAATCCTTGCAGAGTGTCTGTTGTTGCGCGAAGGTAACGGAGGCGAGAGCGCCGAGGATGAATGAAACAGCCTTCATAGTGTGCGTTCGGCGGCTGGACGTTCGCTCGAAATGTTGATTGCTGTTTTGTGATCGATCTCTTCGTGCGGAGTGCCAGACATTTTGTACTCCCCAAACTGCAGTCCTTCAACTGTCCACAACATCGTTACTCGACTTTAAACGGTGGTGGTTATTCAGAGTGGGCCTTCATATAATATGTGCTTCGTCAAGCGCGATCCGTCCCTAGATTCCGAAAGATCATCCTGTCAACTCTAGTGTCCACCACCTCGTGGCCAGCATTGCTAACACAAACACCTGACACAAGTAGGACCGTTACGGAGATCTCAATATATTTCACCAATGAGAGGAGTATAGGCTTACCTGATCTAGTCGCGTGCATTGACGTTTCTCGTCTCCGCACGTACTTCTGCCTCGGAAGATTAACTCGGTCGTCTTAATATTTGCCGTTATCATTTCCCGAGAATCTGGCCTACTCGAAATCATACCAGAGCTCGGAAACATATCTTAGAACGTAGAAGCTTCCGACTACAGCCTTGTTTACTTGTAACATCGGGCTCGCTACCGTTCGATCAAATATGGATGGTCTATGTGCAAGGTAAGTATGATGCAATACTACTGGCTAAGGTTGGTGAAGTTCATAGGCCTTGAACGCATGGGTCCTGTTAAAAGATATTCAATAGACGGAATCTTTGCCCGATATCCCTGGCGAGTCGTGTTGAGAAAGTGCGGTACGTGAAATAATAGGTGTGCGCTCACTGACAACTTGTTCCTTGCATCAATCGACGAAAAGAGTGGCTGTAGCTGCTACTGAAACCCCCACTATCAGAAACTGGGTTTGTAGAAGATGCCCTGCTTTTGTGATTGCCCTTTTGAGGAAGAGTAAGAGCAAGAGCTGATAGGTAAGAGACTTAGAAAGAAAAGGAGAACGCGATACTGGCTGTAGATGAAAACAGGTATTAAGAATTCGTTCCGTCCATGTCATCGTTGACCTCAACTCGTGTATGATGATTTGTTTGATGCTTAAGAGAAGCACATTGGCTAGCACGAGTGTTGTTTCCTCAGGAGTCACTTGTTGCCAAGCCGGGCTGCCGCACCTCGCCGCACTTTTGCGCAACACTACTTTTGCTCTACTACCCCTTACGTCTCTCTGCCAGATTCTTGCAGAATCTATTGATCGAGCTTGCGACTCCTTTCCTTTGCGTCGAAAAACCTTACGTGTCTTACGACCTTGTCGATAGGGTTTGATGCTGTAAGGAATGGAGCATGTTCTGCATAGTGTTGAGCAAGGCATTGTCAAGATACCAGAGTGATCAGAGCAGAGAGAGATTGTGGTTTTGGCAACGACTATATGGCTAACAGGAGGGTGGAACTGGGATGGTTCTGTTGTGAACCCATGGCGACGAAGCGTGAACCATGGCTAGTTACCTATTGGATTGTACCTTCCATAACCTCGTATGGGCTCTGTAGGAATGTCACATGCACAGAACGTAAACAGTGATCGGTAGCATCACCACGGCCTAGTTCGTCGACAATACCCCTGACTCCGCTTCTTGCCCCATCCAGCATGCGTTGTGGGCCACATCGAAAATGACTGTATGGGACGAGCGTGGCCACACCTGATCAGCCGTTAGATATCTTGATCTTTCTTTGAGGCTTGCATGATGTAGTTATCATGAAACACATATAACCTTGTATATCGAACATTTGTGTTCTAGGCCGAGATCGTCCCGCTCTCAGGATTGATTTTGTGAGCGCCAAGCCACGGAGCCGCTGACTAGGGAAGTGTTCATGGGCCCGTGCGACGATGAAGGATCAACACAATCCCTCCAACGGATCATAACGACTCTAATAAGCCATCGTTACGACAGTCACGACAGCGGGGCGAAGATTACTATCTCCTTACACATCGTACCTAGCGACGATGTTCCGGCGCTTTTGCTCACAGGAACATCGGACACTGCTCGATAATGCGCGTCTCCTCGCTCATTTCCACTCCCGCAGGTGTCTGCGGCATGACGGAACATCTTGACGCCGCTGTTCAGTGCTGTCCTGGGCGGTAATACATGGCGTTTTCAGCCACTGAACCGAAATGAGGGCCTTCGAAAATATCCCTCGCTCCTACCGCGATTTTGTAGGGCTGTGAAATAAGGCATCGGCCATCATCACCTACTCATGATGGTCAGGTAGAATACCGCCGCACAACGACCATTCTCACTTTAAAGAGAGTAAGGGAGAAGAAAATACCGAGGCTCTCGGGGTTCACTGGCTCCAAAGGGGTTCATCGCCAGATCAACTCAAGGGATGTCCTCGCTCATGTTTCATGTTCCTTGAATCAAGAGCCCAAGATGCTGCACCTAGAACCGATCGTCACAGGGTATGCACATAGTCTCAACACCGCCTCTTGAATCCTGCGTCCTCAAAACGGTAAGGCTCTGGCTTCAACTGTCATACCAGCCATTTTTCCAACGGCCCCTGTGCTTCTAACGGCGGATCTAGCCTTTTCCTAGCACTAGTGTCGTGTAGGATACGATGAAGTCTCATGTCTGCCTGCACGGCTAACCGCCGCCATGTTCCTGGTGGCTGTTTTAGTTGGAGCACTGAACTGACATGTAATCACCAAGCGAGATGGCGATATGTTGGCTCCGTGATTCCGTATACGGAAGGATTCTGTGCGTATAAAGTCCACGGTGCCCACATTGATTGGAAAGGCACGCTTGACGCTCAACACACTCGTTCTATACACGTTCTTTTTTCAATCTTTGAATTCTTCGATCTTTACTTCGTCGTTCTCTTCAGACAGTCACTCTTTACAAGAACAAATACTCAATCAACCAATCAACTCTTCAATCCCACATTCAAAATGAAGGCCTCCATCTTCGCTCTCGCTCTTGCTGGTGTTGCTAGTGCTCACAGCACTGTTTACAGCATCTCCGTCAACGGAAAGTCCCAGGGTCTCGGAAATGTCCAGGGTGGATACATCGACTCACCTCCCAACAACGACCCAATTAAGGATGTTACCTCCAAGGCTATGGAGTGCAATGTAGCCAACATCAAGGCTTCCAAGTCCGTTGCCGTCAACGGTGGTGACAAGATTGCTGTACGTACTCCAATGGTTCACTTTGAATAGAACTTGAACTGACGAGTACCTCTAGGTCGAGTGGCACCACAACAACGCTGACGCTAGCGACGACATCATCGACCCATCTCACAAGGGACCTATTACCGTCTACATGTCTAAGGCTGGCTCTTCTATGTCATGGACGAAGATTGCTGAGGATGGCTACGACGGCAAGTCATGGGCTGTCGAGAAGCTCATCAAGGGCTCATACACCGGCAAGCCAGGACAGCATGAGTTCACCCTGCCCAATGTTGCACCGGGCGAGTACATCATCCGCCCTGAGATCATCGCTCTTCACGAGGGTGACCGTATCGGTGGCGCGCAATTCTACCAGGAGTGCATTCACATCAAGGTCGGTGGCTCTGGCACCACTGCTTTGCCTGCCGGTGTTGCCATCCCTGGCTACCTCAGCGCCCAAGACCCGGGTGTTCACTTCAACCTCTACGGCTCCTACTCTAGCTACCCCATGCCAGGACCCAAGCTCTGGAACGGTGCCGGTGCTGCTGCCCCTGCTAAGCCCGCTCCTGCTGCTCCTACCACCACCAAGGCCGCTGCTCCTGCCCCTACCAAGGTCGTCGCCCCTACTACCACCAAGGCCGCTACCCCAGCTAAGACTACCCTTGCCACTATCGCTAAGCCTGCTCCTACTGCTGGCGGTGCTGGTGCTCAGAAGTACGGCCAGTGCGGTGGCAACGGCTTCACAGGTCCCAAGACCTGCGCTTCCGGTTGCAAGTGCGTCAAGCAGAACGACTGGTACTCTCAGTGCTTGTAAGTACGTATCGATGATCATGGCGTTGCTGGGCCATAAAAAGATGCTGTCAGTATCGGGTGTTCTTCATGATGGATAAGGGATATATTAGGCCTTTTTTTTTTGAGTAGAGCTTTGTTAGTGTTTAGTGGGCTTGTCTCCTGCGATGAGCGGCTTGAGCGTCGCCTGTCTTCAGTTCTTGTGTATATACATAATTCTCACGACGAATTGGAATCGATGCCTTTTCGACTTTAACGTATTTGCTGTTCTGATGATAAATTCTCGGTCTCTTGTTGTGTTACATTTCTAGATGGTATACAGGAAAGTAGGAACATAATACGTCACAGCATCGTCTAGCGCTTATGTGGCTCATGCAGATGGCCTTGGAAGTCTCGCGTAACCGCAGAACTGGCTCTGCGTGAGATACTTTGTAACTCGTACTTCAGGTCCCAAACATACACCCGGCATCTTCGCATGCTCTCGGAATGTATCACGATGAGTCAAGATCACCATATCAGCATAGGCCCCATAGGCTTTGTATCCGAGGAAGCCTTTTCGTATGACAGTCTTGCGTGGCCTCGCGCGATTCGAAGTCGAAGTCGAAGTCGAAGTCGACGTCGCACGAGTGGAAGGTACAAGCTTGGGTAAAGAGCTCCTACAGCAGATAGAGTTGTTGGAGGGTCGCCCACGAGGCAAAGCTAGAGACGAGCCAATTCTCGACCTGATCTATCGACAATGTCTCCCTCTCCTCGATTAACTGGCACCGCGGACATCACTTCAGGACCTCCGCCTCGAAAGATTTCTCCACTCGCCTACTTGCAAGCTAGAGCTTACCAAAGGAGACATGATCGAGGATATACGCATCCGGGGAAAAGACAAGTGTCTGTACATGCCAGCTTTCTTTACATCATCTCCTATGCACACCGCCAGCTTGCCTGGACCATGCAAAGCAATTCCCCACTTCGATGCGCGCAACATCTGAATCGCGCCTACTGCGGACGAAGCAAAAGCTATTGACTCAATTCCAGGAAGAGTCGTAACGGTGGAGAGAGTCCCGATGTACCTCAAACCGCGCTTGGATATTCTAACACGTATTGACGAAGCCGGCGTGACAGCTCGGCTCAGAGTCCCCTAGACTGCAGGGTGTGGAGGTATCAGGCGAGGTTACCGTCGGCATGCTAATGACACTGATTACTTCGTCCAACATCGGGACCCACTTGCGAAGTCCTGGCCTTCAGGACAGGCACGAGTTGCATAAACAGTGGGAAGAACAACTCACAGCCATCGTCGAGGAGCTGCACGTCCACGATATCGTGTGGGGCGATGTTCACCTGATGAACGTTGTTGTTGACGAGGCAATGAAGGCTTGGGCTATTGAGTTTGTGGATGGTGAGAAGCGCGAGACGATCGAGGGTGACTGGCAGGGCATAACAAGGCTGTTTCAGGAATGGCTTCCAGCTACAATGAGACGGAGGCAGTGTCAATGATGGCTCATTGTCCAAGGACGTCAGCTGTGACACGTATACTGGCCCCGGTACTCTCAACGGACATGTGTACCTTGGCCTGTGCTGTGACCCGGTCAAATGCCATGGTTGACTAAGCCGGTTATTTGCGCAATTGGACCCTGAATCTCATCATTTGCGCCGCCGACACTCGGACAACCGTCTGGGCCTCTGTGCGGAGATGACAAGTCATAAACCACAACAAACCATGCCTCACTTTCCTCTGCCCCCTTGATATTCTTCACCCACCTCATGAGAGCTCACAAACCACCATCATGATCGTTCCTTCCTGCGCCTGGACTCGTGTTGGCTTGAGGCGCATACCGAACGCCCCTTGCTCCCGGAACAACAACTCCGGAACCACCTTCGAACGCGCACGCACACATGTCCGTCCTGCCAATGTCACTCGAAGATGTCATTTTGATAAATCGAATGCAGAAGGCAGAGCGACGGAAACTGCGCAGTCGATTCCCGGGCCAAGCTGGCTTTGGCTCGAACCCATTATCGAGCCCTTTCGTGCATACGGCCGCGTGCAACAAAGGAGGCCGTACAGAACACAACTCATATCTTCTCTGGTCATATACTTCATCGGCGACCTGGTTGCCCAAAGTATCGCGCCTGTCGAATCCAAGGAAGCACAAGAAGGGGTGGACGATGCAGCGGAAAAGGGCTGGGTTCAAGAATGGAGCGACAACCGCGACTGGGCTCGTACAGGGCGAGCACTCGCAATTGGAGGACTGAGCTCTATCCCATCGTACAAGTGGTTCTTGTGGTTATCCCACAACTTCAACTACAGTTCCAAGATACTCTCTCTGTCCACAAAGGTGCGTTCTTTTCCCCCGTAAACTGCAAACGCTTACTCATCATCCAACAGGTCTTCATTAACCAAGCCTTCTTCACGCCCTTGTTCAACTCCTACTTCTTCGGCATGCAGTCGCTTCTTTCTGGCGCAACCCTCCCCGAGATCCTGGAACGGATCAAGAATACAGTACCCACAAGCTGGTACAACAGCTGTAAACTCTGGCCTGCGGTCACAGCATTCAGTTTTACCTACATACCCATACAATACCGCAGTATATTTGGTGGCGTTATTGCTATTGGGTGGCAGACATACCTCAGTCTGCTAAATACAAGGGCTGCAGCCAAAGAGGAGATGGAACACTCAGCGACGCACGAGGCGCCAATAAGCGTGCGAACAGCTCAAAGGGCTGAGCATGGACTGTTCGAGCAAAAGTGCACTGCGTAGGCTGCAGCCGCTGCAAAGCGACGTTGGAAGACTCTGGACTCATTCAACAAGGCCCACCAAGCGGCTAGCGTTGAAGCATTCATCTGCTGAATCTGCAGCGACCTCAATTTCTTTTGTTTGATTGCGCAACTTTTCAAGACGGGTACATTGCATTATAGACGGAGTTACGGATTCGGTTCGATACCACGGACGCTGCGTAAACGACGCGCGAACATATCAGTCATCACATTAGCATCTTATCTACGTCTGAATACATCTCGTTTATTTTCGCTGAGGTGTCGACGACCCCAACCCACGGCCCACTCAACAACAACAAGTACGCCGGTTCTCGGCCCGAGGTTTTAGCAAGAACCCACGCGGCTCCCACTCTGCTATGCCAGCCGGACGTCATTTACACAAAAGAAGGCCTCTTGAGGCGATAAGGTGCGCTGCAATTACGATCGCTGTCTGAATCAGGAGTTAGAACCGTGGTAAGCGTTGTGTGATGTCATGATGTCGACCGTAGTAAATATGAACTTGAAAATAATCGATAAAAGCGTTACGCCACGCTTTGCGTCGAGGTAAAACCGTCTGAGTTCTTGAGCGACTGTTACCACTTCTCTATCTATATTTCCGAGATACCCATTTTTCATCATGGCTCCATCTGCAGACCAACGTATAGACGAAGAGTCTTATTCATCATGGCGCCAACGCTCCGAATTGGAAAAGATGGCCGATCTACCCCAGGCTTTGGACGACGAACTCGCGCATCTCGATAAACAATTTTGGATTTCTGCTTCCAAGCTCAAGGAAATTGTTAGCCGCTTTCGGGAAGAGCTAGAAGACGGCCTCACTAAAGACAACCAAAACATCCCAATGAACATCACTTGGGTGCACAGTTTACCATCAGGAAAAGAGAAGGGCACGATATTGACACTGGATCTAGGTGGCACAAACTTGAGGGTTTGTAAAGTAGACTTGTATGGAGACGAAGATAGAAAAGAGGGGGACGGCAAACATGGCATGGAGCAAGAGCAGTATAAGCTACCAAAAGAGCTGAAGAAAGGCGATGCTGATTCTCTCTGGAACTTCATTGCGGAAAAAGTGGAGGCTTTCATCAAAGACCATAAATTGAACCAGCAGTATAGCATGGAGAAGCCTATGCCATTAGGCTTTACCTTTAGCTATCCAGCGACACAAGAACGTATCGACCACGCAGTCCTGCAGACCTGGACAAAGGGCTTTGATATAAAGGGCGTAGAAGGTAAGGACGCTGCGAAGCAACTTCGAGAGAAGCTACAAGAGAGGAACTTGCCAGTCGAGTTGATCTGCGTCATTAATGACACTGTCGGTGCAATGATCGCATCGGCCTATAACGATCCAGAAACCATCATAGGCGGCATCTTTGGTACAGGATGTAATGCAGCCTTCATGGCCAACCTTTCCAGCATCGCAAAACTGGACCCGAACGACGAAAGGATCACAGATGCATCATCCCATAACGGCGCAACAAAGGGTGAAGAGAAGATGGCCATCAATTGCGAGTACGGCGCTTTTGACAACTCGCACCGTGTCCTCCCTCGCACAAAGTACGACGAGGAGATTGACGCAGAAAGCCCCCGGCCCGGCGAGCAAACTTTTGAGAAACTCTCCGCTGGTCTCTACCTAGGCGAGATCTTCCGTCTCATCTTAGTCGACCTCTTGGACCGCGGCCTCGTCTTCAATCAAGCCTCAGATAATGATACGAAAAAGCTGCGTGAGCCATACAGCTTAGACACAGGTTTCCTCTCCCAGATCGAAGACGACGAGTCACCCAAGTTCACCAAAACACGCGAACTCTTTCAGTCTACACTCTCGCTTCAGCCCTCAGATGTAGAGATCGAACTCTCACGCCGACTGGCTGAGATGATTTCTGTGCGCGGTGCGAGATTATGTGCTTGTGGCGTGGCGGCTATCTGCACCAAAGAAGGTATTGAGAAGGGTCATGTCGCTGCGGATGGCAGCGTGGCAAACAAGCATCCAAAGTTTAAGAAGAGATGGGCAAGGGCTTTGGGCGAAGTACTGGGGTGGAAAGAGGAGGAATGTGGGGAGGGCAAGGGCCCAATCACCATTACCAGTGCCGAGGACGGAAGTGGAGTTGGTTGCGCGATCATTGGCGCTATGGAGTTGGAGAGGAGGGCGAAGGTGAAGAGTCATTGAGGGGGTGGGTTATGGTCACGGTAGATGGGAGGTTGAGAAGATGGCATTGTAGCTGTGAAGTACATGCTGTTTGAAGCTTGACAAGACTGTCTTTAGTAGAAAGGACGTGCCCTAGAACCTATGTCCGTGATCAAACAAACAAAGTGTTGTTTGGATGTTCAACGAATTCGAGGCTATTCGTGATGTGCACATCCGCTTGCGTAGCTGTGTGTTTGATCTACATCAAGCTGTAGCTGTAATTGCCGTTCAAGCTCCTGCGGGAAGTATGTGTTTATCTCATAATATGGATATCTTGCGTCATCAAGCCTGCACTGCAGATCTAGATGGCCATCAACATTCATTGTGTTTTTTTCCTTGATCCGCTTGTGGTAAGTTCGACCTCTACTTAGGTAATGCTCGAAGAAGGCATCATACGCTTATGGAAACCAGAACATTCCAGAGTAAAGACCACACTCAGCTGAGGCTGAGTGCCATACACGATGTCCTAGATCCCAGCTCATAGCTGTGCCCTGGCTGCAAAACTACCGGCACCCGGTCCCGTTCGGCGAGAAGAGAAGATCTTGGTACCAAGATCAAGGGATCAGCACGTGTCTCCCGTATCTCCGCTGTTTCTATAACAACTCTCAGTTCTCATATTTCTTTTTGAAGCTGTTCTCCGCGATCGTTCGCATGGCGCGCTAACATGTTCAGACCTAGATGCTGTGAGATCTGTCATGGACCCTGGATGCAATGCCAAACCTCACTAGTCGGCGATCTCGCTCACTTCGCCCACGGTTCACCCACATTCCGACACACAACTCACCCACGGAAACCAGAACGGCACGTCGCGCCCCCGCAACCAACCAGCGATCTGCTTCACCAGCAACACACCGTCACAAACTAGTGTTGCGAAAAGACGTGGGACCTGGTCACGGTGTGCGGTGTGCTGTTGGTTGTACCGCTGGCAGAGGGGTGTTGGACCCACAGGTACGGTGGCAGGAGGTGTAAATGTGATGTATGATGATAGGACCTATGGAAGGGTTCTTTTTCTGTCTTTTTGGAATACCTGGGGCTGTCAGTGTCGAGGCACGTAATGCACCGGTTGAGACATGGTGCACGTGCAAGCGTACCGGTGCGGTGAGTCTTGTCGTCGGCGAGCTTGTACATATGCGATGATACAGAAGAGGCGGTATATAACCTGAAACCGACTTCAGCGGTCAAAGGCACAACGCATTGTTATCCCAGGCTACCGCGGCTACCTCCAAGGCGACGATCTTTAAGCATACAACGGTGTAGTCCAGCACACCTATCCCACCCCTGGACCCAATAGCCGAGCACCATCAAATCACCAACACATGTCTGGAGGCTATCAGATCCACACCGCAACTCCAATCCGCAAGCGGAAAAATTTCGGAGTCACATCCGCAGCCTGGGCACGGGACCACACCCACACGATCACAAGTCAAATGTTCGCGCCAACACCATATGACTGCACCACGCCCCCATGGATTGCGCAAACCAGCCCTCTTCCGAATTTCCCCGTGCAGCAAACATCGACCAACACTTTGCCGACTTCGCATTTCGCGCCGGACCCACGTCTCCCACGACCAGCGCCTCGTGAACAGTGCCTGCAAGATGACTTGTTCTATACATTCACACGAGACGCCTACTTATCCAGTGAGACAACCGCCGCGAAACAGGTAGCACAAATTTTGCAACCATATTATCCTCCAACAGAGAAGATAAACCGTACACTACCATTACCAAGGGTCACCAAGCAAGGACCTAACATCAACAATAACTTGCAATTTTTCGCACCCTTCACACCCTTCATACCCTTCACACCACTCATACCACTCACACCTGCGATACCAAACGCCCTCAAGATGGAGGTCACAAGCAGACCACTACCATCATTACTGCCTCAGTTCGCCCCCATGGCTATGACATCGAAACCAGCGAGCGCTGCTCCGTGGTCGTTCCCAAACCTCAAGAAGAAGCGTCGTCGTCGAGCGAGCCAGATCTTCAACATGAACTTCAGTTTTGGCTTTGGGTCTCGGCGAAAGAGTCAAGATCACTCGCCTGACATCAGTCCGCGAACGTCCATATCATCCGCTTCAGGCTCCTCAAGGTCGGAGATAGAGCAAAGCTCCAAGAGACAGAGAATCGATTCGAGAGCAACAGATGCAGAGGCGGTGTTCTCACCTGAGAAGAACATCAGGATCCCGGACTCCGACAATACAGCGATAGTCTTGTCACGGTGTAATAGCACGGGTGAAGTGCATCCAGGCCAACTCGTCGACTTCACCAGCAAGCCTGTTCCCACCATGCCGGAACCAACGGTCGCTCCTGCTCCTACACATAGCAGTCCAGCGAGTGAATTCGAGCTTCGCTTAAGTAGTGATGCATACCACGACTACCTCGCGACAAGCCAACGACGGAAATCCTTCCCTGCCGGCGAATGGGCAGCAAGACGAGTTCGCGAAGAGTTCCAGATGCTTCATAAGCTCGAGAAGCTCGAGACCAAAATCGAGGATCCCTTCAAGAGATTTAGAGAGTCTGCAAGGAAGAGGATATGCACCGTGGATCGAAAGGCGAAGTTGTCGGCGACCACTTCTCCCAACACCATCGCGCCAACACCAAGCATGGATGCACCAAGTGTACCATGTGAACTCCGTCGCACACCAAGCGATCCAAGTACTGAGGCCTTCCTCATACACGTCCGTGCCAGTCTCGAAGCAAGGAAGAGAGAGAACAAGACGGGAGAACGCTGGCGTTCAGGCCCCGTCTTTGCTGACGAAGTCGAGAAAGGGTTTCTTGATGACGCGCCGTTATAACGGTAGCTTTGTATAATATTTGAGGGATCTAGATCGGCACCTGGCCGTTTAGAACACATGCATATCGGTATTGGCGTTTTGAGGGCAGATACCCGTAGTACATCCATATTTTAGCGTGCATCTTTGCTTCCAGAGGTCAGTTGGTTGACTTGGCCTCTGATGAATGAATTGATATCATTGTTACCACAACATACCTTTTTGTTTTCTGATTCTCTCTGCTTCTTCGTGTCTTTCCGATTGATGCCCAACATACTGATCTATATGGCACCTGTGAGCACGTCCCATAATGTCACAAAAATATTCCCCCAACAGCGTAGTACCGCAGCGCGATGTTTTCAAATGGGTCAATCATGACGATGGGTGTAACGGCGGTGATGAGCGCGTTGAAGATGGGGTAGAGCGTTAGGTGGAAGACGAAGTAAGAAAATAATGGCAGTATGATCGTTTAGTGTGACGTGTAGGAAGTTGAGGTGCCGGAGACGGAGAGGAATGAAAAGATGGCGTAACGACGTTGGATGGCAGCGCCCGAGTGTGGAGGCGAAATATAGAGAGGCGAGCATATACGCCCCACGGTACGCATGTCCTAAAGGAAAGCTTGTGCATCTACCCAGAGACGATGCACAAGGCCTCTCGAAGCATCATAATGCTAGCCTCAAGACAACAACCCCTTTCTTACCGACTCCTCCATCGCACCCCTCCAACCCATTTAACCCACCCCTCAACACTTTCCCTCTTCTCGACATCCTCCTCAACGCCTCCCATCTGTATCAACTCAACCGTATAAAAACTCTTAGCCAGCTCCTCATTCCCAGCCAACCTATGCACAAAACTATGACAAGCCCTGCACAACCATGCCACACTATTCAGCTTATCCTCTGTATGCCACCCCCTCTTCCTCACGCGCGCATGCGCCGCTTTAGGGATAAGATGGTGGTATGTCAACGGTACCCAGTCTCTGCCGCAGAGTTCACACGCCGTGGTGCGCGTGCTGCTCCATATAGGCGGTGGTGCGGTGACAGCAGAAATGTACGTGGTGAAGAGTGGAGTGAGTAGGTTGTGTTGGTCGATTGTGTCGGAGGTGGGTGGAAGGAGACCGTAGCTTTCTAGACTGTCGATTGCGGTGGGCGGGATGCATTGGAGGAGGTTGGTGTACGTTGAGGCCGAGAGGGGGGTTGTGTAGACGTCTTGGAGGGTGGGCGAGTCTTTGAAAATGGAGTGCGTGAGCGTGCGCAGTTCGGGGGGTAGGTATGGGAAGATCAAAGTGCTTAGGTACTTGGGCGTTTGTCAGTGAGGTTCAGAGAAGACATGTGTATGCTGGTATGGATGGCATACTTCGATGAATTCGCCCAAGTCTTCCGCGTCTGTTCCTCCAGCTTCCTCGCTCTTATTGACATCTGTCTGTGTAGATTCCTGCTTCACAACTTCACTTCTCCCGCTCCTTGACCCTTTTTTTGCATGTCTCTTCTTCTTCGGTTTCGGTTTCTCGACCGGTGCAGCGAGAGCTTTGAGGACAGGCTCGCTCAAGCAGTCGCGGAAGGTCTCATAGTTGAATTGCTCCTCAGCAGGGATTGGTTCAGCCATGTTCGATAGACTTGGAACACAATGCGCAAATAGGGAATAGGCTTTGAAATCGCATACGCATGATGCAAGCCATCAGTGGCGCCATGGCGATGTTCATATAGTGGAGCGAGTGATGACGAAAGTCGTGAACTTTCGCGTTCGCGAGGCGAGGCACTAACTGGCGGGAAGCAAAAGGGCGTCTTGGGGGCTCATGCCTACCACACGAACTCGTATCTGCCGTCGAAGCTTCGAGATGGCAGGCCATATGAAGGCTGCTTGACACTGAGATGTTGCTTGTTGCTGTAGGGCGCGCATTAGCCTGTAGTTCTTAATACATCGGGCGCGAGGCAGCAAAATGCAGTTTCTGGTTCGTGAACTTTGGTTATATTCGTCTATTCTTTGAAGCATGCGGTATACGATATGGTCGTCGCCATGTCGTCTTCTAACTGTTTTCATCATCGCAACGGTGGCTTTGAGTAGCCGCTCAGAACAACCTAGCCACTCGCGGAGCATGCAAACCGTCGTCATAGAGCCACATGCGCTCTCACATGTACACCGGCGACCTAGCGCTGTAGAAGTGACGGGTTGCGCAGCGGAAGATCCAAATCCAACAATGACTGTAAGATTTAGGCCTTCTTCTTGCCGCCCTTAGCAAGACGGTCGGCCTTGCCCTTGGCCTGCTCTCGCCGCCTGTTCTCACGCTCCATGAGCTCCTTCTTCTCCTTCTCCAGCTCAGCACGCTCTTCTGCCTCAGCCTTCTTCCGCGCAGCCTCAGCATCCCTACGCTCGCGAACCAGCTTTAAGCGCTCCAAATCGGCACGCGCCTGCTCAGTCTTGCCCTCAGCGTGTAGTTTGTCGTATCGGTCCTTGCTGGCTTGTGCCTGAAGAGCCTCACGCTCGCGGCGGGAGAGCTGGGAGAGGTCTTGTTGCTTTCCCTTGCCCTTAGCAGCGGCGGCGGCAGGCTCAGCGTCTGGGTCGACAGGCGCTTTTGCGGCTTGTGTACGGGCTTTCGCAGTGTGGTTTGGGTTCGCGGGCATATCATCGTCTTCGTCTTCGGAGGAGTCGGTGGGCATGTCGCCTGCCTCGGGGGTCTTCTGTGACTTCTTCGCGATCGCGGCCGCCTTGCGCTTCTTTGCAAGTTCACGACGCTGCTCACGCGTCAATTCTTCTTGTGCGGGCTTGCCATCCTCATCGCCAGACTCTTCTTCGGAAGATTCTTCCTCTTCAGAGGACTCTTCGTCGACCTTGTCGGGTTGCTCCTGCAACTTTGTGTCAGATCATGATTGCATACTTTGAGTACAACAGGCACCTACACCCCACATGCCAACGACCTCGCCATCTGCGTTCAGCGGTTGTAGGTCGCGCGAGAACTTCTTGCCACCTCCGCGCTTGACCTTGTTGAACTTGCCGCCGCGGCCACGTCCTGCTGAAGACATGTTGTGTGTTTGAGTTCCTTGTGTAGAAGTAGAGAGTATTCGGTGTCGAGACTGTTCGCAGGTTGAGCCCGTGTGTTCAGTCGAGAGGGTTCGTGGGGTGTTTGAGGTTGCAGTCGAGTTTGTAGCTCTTCTCGTAGGAACCCGAACGGTTGGAGTCTTTGGTGAAGAGTGGGTAAAGTGTGTTTGTGTAAGGATCGTTCACAAGGGCGAGTGATCTAGTCGTGAAAGTATGAGTCTGTCAAATCACGGTTCGTTAGCCTCCCACCCCGCGTTCTTCACCACAGAAAGGCCTCTCGCTCACCTTTTCTGTACAATATTTCACTCTGGTTCTCTTATTGCAAACGAGTCACTCCCACAGGCCAACAACAAAACCCCGCGCCCTCGCCCAAAATCCCCTGCCCCACCATCCTCGTCACACCCAACGCGCCATTCTTGATTCGCTCAGATGACCCATGCTTCATAGCTAACCCCATCCACACAAGCGCTCCTTAGTCATCCGAAATCTTCGCAGCCATCAAAATCAACGCGTCGCGCGATCCTCTTCTGTTCATTAAAACTGAACACCCCATTATTCACTCTGTGTCTTCCACCTCAATGAAGATTTGGAGGGGAAAATGGAGGTTAGAATGATCATGCGTTCGCTTACCCCCTTCTCTTCTGCGCCCAGCGCTGGTGGAGCGAAGGTAAATATATTGGACGGTACATACTTTTGCTTGCCTGTGATGCTGCGCTTGGACCAAGAGCGTGTGAAGGGACTGAAACCAGCTTTTGGTATCTGCTCAAGCTGTAATGGGAGGCTTGTGGCGTTACTACCCGTTGCTGTGAGTGCAAAGTTCTCTGGTGTTGGGCTTCGCGACTCGCGATGCAGCCATCTCCAGTTGGTTCTTAAGCGCTTCTCTACCTCTTTGGGAATCTTACCTCCCCTCTGCTGGAAGTTCCGGAGCTGGCTTCGAGTCGTTCAAGTACGAGAAGAAGTTGGCCGTTGATTTCCAACGTCGTGGTTTCGGTTTGACAGCTGTCCCATTCCTCTGAGCGATCATTCCAACGAGGCTTTCTTTTACTCGTACTTGATTCTACAATAGAAGGAGGCAACAACTGTCTCTTCACTTACCATGATATCCGTATATACAAGACAATACTTCTTACTACACACGAACCCCAACTCTCTTGGTTCTGTGATTCTATCCAATAAGACAGCCTGTATCGAATCGCCGCGCTGGATAGTAGCGATGGATCGCGGAGTACTCTAGGCACGAAAAACGCTCCAAGGTTAACAATAGCTTCGGCGGTGCTACGGCTAAGCGGGCTGGGTACCAGCTTGCCTCAGGGTCGACATCCTCCTTCGGATCGTCAAGGCCGTCACTTTAATTCTGTCAGGCCCAAGGCATGGTAGCCAGAGCTGAGGATAGTTCAGTCTTTGGGTTGTAGGTCTGAAGAACAAGGTAAACACCGGGCTGAGTCCTGTAATCGCCAGGATCTTGGACATCTAACACAGCTCGTGAGCTCGATGAACCCAAATTCTAAGCCGGACTTATATTGCTATTGGGTCCTGGAGTGTGTCAGCGGATACGAAGAAGCTGAACATTCGAATGTGACATCACAAAGCACAGGTGCAGTAAGCTCTTATCCGACCATGTTTATTTTGCCTTGCCGATAATGGGTGAGATAAGCCACCCAAGATCGTAAGACGTCCCCTGTTGGGACCGTAAAAGTTGGGTATCTCAAGAAAAGATGAAGGAAATCGCCCAAACCACCGACTTTTGATGCACCGTGAAAGGTTTCACGCCATCGTCGCAACCAAAGTCCTTATGTTCCGAAGCATCCTAATCGCTATGGCATCGAAGCATCCTATCCAGCACCACCCTTACCACCTCGAACCTGTTTCGTACTCTAGATGTACCACATAACATCCTTGAGGCCACGAGCGTTCTGCATCTCCATCAGGGGAGCGATCTCGACGTTCTGCTTGGACGAGCCGGTTGAGGACTGCTGGTCTACCTTAGACTCCTTCTTACCGGAGGAGACTGGGTTGTCGTTGAGGTGAGCACGGGAGCGATCGGCGGCCAAATGAGCATAGTAGATAGCAGGGTGAAGAGAGACCGGAGTAGTGGAGCGGGCGTAGTGGTACGAGTGCTCGAAGATAAACTGCTGGAGCTCGGCCGACAACCACTCACCCTCGTTGAGAATGCACTGGTAATGGATAGGGCGAGCCGTACCCTTGATGGCGACATGGGAGCAGAGGTAAAAGTCGAACTCAAACGGATGAGTGCAGCCGGATTCCACCAAAGTACCAGGAAGAGGGTTGCCGTTGCGGTCGCCCTTCTCAGGGAAGAAGCGGATATGATGACGCTTGCCGGCAATGACAACGGTGAACTTGGGGATCTCCTTGCAGCCCAGCTTCTTGAAACATTCCTTCATGTCGCGGACTTCCTCCTCAAGAACGGCTGCATACTGTCTAAAAGCCTGTTAGCGGATTGTCATAGAACGGTAGGAAGGGGAACACATGCCCTTCCGAGACTCCATCGCGTATGAAGAGTACACGCTGAGGAGCCCTGCCCTGGCCGATCTTCTGCATCCAGTTCTTGGCCATGAATCCAAAGTGCTGATCGATGTTGGAGGTGGTGACCATCTCGACACGATTTCCGTTGGTCTGGACCTCAGCCCAGTATCGAGCAAAGTGGACGTCGGCGGATACGGTGATGGCAGCGAAGGATGCAGCCTCACCCGAAGCGGCTCCAGGAGCAGGATGAGACACGTCAGCGCCGACAACTAGATGGTTTACGGAGTCAGTATTTGTCTCACATGCAGTTCGTACAGGTAGATCACTTACCCATTGTCGGGATCGAAGCGGACTTCGGAGCGACCTTGGGGATGAGCTGGGACTTCGCAACAGAGGTAGCACCACCTAGCTTAGCATTGACCTTCATGCAGACGTTGGAAATGTACTGTGGTGAAGCGGACATGACGTGCTTGGCCTGGAGGACCTGCGAAGCCACACCAAAACGGATGTCGCAAGACTTCTTGATGCGGCGGTATACATCAACATTGCGGTCGTTGACGACGAAGAAGAGCAGGTTGGGCGGCATAGCGTATTTGTTACCGGTCTGGTTCCAAACCTTCTGGATCATCTCACCACCGTCAGCAAGGTTACCGGGACCCATCCACGGCTTCTTGCCATGCTGAGGGTGAGCGGCAACGAGACCACCGTGGGCTTCATAAATCTGCACGAACTTTTGGAAGAAGGCCTCGATGGCTTGAGGAGGAGGGCTGCCACGGCCTTGAACACAGCAGACACCCCATGCCTTGATTGGGCGCTCCTTGTTATTCATGGCGAACTTGCGTCCATCGAGTCTCCATCGACCTGCAATCATGTCCGCGGGCTTGATAGTGGCCTCCTTGGATCCGGCACCGAAGTGAACAGTGGGCGAGGGAAGGACACGAGCCTGCACCTTGGCAGCATCAGGGCTAACCTTTAGCCCATAATGACGAAGATAGGGATCATTCTGCCAATTGAGCAGACGGATACCTTGCTGAACAGCAGCCCAGCGCTCCTTGGGAAGGGTGACGGCGAACTTGATCATGTTGGACGTCTGGGTGTCGCTCAGCTTGGTGGTGTATCGTTGATTTCCATCGATCTTCAGGACGTCGATAGGCATGTAGACAGGCTCCTTACGGATCTTCTTAGTCATTCGGACCTGGTAGATATGAAGTCAGTATATCTCATATGCAGTTCGCACAGGAATGTCACTAACCACAGGAACTCCAGCCATGCAAGTGACACCATACTTCTTCTTGAAGTGCTGTGCTACAGAGATCTTTCTGGAACGGTCATCTGGATCGGGGAAGGTGGCCTGGGAAGCATCCAAGTTGACGAATTCATCGATGGTCCTAAAGTTTGAAATTAGTATATGCCTTCCATGTGTTTGTCAATCGAAGCTCTTACCATTGTGTGGGTTCCTTGGTGTGGGTAGTGGATACGCCAACCTTCTTGAACTTGCGGAGGTCCTTCTTGAGCATGGAGCCCTTCCAGTCACGGATAGCACTCTTGTACATGGTTGCGAACTGAGGCGGGCCGCAGTTGAAGACTTGACCGATGGCGCGGGTAAGTTCTTGAGAACGCCAGAAGGTACCGTTGGCGACGTCGACATTGACGGACAGAGACTTATTGAACTTGTCATCCAAGACGGGGCGGAGGGAGGCGAAGACACCCTTGAAAGCCTCAACACCACCACCAAGATCGAAACGAACTTCTCCACGCTGGAAGAAAGACTTCTTGATTTGAGTGTACTGTTGAGAAGGCCACTCGCGCATGACGTGGTCAAGGAAGTTAATGGTGTCAATGCACTCGTTGGACCAAGAGGCTTGACCATTGAGGAAGGCGTTCAGGTTAATGAAGTCGACTTGGCGGGTCCAGCGAACGTGGATGGTATGCTTGTTGCCACGCAAATTCGGCTTGGTGGGGCGGCCCTCTTCTTCGTCGAGATCGACGGTGATGCGGGTGTCGTCGCGAGGCAGGCGCTTGCCGGACCATGCCAGCTTGTTGGTGTCCCAGACCCAGAGGTTGTTGGGTTCACCAAGCTCGGCCTTGACACCACGGGAGTTCCAGATCTTCTTCAGAAGAACGCGCTTGGAGTAATCCTGGGCGTCGCCGCTGTAGTTGAGCTTGAAGAAGTTAATACCGAATCAAGGTTGAGGGAGGAGAAGACTTACATCATACTGGTGGACCACAGTATTGGGGGCTTTGATGACGTTGAAGGTGTTGAGCACGATGTTGGCAGCTTTACCGTACTGGTTAAAGTTCTTGGGGCGTTGAGGAAGAGAACCTGGGATGGTGATCTTGTAATCATTAGTAAAGATAATGTTATCATGCCTCGAGGTGTAGAGTGAGGTGTCCTGGTAGAAGCGAGGGGCAAGGGAATCTTGGTTAACCATGATGAAGATGGGAAACGAGAGAGATTGAGAAGATGAAAATATGGGAGAGGTTTTTGGAACAAAAAGATGACGAGACCCAAATGATGTTTTGGAAAGATAAGACTGATGGTGGAAATGAGAGAACTACAAGGGACAGAGAGGAAAGTCTTTTACGCTCACAGCTCAGGCGTCGCGTCCATAGCGATAGTGGTAGGATGCGAGCCCGAAGCTGTTTACATAGTCGGCAGTGTGGAGGCGAGGGCTGTGTTTGTTTGATGAATGGATGTATGCATAATGCACATCCGGGCTGAAGCAGAAAGACGTTTGTACTTACACCGCGAGCCTGGTACCAACCGGCAATACCGAGGAAATCGGAGATGTTCTTGAGGTCCCGAGGGTCGCTGTAGTCCACGGGAGCGCGGATTTTGGGATCGCGGTTACCATCAAGACGAGGAATAGACTTCGGGACGGAGCGCTGAGTAGGATCGCGAGACTCAGAGGAGGAGCCATTGGACGAGCCTTTGGACTTCTTCTCGGCCTGCGCGCGCTTCTTTGCTGGGCCGGCCATTGCGGACTAGAAGCCATGTTAGCGGCGTTCGGGAATGAAGTAGCGTTTGCCAGCGGTGACAACTGCGATACCAGGCTTTCGCAACAAGAGACGGCAGCTGAGGTACGTACCTTGATCTCAGATCGGAGTCGCGTGAGGCACTTGCGTTGAGGGCGTAAGCGTTTGAACCGGATCGTAGATCGGGTCTGAGGCAAGTCAGTAAAGTTCAAAAGTAAAAGCTGGGTATCTATGTGCTCCCGAAAAAATGGAAGAGCTTAAGGGTAGGAGTGGCAGGGTATGAGAGAGGCTGGCATACAAGAGGTACGGTGTTGTTGATGATGGGGTTGGGTGGATGAGAAATGAATGGTGAGTTATGAAGAGCTTCAAAACTATGCCAAGGTGGGGTCATGGGATAGCGTCAAAGCAAAAAGAGTAGGAGCGATGGGATGGCCGTGGTGACCGCGCTGGTGAGAGCGGTGACCGCACGGCGGGCACCAGGAACTCAACGTGACATAGAATCCGCAATGGCACTGCAGTAGTGCGGTGCCAGACAGCGGTGATGATGATCACCATCATCACTATAGTGACCGAACAGGAAAAATGATGGGTTAAAAACTTACTCGAAGGTGCTGAGAACGGAAGACTGCCTGCAGTGGTGTTGACTGGACTGCCTGCAGTGAGGATCTTGAGACCGGCTCTTGTTGCTGTTGAGAAAGATTGGCTTGACGTTTGTGTAGTGGATGAGATTTGTAGAGAATAGAAAGCTTGTTCCCTTGGGATAGTTGTCAAGATAGGAAGGGAAGAGGTAGAAGTTGTCGTTGTAGTGTGAGGAAGGAAAGATGGTTGAGGCTGTGAATGGGCAAGCTTATATGGATGAACAGTCTACGCTAGCCGGTAGCTTTTGAGGCTGGGGAACAGATCGAAGTTGTATGCAGGTAAAAGACGAGGCTTTTGTGGGTCTGGAGTTTGTGGGCAAGGTGAGAATCGTGGTGTTGTGACCGTGTTGACGTGGCGCTGAAGACGTGATATCCACATTTCCAGCCTGGTGAGAGACTGTCTGAGGATTGCGGAACAACAGACAATGCCGTTATCTGGACATATGACCAATGTATTGGAAGGGGCTCAAAAAGCTTGCGAGCAGTGATGTGGAGCATATGATGGGCGTCGTGGGCAGATTAAGAGACTATGAGATGAGTATTCACGAACCAGGACTAGGGAGAACATATACACCAGATCGGCCGAGTAGAGACCCAGTTTGAAACGTCGGAGAAATCTCCACAGGGAGTGCGCCTCCCGAACCTATAGCTAGAACAAGGGCCCAGAAAGAACTTCCTGTTACTGAGAAACTCGGACCACACTCAGGAAGCAGACTGGCACGACAACAGTTGGAGCCAGTCAACGAATATAGATACCACACATAGCCTCGAGTCGATATAGAAGACCCCTTCTTCCAGAAGCGAAGCGAAAGATCCTCCCCATATCGTTGCCAGTGCAGATATACGCTCGCAGGATGTCTGCAATGAACAACCTCAATGGACCACCATAGGAGCGCATAAAGCCAACCTACCTGCTCAAGCGCCCTTATAACCCATCAAATGTTCCCAATCTTAACTGCGATCTTGAGACCGTCTTTCCTCATAACAACTAACATGCAGCGCATAGAAGGATGCCGAACCACATCTAGAGCAGGCTCCTTCAGTGACAAGCTCGAACGTCGGGCCATCTCTAAACGTGCAGACTCCACTTCCATTAATCAATACTCCGTGCTGATGCTGCATTCTGTTCCGTGCTCTTGTATATAACCCCAGTCGGAGTAACGTGCCAGGCAAACTTCAATGACAGCTATGCGAGTAGACGCTATCCTTCGGCGATGAAACAAGAAGTCATCCAAACCATCAAGTTACGGTACTCAGACGCGAGGATTTCACGAGTATATGCACCTGCGATGTATAGGAGAAAGGAGGAAACATGCGTGACAGAGAGGCGCGACGTTACTACTTCGGGCGATGCCACATCGTGGAGGCTAGGATAACAAAAGAACATTCGCATAATGGACACTAAAATATAACAACTAATAACGAAACCACCTCTTGAACATGACTGACCTTTTCTGGTAGCAAGTAGAGTTTGCACACTGTAAGCACACACACATCAATGGGAAAAAAAGGTTGATGAATCATCCAATCCATTAAGGATATCTAGGGAAAAAAAAGACTACGAGTCTTCAGCTATGATTTTGATGAAAGGCCGCCCAAGGGCGCAATCAAACCCAACGCCTCGCTCACCCATAGACTAGCAAAAAGCCAGCCAGACCCCCATTAGCCCATTAACGATATCTCAGACTAACCGCACCTCCCAACGCTCTTGATGTCCGTAGAAATCCAGTCATGGAGCTCGCCCGATTGAGTAGAGAAGAATAGACGCCAATCCATGCAATGCTTAAACCCATGCGACCAATTTATGCCAACTCTCTCTTCAATGTTCACATCAGACTGCACTGATGCGCAAGATTCAGGAATTCAAGATTGCTCGGCAAGTTGTACTGCCCATTCTATTGGCCCCAGCCATTTGCGCCAGCCATCGCCGGATGCATCGGCATATGTCCGCCATTGCCGTACTTCTCCTGTATGCTCTGTAGCTGCTGTGCCGTTGTCGGTGTAGTGCCCCAACGCTGCGGCTGTGGAGCACTTTGGCCCGGCGGAACGGGAATGGCAGCGACGTCTCGCAGCAGAGCCACCAAGCCATCAGCCTTGAATCGTGTCTCTTTATATGTGTGCGCAGGAGGAATGATACCAAGGAGGAAGTTGACCCCACGAGGCAGAGGTGGCGGACCAGGAGCCTGGCCGACAGGTGTGGCGCCGGTCGTGGCTAGGTTGCGACGTGCAGCGTCGAGACGGCGACCTGCTGCGCCCTTGAGGGGTGACTCGCCGCGAGCGAGCTTACGGGGTTGCACACCATCGTCTGCATCGTCGAGAGGACGCTTTGGTGAGTTGGTGACTGGGAGCAGGTTTGCAAGATGTGGGGAGTTTGCAATGCCGGGAGATTGCAGGCGCTGTTGTTCGGCTACGATTTGCGGTGGTATCGCGGGCATCGGCTGTTGCTGTTGCTGCTGCTGCTGCTCCTCAATAGAGGGCATGACTGACGGCATGACGGGCTTCATCTGTGTGCGAGGCGAGATTATATGACGAACGGAGATGGGATCGAAGGTCGGGCTCGCGAAGCGCTGCGAGAAGCGGTGCAGATGAGGATCTTCGGGGAAGAGAGTCGTCATGCGCTGCTCGAGTTTAGTGATCTGGGCCAGTTCGCCGAACTGGGCTTCGTAATCGTGGAAGAAGGCGAAGAGTGACTTGGCCCTGTGAACGGTCTCAGGCTTAGCCGTGAGCTTGCCAACGACAGTTTCGAAAACGGCACGAGCATCTGTATATGTCAGTGGAGAGTCTATAACACGGATCCATGTTACTTACTTGTAGAGTCATTGAGCTTGATAAGGTGCTTAATGTACTCCAATGCGAACTGCTCATCCTCTGGGAATAGCTTCATACCCCGCTCAAAGATCTTCTGTGCAGCTGGCTCCTGGTAGCAATGATGCTCAATGAGCGCACTGGCGACATAGGCTTCACTGAGCAGCTTGCCCTTCTTACGGGCCTCGGTGAAGATGCCACGGAAGCCACCAATCTCGCCCCTAGGGTCTCCCTTACCCTGAACACGGCGCATAGCCCGCATCAGAGCTATCCAGGCGTATGTGAGTGTTTTCTTGAGGTTCTGTGTTTGCGCATTGTATCCGGCTGACATGGCCTGCAGTTGAAGGTTGAAGGCGTCCTCCTTCTCCTTCAAGCGTCGCTGCTGCACGACCTCATCTTCGTCGTCTGCGTCGTCGTTTTGTTGTGCGATTGCTCGAGCGGCTTCATCGGCAGCCTTCTGTGCCTCGAACTGCTCTTTGGCGCGAGAGATGGAATGCTCCTCTCGCTTCTTGACCTGTGCTGTCAGGTCGTAGATGGTGTCTAGAAGCCTTTGGTATGGCTCTCGTACAGCCCTGCCCTTGGCAACAATACCTGCTTGACCGTCTTCGAAGTCGGTGCGTTGCTCGACCTGATTGGCCTTCTTGAAGGCAAGGAGACAGCTCTCAGGGTTCGCCTCAATGCCGTCGTTGAGGAACTTGTCGCCTTCAGCCTGTATGTTGTTCTCGTAGCACCACTCGGCTGCTTCATACCAAAGTTCTGGCCAGAAGCGGAGGGCCATGAGGGCATTCTTGTATAAATGAAGAACACGCTTGTTGTATAGCTCCCTGTTGTCGGTGGTGCATTCAAGTGGGTCGCTCTTCTCCCACTGGATCCAGTTCTTCCATAGCTTCACTTGGTTCATATACTCTTCGTAACCGTCGAAACCGGCAGCAGGTGGCAGCTTGGGCAAGGTGGTTCGGTTAACACCCCTTGTGATGTTGTTGTCTAGGACGTTGATTGCGCTACGTGCAGTCATGTAGGAAGGTGACGTCTCTTGGAGTTGTTTGCGACCCTGGCACTCGTGTTAGCTTCGTGAACGCACCGGGCGGATTGTGATATGACTGACAGAAACCTTGTTCACATTCATTTCAAACTTGTCGTAGTCGCGCCAAATCTCTAGGGTGGCATTGTGTGGTACTGAGACGGCGCGCTGGTATACCTTGCGCAGAGTATCCATCTTCTGCATGTCTTGCCAGCTGCTGCCACCAAGAACACCTGGACCAGTCTTCAGCATCTCAATGTAGTCAAGCCAAAGCTTTCCAGCATGAACGTCGAGACCGACTGAGCTGAGCACGAACTCATAAGCTTGTGTAACGGTCTGACGATTCTGGCCATTTTGGTCAGTAGTGAGGTTGAAACGGCGGCGGATGAAGTCGATGTAAGCAGAGTAGATGCCGAGATATTGGGCTGAGGGGATGGAGCGACCGAAAAGTTGCTCGACTCTTGGCAGTTCGTCAAGCTCAGTCTCAAAGGCAATGTACTCGACCCATTGCTCGCCCTAGACACGTTAGTACGTCACATGGGATATCGACGGACCTGCTTACTGATGAAGGGAACATCTTGAGGAAACGCTCAAAGACAGCTCGTGCATCGTCGTGCTTGTGTCGCCTACGGTGCTCCTCAATTAGACTCAACCACGCTTCGATGTCACCACGCGGATCTTCAGCAATGCGATCTTCGAGAATACCCACTCGGTCCTGAGGAAGACGAGCCTTTGGCAGAGAAGCAGACATAGGAGCTGGAGTAGCTGGAGCCACGGACGGGCGTGCTGAAGCAACAGTCATGACGTCTGGAGCACCTGGCTCAGTAGCGTCTGCAACAGGCGTGCTGCTGTTAGGAAGAGAAGCAATAGAGGGAGCAGGCTCATTGACAGCGACAGAAGCAGAGATAGATGCGGGAGCCTGATCTTGTGCACTATGTAACTGTACATCTGGGTTGGGAATCGTATTGTTTGGAGAGTTTGTAAAAGATGGCTGGGGAGTCTCTGAAGCTCCAGTAGCACTCAGTGTAGCATTCTCCTCTTGCGGCTGCACAGCAGGCTCCTCTTCCTCGTCCTCACTCTCGTCGACAAAACCACCTACAGTGCGCGGTCTCTTGGACGGTGGCGCTGCGGAGCCTTCTGCAGAAGTCTGGGTAGGCTGAGGCTGCAAACCATTCTCACCCTCGGTGTCGGCGGCTGGTGGAGAGTTTGCGGCAGAATCCGGCTGCGTCGATGCAGACTGGTACGAGTGCGGCGAGTATGTGGCGGCAGGATCGTACTCGTCCTGTCCGGAAGGAGCATCTTTCATGTTGTAGCCGGCTGAAGGGTCGTATTCGTCCTTTTGCGCTTCGAGAAAGGCAAGCTCAGCGTCGTCCGCCATGGCTGCGAGTGGGTGAGAGCTGTGATGAGCTGTCAGAATCTATCGCGAAGTAACAGTGGGCGTTGTATTACGATGTGCGCAGGCGTGGTAGTGTCGTGGACAATGGATCTCTCTTGGTCGCGTGGTTAGTGTCTGGAAGGAGTGTTCAGAGGTACGCCAGAAAGCGAGAGGCGCAGTGGAGGTGATGGCGGTGCTTGGGTAGGTACAAAGGTCGCGCAAACAGCTTCCAAGATGCGCGCGGGTTGTGGAGATGATGCGCCGTCCACCGTGGTCGAGTTGGGTGGGCGCGTTGTCCTGAGATGAGCAAAGGTTGCGAGTCGGCGTTGCGGGCTTGCTCTCGGCGGCCGCCTGTCAGCCCCGTCCTTGGCGCTAGCGCTCGAGCTCCAACGGCGATGTCATCGCTCAGGTACCGAACACCTAGTCAACATTCACTGCACCACCGGACGATTTACGCGCCCCTTCAACGATGGAAGTCTGGGATTCGCGGTGACAGAAAGACTCTAGACGCGTATTCGAATTTCCCTATTTCTGGCATAGCGCCTACATCAACAGCTGCCATTAACGGCCTACCACATCGCATAGCCCATCCAACATGAACCCACACATATCGCTCCCCAGGCCGACGGGCGGCCCTTCAAACTTCGGATCTACCCCATCGTCACGGCGGAATGAGGTCAAGATGCCGCGCTTCTTCAAGCGCATGTTCAAGTTTCCACAGATGGACTTTGAGATGGCTATATGGGAGATCATGAGCCTAATAATAGCACCCAAGAAGGTGTTTCGGCAAATCTACTATCATGTATGCGTTTCTAGTCTCTACCCAGTGTTGCGCAAAATTAACAGTGTTAGAAACAAACCACCAAGACATACCATCGCCCCGATCCGTCATTCACATACCTACTCTCCTTCTTCCTCACCCTCACTTCACTTGCGTGGGGCTTCGCATACGCCGATGGCTTTACACAGACGCTTCACATAACCATGGTCTTCATCTTCGGACACTTCCTGGTGCTATCGCTGTTGATAGCGACGCTGTTCTTCTTCCTAGTCGGCCGGTTATTGGGTCCCGACAACACATTGCTGCCTGGGCGACGGAGAGGCCTGTACAATCTTGGAGAGGACTCGGGCAAGGAAGAGTTGGAGTTTGGATACTGCTGGGATGTTGCCATCAGAGCGTTTGTGCCAGTCTGGGTGTTTCTCTACGTTGTGCAATTCCTGTGCATGCCACTAATAGGCACACACCACTGGTAAGACTCTGAGGTATTCATGGGTTAAAACATGCGCTGACAATTCTAGGTTCTCACTCCTCCTTTCCAACACACTCTACTTGCTCGCACTGAACTACTACTTCATCATCACCTTCTTGGGCTACAAAGAACTACCTTTCCTCCACCACACCGAGCTCCTCCTAGTCCCAGTCGCAGTCATGGCAATACTCTGGTTCGCGTCGCTCTTCGGCTTCAATATGTCGACACACTTTGCACCAGTGTTATGGACCGGCGCCAAGTTGCGGAAACATGTCTGATGCTACGTGGAGGGCAAGTATCAAGCAAGGATACGCAAAGGGCAATGAAAAACCCGGCGCGTCATGGCGTTCAACGCACATGAGATACTCCTGGAGTTTAGCGTTAGCTAAACCCCGGAATGCGAATGAGTCCAGCGGCAGAGCGGGCTGTTGTAGCATACATAGCGAGCATATGCATAATATCATTGACTGTCATAACGATAAACGTACCCAGTAGACACATTCGTAGTTCTATATACATATACACGAAGAAGCGTAGTGATCAAGCCTTCAACCCGCAACCCCCAAGACACTCCACGTTGGTATATACACATACGGTTACACTATTTTACAAGTTCCTCTTCTCAAACTTCTCCTCGTAGCACTGAATGCGATCACCCACCTTGAAGTCTTCCCAGCCTTCAAATGCAATACCACACTCGGTATCCTTGCGCATCTGCTCTACATCCTTCTTCTGGTTCTTAAGCGATTCAATCACACCTAGATGTTTCCGTTAGCACATGTTTCACTCGGACTAGCATATAAGGAAACTTACCATCGTGAACAATATTCTCGCCACGGAGTACCCTGGCCTTGGTACCCTTGTCAACAACACCGTTGCGAACCTTACTTCCCGCAACTTTTAGCTTCTTCTTGCCACCGAGACCAATTTCAAAGACTGCTGCGATTTCTACTTCACCCGTGACCTTGTGGATGACCTTGGGTGCGAGCTTCTCCGATAGGAGATCCTTGACGTTTTCAACAACGCGGTAGATGATGTTGCTGTCGAGGATCTTGACACCCTTCTCTTCGGCTAGTTTGGCTACATGGTTAGGGATTGTAGTGTTGAAGTTGATGACATGTCCCTTTGCGTCGGCAGCGTGCGAAATGTCGAATTCAGAAGGCGCGCCGACACCGTGACGGAGAATACGCGTTGACACTTCTGCGTTGCCGAGTGCAGAGACAGAGTCGATAACTGCTTCAACAGAGCCAGACACGTCGCCCTTGATGATGAAGGAGACAACTTCGGGCCCAGCCTCTTTCTTCTCGGCGACTGCAGCTTCCTCGCCATTCTCGATAGCCTTAGCAGCGGCTTCTTCAGCCTCACGACGCTCGGCTTCTGCGCGGCGAGATTCGTTGATGGCTTCCATGTCGCGCGCCATCTGTTCTCTATCGACCTTCTCGCTGCGGAGCTCAGTCACCGAGGTAGCGTGTTGTTCATCCTCTGCCTGAAGCACTTCATCGCCAGCAATGGGTTGGTCGCGCCAGCCATCAATCTCGACAGCCATGCCAGGTCCGACTTCCTTGACGACAGCACCGGCCTCGTTCCGCAGAGTGCGCACGCGTGTCCAGGTAGTTCCTGCGACAAGCGCCGTACCTTGGCGGAGGGTACCACGGCGAACCAGAACAGTAGCCACACGTCCAGATTTCTTTGTCGTACCCTCGAGAACCCATCCTTCAACGGCAGCTGCAGGATCAGCGCGGTGATCCAACATCTCCGACAATGTTGAGATGGCTTCTTCAAGGTCCGGAATGCCCTGTCCGGTCTTGCCACTAACACAAACAGCCTGGATGTCACCTCCAAAGTCCTCAATCTCAATGCCATGACGGCCGAGGTCAAGCTTGACAGCATCCGGATCGGCTTGAGCTTTGTCGATTTTGTTGATGGCGACAATCATAGGCACATTCGCTGCTTGTGCGTGCTTGATAGCCTCGACAGTCTGGGGCATAACAGAGTCATCCGCAGCAACAACTAATACCACAATATCTGTAACGTTGGCCCCACGAGCGCGCATCGTCTCGAATGCAGAGTGACCGGGCGTGTCGAGGAATGTAATCTTCTTTCCGTTTGCCAAGGGTACACTGAATGCACCAATGTGCTGTGTGATGCCACCAAACTCGGTAGCCGCCACACTCGTCGAACGCATATAGTCAAGGATAGTCGTCTTGCCGTGATCAACGTGACCCATGATCGTGACTACAGGCGGTCGTGCAGGAAGCTCAGCGTAAGCCTCAGGCTCTACAGGCGGTGCAGGATAAAGATCGCCATCATCTTCCTGTGACTGGAAGATTGGCTCGAAGTTGTACTCCTGCGCGATGAGACCAGCATGCTCCGCGTTCAGGATGTGGTCATTTTGAACATCCTCGAACCCTAGCTCTTCTAGCTTCTGCACAAAGTCTTCCACTCTCAACCTCAGAGCGCCCGCAAGGTTGGCGACACTGATGTATTCCGGCAACGATATCGGCGTGGGTTCATTCTTCGCAGATTGTGCTGCCTTCTTGGCTTCAGCTCGTAACCGCTTGCGTTCTTGCTTGCTGACGCGTGGCCGATCCTCATCTTCCTCTTCGTCCCGTTGCATGCGTCGGCTCCTGCCCTTGTTCCCGCCTTGTCGTCGCTGGGGCTCATCGTATCGGTTCTTGACCTCTTCCGGTTCGTCAAAGGCAAAACGACTTCGCCTTCTTTCGCTCTCTACCTCGTTACGCCGCCTGTTGTCCTCTTCCATTTTCACCTGTGCCGACGGTTCGATTGCCAAATTGCCCTTGGACTTCTGCACCCAAGCCTCGGCAGCATCCGATATCGATTCCTGGTAGCGCTGAGGTGGCTTATACGTTGCCGTTCTCTGTTCTGGTCGGTCTTGCGGCTGCCGCTCGCGAAGTAGCGGTTTCATTGGGCAAGCATTGCTCATATGCTCCTTAGATCCACAGTGGAAACATGTCCTTTGCGTGTTCATGTCCCTTGCAAGCGGTTGGTACGGCTTTCGGTTTGTAGACGCATTACCCAATAACTTGGATATCTCGTCTTGGTCCAGCATCTTTCTTTGTGGCGGAGGTCTCGAAATCTGCGATGGTCTTCGGTCGTCCAATCCGGATGATGCACGTTCGGGCCGTGGTTCGTTTCGTCGCCTCAGGTGGCCTGAGCCAAATGCTGGTGTATTGACCGGGGGTCTTGAATCCATATTGACGGTATAGCGATTCTGTGCTGGGGGTCTGTAGTCATTGCCCCGGTCGTTCACAGCTGTTCTCCGAATACCAGGCCCAAAGCGGTCTCTGCTCTGGTTCCGTATCGGTCCATCGAAGACGCCGCCTCTGTTGGTTGCCCGCCTCTCTGGTGGGTTCTGCCGTGATGCTTGCGGTTGAGATTGTGAAGATCCTTGTGTCGCTAATGATGCCCTCATTCTCTCTGCCGGCGACATATATCCTCCATGTTGTTGCTGCGGAGGGGCATACGGGGCGCTGGCCGCCAACGCCTGCCGCATGCGCTGTGCCTGCGACACTGGCTGGTCGCGCTCATTTGCATCTTTGTATATGATGCCCTCGGCCGATTGCGGGGCTCTACTCGACGAGTTGAGTTCTCTCCGTTGCGTAGCGTTCGATGATGTAGCGAGCGTATTCGAGACGGCTAACTGACGAGTGGCGCAGAAGATGCAAATATCGCGGGTTGAAGAAACCTACTGCTGTTAGTCGAGACATGTTTGCTTCTGAATTGACTCTTGGCTCATCCTCACCCGAAGTCCACGCGCTCTCCGCATATTAAGCGATGTGATGCGTAATGTTTCCGAAGGTTGTTGGAGTACATCAAAAGTTTGGACTTGTCCCGCCGACGGATCCTTGCCCTCGCCCGTCAGGACTAGCGTAACGCCACAGTGTACCGCGTTGGCCACACTCTACACGATTAAGGCATGGATTCACTATTCGGGCCTACGATGCATTGAAGATAGAACAACACCTTAAGCCGAGACATTGCGCAGTCGAAGAATATAACACGCACGCATGATACTTTTCGCGCACGTTTAGATTCGCAGGTCAATAGACTTACAGAAACAACCTCAGCGTCGCATCGAATGAGAGGCTCGGAAAATAAGCATCTTGTGATTGCACCGTAAATTCCCATATCGAACAAATTTTACTGCTTAGCCTCCTTCATCCTCAGCTTGACACCATCCGCGGGGCACGTTGTCAAGCTCAATGCGTTCCTAACGTATCCCATCCCACCCTGCTCCTTTGACTCCCAACTGTTCCCAACACCCTCAATGGTCTCAAACCTCTGTACCAGCCTTACAACCGAATAACCAGCTTCTGTTAGAGCAAACTGCTGCCCAATGCAAATCCTTGGGCCACCGTTGAAAGGAAGATACTCCCAGCCGCTCTTCCTTCCGTTCCAGCGCTCCGGTTTGAACTCGTCAGCGTCGGCACCCCACAAGTCTTTACGACGGTGCATGATGTATACGCTGTAGTCGACTTGCGTGCCCTCCTTCACGTAAATACGTCCTGTGCCGTCCGGACCGCCACCGACGGGCAGGGTAGTATCTTTGAGAGCACGGCGGCCATCAATAGGGACGACAGGATAGAGACGCAGAGTCTCGTTCAGAACCCACTGCAGATAGTTGCAGGCCTTCAGCCCCTCAAATGTTATATCTTGTGCGTTGGAGTAAGTGCCGAACGACTCCAGGATGACGCTGCGTAGGTTCTTGTAGACATCCTCGTGCTGTGAAAGAAGCATGAACACGTATGACAACAGCGACGCCGTGGTATCACGACCGGCTAGGAGAATCGAAATTAGGTGTTCTCGAAGCTCGATGGGGTTGCGGGTAGACTCTGCAAGTGCATCAAGGAAGACGTACTTTCGCTTTCCATGCGACTTCTCCTGTATGGTACTCTTGTCTTTCGATAGCGCAAGGTTGACGTAGTGATCTATGAATTCATGGCATTTCCTGCAGTGCTCTTTGAACGCCTTGTCATAGACGAGCCAGTACCCCTCTTGAAGTCGGCTAGCTGTGGCGATGGTGCTTTGGGCCTTGTCGAAGGAAAGAGCAAATTCTTTTTCGCTTACAGCCATGGGGGGTCTACTGGACTTGTAACCAGGTAGCGCTGAAAGCTGAGAGTCAACGCTCTCGCCAAACAAGAACTCTGTAGCGCTGTCGATGGTCAGGCGGAAGAAGAGCGGCTTGAGGTCCGTGACGTCTGTCCAGCCGTCTGAGTTGGTAGGAATTACTCGCATCATGTTCTGTACATGTTCCTCTTCAAGGTCCAAGTCGCTAACCTGGTCTCGCGCGAACTGAGGCCGAAGCAGTGATCTCGCATGGGCCCATTGCTCGCCGTCGCTGGAGAACTGCTTCTTGTCAGCACCTGATATTCTTGTAGCATTACTAATAGCAATACTTACAATGCCGTGGCCAAGCAGCGGAGCGAAATTTCCATTTCGCCTCTCTCCTAGTCCGAAGTCTTTGAATTGCGTCGCCAATATAGCCTGAATATTTCTTGGTTCTATTGTGAAGAAAGATTCGGCACCCATCATGTTCTGGTGAAATGTGGTGATAGTTCTGCCTTGTTCGGCATTTGCAATATCGACGCGCTCTTTGAAATACTGGGGTAAACGAGCTTGCTTGTCTGCCTTTAATACTTTCGTAATATTGACAACTCCAAAGGGATCAAGCGACGATTGTTTGGCGGGATGGGCAGGCAGGCAGCCCAGTTGACGTGCAGCAGCAGCATGGCGGCGTGAGATGATGATCGAAGAGATGATCTTGTATAGGACAAAAGAGACGCCAGCCCAAGCGGCTAAGAGGATTGAGCTGTGCATTTTGGAGATGATGCTTTACCGTGAGGAAGGGGGGTTGTAGTTGAACGTGTACTGTTGGCGAACAGCAACTTTTCCACAAGAATTCACTTGGTTAAGTATGGTAGTTTATCGGACTACGTCCCGTTACTAATGCACTAGGGTTCCTCTGGCGCTTCCGCTGCAACGTCCATTTAAGCACCTTGCTGCAAGGATGGAGAAGAATTGGTCCATGCGACGTGCACCTGTTCACGACCCTTGGCTCCTCGGAATCATCATTGTGCACTAATCACGCGTGCGGGGCGGAGAGATATGAGTTCCGACTGCTTTTTTGTCTGTCACAGCTAAATAATCGGTGTCACAGTCACTGCCTGTACTGTTTGTGATAGCCGCTACTCGTTTCCCCGCCTTTTCGATTCGGCCTCCTTAGCTCTTCCGAAGTCGTACTCGGACGAAATCCGTTGTTTTCTTCTTGCGTATAACACGCCTCGGTAATTATGGCTGTGCGCCCGTTGTGACGGAGCCTAGAATGTTAGGGCGCATTCAAGGTTCGGTTAGGAGTCAAGTGTCATTCTATCAAGTGGAATGGATCCACTCCAAGCGGGTTTTTCTATAGTTCGATATGCCGTGTCTAGCAGATGCCTTTCTCATACGGGAGTCTGCAACGACGGTCGTGAAACGGAAGAGGAAGCTCGTAGGCCCGCGAGTGCAGCGTGCATCTGGCTGCCAAGTATTCCGAGATGGCCGACTGGTGAAACTTGCGACTGCTAATAGGGAAGCAGCCCGTTGCCGAGCGCACAAGGGCCGCGCGGTCGCGTTTATCCGATGTAGAGAAACTTTAACAATGATAGATGATTGTGACTGCAGCTGGCTTCGCGTATCCAACCTTTTCTGTCGTCCGGTCTCGTCCTGATCGGTGCAGTTGTTCATTAAAGCATCTTTTGCTCATTCTCTGTAGTCTCCATTACATTGAAAAGATGACGAGTTGGGTGTACAAGCGAACACTTTGGATCAAGGACATATCTTCTAGAAAGTGTTTTGGCAACAGGATCGGAAGGTCACAGGAGTACGGTAGAATTGAGGTCATGAAAATGTTCAGCCTGATGCGTCGATCGTAGAATCCCAACACGGCCTAGTCATGTTGGAATGATTGCGAACGTCAACAAGATTCGTTCTTGCGACTCTCACTCATACCACGGTCAGGACGGGCAGTTCAATAAGAGAAGCCGCGAATCATACCAAGGCCACTAGTTGCGATGAGTCGAATGTTTGAAGTCTACTAAGAGCCAGTGTTGGTGGCATGAATGTCTTCAGCACACAACCTGAACCCTTGCGCACTCCACCACGCAAGCTGAACTTCAAACACTTGATTTCAGCGATACGGATATGAATGCTGGTTGGGACAAACTAGAGCACATTTCCGATGATCATTGAGAGCTTGTCAGAACCGAAAAGGAGGCCTTGGGCTATGGTCGCAAGGCTTACGAGCACAGCCTCCAACTTCTGAAGGTCTTCAAAAGCCAGACCGTCTTCATACCTGCTTCTGGCATCGATGGAGAAATGATGCTACTTTTCCGATTGGGTGGACTCCTGGACAGTGTGGAGAAGTTAAAAGAGGTTGCTGGCCTAGAGAACTTACCAGTCGAACAAGATGGACAGAATGAGATGGGTAACGTCAAGCTCTGTCTGGTCGATAAGGACGTACAGAAGAAGCTCGAAGAATGGATCATGCAGCAGTCTGTTCTACGAAAATGAATGCGACGGCGTTAGAGGCTGGAGAAGGCAAGGTACATGAGGCATGGGCCGAAATTACGAGATTGTCACTTGGTATTTCGGGGCAGTCGATCTATGTGTCGGCTACAAGGTTGCGAGATGCTATACGGTACTGGACAGACACGACAGGGTCCGATAGCGGGAGAAAGTTGGTCCCGAGTCGTACTATGCACATAGCTCGAATTCGAAGAGCTAAAACTAAGCCTGTCGTCTCGCCGATGCCTCTTTCCAGTTCTGTGTCGCGCACCTGCCAAAAGTGCACAAATTCGTTTCCTGGCAACACGCGACTTGGATCACGAAGCTCCAAAACTAGAAGTAACGTGCAACACAACTTCGCCGAGGATGAACAACGCCTAAGAATAGTGCCACCGTCAGTAAGCATACTCTGTGGGTTACTCGACCAATCAGTATCTATCGAGCCACCACCACGATAGCGCTTACGGTGAGAGAGGAGCGGCAGCCACAAGCGGCGGATCGTCAGCACTACAGTTCAGCTTTGCTGATACATCACGACGTGATTGGCGAAGCGATCAGTCAGTTGCTGTTTGAAGTTGGCGAAGCTGAAGCTGCTGATGTAACGGCACGAAGATCATCACGATGATCTCTGTACAAGTAGGAGAACGTGATGCGGCGCAAGCAAAAGGCTACGCAAAATATCTACACGACTTCAGTTCGACGAAAAAGTATTAAGATTTCTTCGTAACAAAAGACAGAAGCTATGGCTGCACATGCATATTATACCCCGACGCCTCTTGCTCCACGAGAGGAAGATCTACAACAATTGCTACCACCCACCATGACTTCTTCCAAATTCACATCCGACAAGTCGTCTCGTTTGATGCCGCTTCAGTCCACATCTCACAGCCAAATACTACCATACGGCGATCTTGAGGATCTTAAAGAAGCCGTAGTCGAAGACAGGGTACATCTTTCTCAGCAAAGAAACCCTACAAGAATGATCATTTTTAAACTAACATGTATTCCAGCACCTGAAAACGCGCATTCGCAAATTACGCATCATATCTCGCACCCTTGCGTTATTCCTATCCGTCGCAGTCCTCATTCCCACCGCACTTACCCTTCACAAGTTTCTTAGCACACGGACGATCTACCGCACCGTCACACTTCCTAGCGGCCAAAACATTTCACGTACGCCCTGGGCTCGCAACACGCGCGCATGGCCAACATACATGTACTTTGGCGTTGCAGCCGTCTCCGTATTACTCAATCTTGTGACGATGCTTTCGTATAAATTTGGTGTTGGGAAGGCCAATATAGCAAGCTGTATCACGAGTATCTTTAGCTGGGTCAACATCCTTGGGAACTTTGTAGTATGGTGTGTAGCTGTAGGTATATATCGTGCGGAGAAAGACAAGAATGGGAAGAGTAATGATATCTGGGGTTGGACGTGTAGCGCGGGCGCGAGAGCGATTCAAAAAGAGTTTGTGGGCGACATTGACTTTGGCAAGTATTGTAATGTACAGGTAAGTCGAATATTCTGGATAGCTTGGGAAAGAACTCTGCTGACTCGATGGTAGAGTGTAAGCTGGTATATTGGTATTGTACAGGCCTCTGCTGCACTTTTGACTGTGGTGATTTACGTATTGGTTTACTTAAGAAGAGGGACCAAGAGGGAGGTGGAGCAGCGGTTGAAGATGAGTGGGTACGAGGCGAGTAGACAGTGAACATGCGAAGACGTCCATCGCGCATGACTACCACGCATCACAAAGACCCTTCTCTACCCAGATACCCACCCGTCTTCACCCGGCATCCAAAAGAGAAGTTCCCTGCATGCCTCCATATTCTCAACCACAACACTACGCCATCTCCATTTCAGATATCGTCGCACTCAACAACCGGCCCCAAAATCCGTCGTTTTGCGCATCCATGATGTATCCGTAACCACATCTTCCGCGTCTCTCGTCCTTACACGTTACCTCTTCGGTGGCTTGGCTGCACGCACCAACCCCCCAAACCCAGACCCTGCCTACCAAACAAGCAAGACCCTTGCCAGGAACGGACAACAACAACATGCATGCTTAATGGTTCACACCCGAGGAACAATGTGCCGAAAAGGTACCAAGAAACAACTAACGGCGGAGTGAACATGCACGCAGTGCAGACTCCACACATAATCGCTGCATAGAGAAAGGGAGGCGGAATAAAAGGGTAACGATGTACGGTGTGCGGAGGTTTAAAATGCGGAGATTTAAAAGGCGGAGAGACCCACTGTGCTTACTATCGGGAAGAACATCGCAATTCACTCGCTTACTTCCTCGGTTCATTTGAGTGAAGAATTTGCAAGATGTTGGTATGTCAGAGAAGAGGATAAAGTGGTTTGAGGAACACGAAGACTAATGATACGGCTAGTGTTCACGGTCATTACCTATTTGGATATGTATGGCCTTCTCGCTACTTGTTGCGGGAGGCTTGGCGCAACGAACGCAAGATGAATGTGATCAAGATTGCTTCCTAGAGCGAATCGAGAAGCTTGAGCAAGATTATGCGCTGATGGAGGTTTTTGTGGTAGGTTTGAGCTGATTCACGTACCTATCGTGGATGTGACAATCTAGCATGCTGACCATGAGTACAGTTCCCATATAGCGATACTTCTCCATCATTCACAGCTTACTCCGCTGTTACCCCACCCAGCGACCCCACCTCAACTCCGAGCCCATCAAGCCATCATACTACACTCATCACATCCGGGATTCCTTCTCCATCTTCTCTACCCACCAGCCATGCGGCGGTGCAGTCTCCAACATCAGACATACCTTCATACTCGATTTCCCCATCGGAACCCTTGACAGCCAATACCATAGCCAACTCCACTGGTCCTGACATCCCCACTCGTCCCGGTTACCGGGCAGTAGCCTACTACGGGAACTGGGACATCTATTCGCGGAATTTCCAACCGCAGCAGATACCAGCAGAGCGTTTGACCCACCTGCTCTACTCCTTCGCCGATAACAAACCTGATGGCACCGTCTTCTTGACAGACTCGTACGCCGATGCAGAGAAGCGCTACCCGACCGATTCTTGGAACGATAGTGGCAACAATCTATATGGCTCGCTCAAGCAACTCCAGATTCTGAAAGCTAAGAACAGGAACTTGAAGGTAATGCTAAGCATAGGCGGATGGACGCACACCAACACCAACACCAACAAGCACATGGATGGCCCCATGGCTACTGCTGCGGGCCGGCAGCGCTTTGCATCTTCTTGCGTTGAGCTTATCCGCGACTATGGCTTCGACGGGATTGATGTGGATTGGGAGTATCCCAAGGACGAAGAGCAAGGGCATCAATGGCTGGAGCTGTTGAAAGAAATCAGAAGCCAGATGAACGAATATGCTGATACACTTGTACACAAGGACCACTCTGGACATGAGCTGAAGCCAAAGTTCCTATTAACCATTGCTTCGCCGGCTGGCGAGAGTAACTACAAGCATCTGCCATTGAAGGAAATCAGTGCAGTTACGGATTTCATAAATCTCATGGTAATCATTTTTTTGGTCTCCAGATGCGATGGCGCATGAACTGACAAGACCATAGGCATACGACTATGCCGGCCCCTGGGACAGCCAAACGGGCCATGCATCGAACCTCTACCCTTCGACCTCGGATCCCTTGAGCACGCCTCTCAACACGGCTTCTGTTCTGGGCGCTTACAAGGCCGCGGGCGTTCCGCCCTCCAAGCTCAACCTGGGTATGCCCCTTTATGGCCGCTCCTTCACCAAAACCCAAGGTCTAGGAAAGTCATTCAACGGCATCGGTAAGGGATCATGGGAGAAAGGCGTCTACGACTTCAAGGACTTGCCAGTGGGAGATGCACAAGAATACTACGACGAAGAGGCGGGCGCAACGTATAGCTATGACGAAGGAAGTGGCTCATTTGTCAGTTACGATACTGTGGCCATGGCGCTCAAAAAGGTCGACTTCATTGCGCAGCAGAAGTTGGGTGGTGCAATGTGGTGGGAAATCAGCGGTGACAAGACGGGTGATGACGGGAGCATCGTGACAAATGTGAGTTGCATGCGTGTGATAGTGGAGATGAATGGTGTGCTAACTTGCAAAGGTTGTTAAGAAAATGGGCGGCGGGAGTGGCGCAGGCATCGAGTCATCGTCCAACTGGCTTCTGTACCCGGACTCAAAGTTTGACAACATCAGGAACGGCGTGTCCACGCTGCAGGCCGTCCAACGGCTGCGCAGGGTCTGAGTCGTTGGTACAGCAGTAGCTAAAAAGCGAGTATGTCAGGTGGTGCGAACCTAACATCGCGTAAGCTATTAAATGATCGTCATCGGTGAAGGATGAGATGAAGCATTGGTGGCGCGAGCACTCATACGTTTCCATGAACGTAGTAATAAAACTTGTCATATACCTTACCCTTGAGATATCTCGCTTATTGCCAAGGTGGAACAAATGCTGGTACTGAATTGCGTGACACAGTTGCAGCAGTGTTTGAGGCTCTGTTAAACCCTGAGTGTACGCGACAGCGCGGAAGCCATGCTGTTTCTGGCGTAGATCTTCTTTCGATATATTGCCAGTGTTGGTGTTCTGCTCGACCGACATGGTACGATCGCTGACTAGAATGCTAGAGGTGGAAAACGATTACACAATCAAAGGCGCGGCGGATCAGCTATTGTTGATTGTCGTTGGATTTGTGTGGTGTCTGAGCGCATGAAGGCTAGGATATGCCTGCCGCACACATGCACGCCGCGTGCCGAATCATATATACAGGTACCGAACGCCTAAGCTCCATTCGTGCAGCGAAAGTAATAGCAGTCGTACGATATAGCACCAAAATGTGCTTGTAAGGTATAGCGAAGTCTGTATTGGGCACCAGAATGTGCTCATTCTACTGCCTCCTGACCTCTTCCGGCGAGCAAGTGTCCGCGGGCGGGAGCAAGCGCTGGTAGGATTGCTCGCCAACAATGGTCGACTCCCTATGCTCGAGAAATGTGCGTATCCGCTCGTCGCGGTCTCCACTTGCACTCAGAGTAGCATTCCTACTCCGCCGGTACTCCATGCTCGCCTCTCGGTGTATCTGGTCCCGCCTCTCAATGACGGAGTTGTTGAAGGTACTGAACCTAGTCCCCTGCACGACACCGCCTATGCTTACAAAGGCAAATATGAGGGCCATGAAGGTAAAATTGGACATCTGAATCGTTCGCGCGTTGTCCTTGGCGCCGCCGCCGTTCTCGTAGTGCCAGCGCTCCCAGTCTTCCCATGTCGCATTGGTACGCGGATCCGTAGCCCAGCGATTTGGATCATAATTCCAGTCGTTATGACGGGGTACTGTGGGCGTCTGGTAGTGGCCTGCCCAGCCATGGCCCCAGGCATCATACGCTTTGCGTTTCTGGACATCGGACAAGATGTCGTGTGCGGCGACCAGCATTCGATAGCGCTCAAGCCGCACATGGAGGGGCAGTTGAGCTATGGCAGCCGAGGCATGGCAGCGATCGGGGTGGTAGAGTTTGACGAGGGCATAGAAGCGGTGCTTGGTGTATGCATCGCCCTTTCTGCATTGGAGGATCTGGTAGGGCGTGGGTGTCCTGTGAGGGGTTTCGGCTTGTGGCCATTTCAGCAGCTCTGCATCATCGCGGTACGAGGGCGCATCTTGGTGTTGGGCGTAGGTTCGCCGTTGTCGTGCGAGCTCAGGACGTGAGAATGTATGACGGCATGACTTGCTCGGCTGTCGAGGGCAGCAACTCGGCGCGTGAGTATAGTATAGGGGGCTCAGGTTAGTATAGGACGAGAGTAGTATCGAAGATTTCTTAGACAGCATTGTCAAGCAACGGCAGCCGTGAACGGGCGCGCATCTCAGAGCTTCAGTCAAGTGTCAGGGTAGCGACGTGTGGGGTGGTGAGTGATGGTGGCGTCGGCGCATGGACGATCGCCTCGCACTCCGCGGGCGTTGGGTGCATGCGCGATCCATCCATCGGTACCTCGCGCTAAGCAAGCCGCCTCCAAACAACATGCGACACTTTAGATGCGATCCGGAGTTGACGTTTTTTTCTCTCTCTACCGACAAACTTCTCCGACGGCGCCGTCGTCTCAGAAAGGAAGCCACCATGCAGGTGCGGTCTCTTCCGCTCCCCTCCAGTTGCTCAGACCCGACGCCAGTGGAGCCTCTTGTTCCGCGACTCAGCCCGTCTGTTTGACGTGAACTCCTTCGCCTCGCTTGCGCATGCCTTAGCAAACTGCCCCTGCAGCGAGACAAACCCTCGGGTCACGACGCATGAAGTCTGCCCTGCAACCAGCCAGCCGCCTATTGTCTTTGTCCTCTGCAGAGTGGGCTGACTGTGGGGTCTAGAGGGGGCATCCTGTCTTCTATAACCCGTTTGTTATCACTCTTTCTCGTGCGCTTCCTTCCCTCGACTTTCTCTACGCCTTTGCTTCTTACTGTCCTTTCCGTTGTTGACTGACTTGCATTTATACCTTGCTACTTTCCATGTTGATTGCCTCCCGCACCTCCCATCCAACTTCCAGAGCCCTGCAACTGAAAATGGCAAACATTTACGACAGTAATGGACACCCACGGGAAGGCTACTTGAACCTTACCCGTCGCATGGAAAATGAAGAAGAAGATCAATTCGACGTCGACCTGACTATCTTGGACTTTCTCGTCTACAAGGCCATTGGATTGGTATTCGAATGGAGATCAAGCAGTGATCCGTATCATTCCGATCTGCCCAATGCCCTTGTCAACATGACTGCTGGTATGAACTACCATGACCGTGGTACTCTGTTAATCGCTGACGACCCGCAGATTGGAGGACGTTTTTGGGTCACAGGCACCATGGCCGACGCCTAGACGCCAAGGCGTCATTTCGATCACGTTTGTTGCAGTTCGCCCTAATTTTTACGCACAGACTGCATCATGACGAGACATGGACAACCGAGGAATCACTTGACAGTCTTCGCGAGCAGAACAAGAGCCGTGGCGAGTACTGGCACCAACGAACTCAGCATCCTTCTGCACTTCAGCAACCCTTCGACCAGCAGAAGGACTTCCCTCTATCCGATGGCGCACTTTACGAGAACCGATTTGCCCTTGCATCCGCATTGAGCATGCCTCTGGATCAGAGGAGATGGGTGACTGATGTAGCAGGCACACCCTCACTCCACTGCTTATTACCAGTCTTCGTCGAACTTACTGCAGCCCGTGTGAACCTGGATGATGACTGGCTACCGACTTCTGAATGGTTCGACTTGGCGGCGCAGTTCATGCTGCAAGCTGTCATAGGCGAATATCTTCGCAATGGTGCTTACGGCGATGAAGCTTTCAACACCATCTTCGCCTACGGCTGCCCTGGTGTCGAACGCTGGGCTGAAGAGCCAGCCGATGTAGCCGCTATGCGAAGACTTTTCTGCGCTGAAGGCAACCTCCGAGAAGAGAACCGCGAATGGACAAGAATCAAGCGCCAGTACATCAGTGAGCTTCTGCCACGGGATCGATCTCAATCAAGTCTTCAGGCGATACAAGCAGCGCAGGAACGGCATCCATATGCTGCTTTCGAGGAGCAGCTACTCTCATTCCTCAAGTATCTGCATGAGGGTCTGGTCAAGCCGGATCTCGCTCAAGTCGAAGAAGGTCGTATCAATATTGACGGCAATGAACTCTCAGAAGCCGAGTCGAGGGCTATGATTCAGCGCATGGGTCTTTGAAAGATTCTATTGTGCAACAGCCTTTGTTCTCGGTCGAGTTCAACGGAATCTTTTTTGAATACTTGTTACTCTTTTCGGTTCTACAATCTCGCATTTTCGTACTAGCGTACTAGCGTATGCCATTCCTGTTTATATGTTTTGCAGCATCATTTTTCTCTTCTTATCTTGCGAGCTATTCTTCCAGAACCATAGCACTTGCACCAAAATTCACGTAGCTCCGCGCGTTTTGTACCATATACCCAAATCAGCTAGTCAAGACATCGACACAGGCGTGTAGTCGGTGCAGTTATACAAAACATTCCAGCCTCTTGGTGGCTATCCGATTTCAACTCCTACTTGCCGTAACAAAACCCCTTCAAATCCCCCGCCACATCCCCAATCGCCTTCCTCGCTCCATCACTCCAAGCACCCATTTGCAGCCACCCGTGCGTCATATCCCCATAATGCCTCCATCTGACTTCATTCCCAGCCTCCCTCAACTTACTCGCATACTCCACACCCACGTCTCGCAAAGGGTCAAATCCACTCGTATACACACTCGCCTGCGGCACACCCTTCAAATAATCTAGACTCTGCATACCAGGCGAAATATACTGATGCGAAGGGGGCGTACCCCGTGGTAAGTAGTGATCTGCGAAACTGAAAATCCCGTTGCATTCGAGATAATAGCCGCTATTGTTTTCGGCAGCAGCGGGAGTGTCAAAGGGAAGGCGCGCTTCGGGGTAAAGCAGGACCTGGGCTGCGAGGGGCTTTTTGTTTTGATCTCGGCGTCGGAGACAGATGGCTGCTGTCATATTTCCACCAGCTGAATCGCCGCCGCCGCAGACACGGTCTGGGTCAACGCCTCGCGCTTTGCCGCCTTCACCTTGGAGCCAATCAATAATGGTATCGTATTCATCTAGCTGGGTTGGGAACTTGAACTCGGGGGCGAGGCGATAGTCGATGGCGTAAATCTGTGTGGGACATGGTTAGATTGGTTGTCTTTGCTTCCCCGACGCCTCCATTGTATTGAGACCATGAGCGTACCTGTACCCCACTCTCCTCAGCAACCTGCCTTAACCCATTCTCAAACTCATCTACACTCCCTACTGTATAACCCCCGCCGTGGAAATATACCCACGCTCCATTCTCCCCCTCTCCCTTCCCGCTACTCGGATATAGGACTCTGACTGGTATGGTCCCGTGTGGGCCTCGCACGGCCGTAAATTCTACACGGCCGATGTCATGTCGCTTATCTTCTGAAATGCTATGGAAGCCAAAGACTTCAAGATGTTTCCGTCGTTCCACGTGGAAGTCTTCGTCGCCGCCGAGATGAAGCGAAGGGTGCGACTCGAGAAAGTGGGATATGGAGGAACAGAGGGTAGTGCGGGTACCTGTTTTGGGGATGTGAGAATCAGAAGATGGAGAAGACATTGTTGGAGAGAAATAGACCAGGCCTCTTGTTCATCTTCTTGTGTCTAGAAGTCAAGTGAGGTGTGTATTTATTTTGGATTCTGCTCTCTAGGCCTCTTAAACTCCATTTTCTTTTTGCATGTAACCAACTACCTTCCGTCATACAGTATGCATACTCCCACGCGTTGTAACACAAACGTCATCTTTATTTGTTGGTTCCAAATTCACACCAACCGGCTTGACGCGTAATGCGTCTTCCTCCCGCTTTCAGATTGATGAAGAGTGGAGTATACTAGATCCACGACATGCGCACGTCAATATCCGGCGCTTAGTTTTATATCCGATCCTAGTCACGAAAACACGCTAGCTAATGTGTGGTTTTGACCATCATTGTGATGGTACTCTATTGATCAAACATTTGTAATTTGATTTGGGAGAGATATAGCGTATCTAAAAACCTACTCTTACAGCATATCGTTAAACATAGCGATACACGCCCTAAAAGGCCGAGGTATATGTACAAGAATCAAAACGAGCTGTGATGAGTATATCAAACAGCAGAGTAAACAGCCGTGCATCCCCGTCCACACTCCACCTTTTGCTCAAACTCGACTGTCCGACCATTGACCTTGACCTTGTTCCTTGGTGTGATTTGGAAACGATGCATCTCCTTCTCTCTTAGTTGTTTTCCGAACCCACCAGCAGACGCAGCACGTTCTAGCTCGGCGGCTTGGTCAAGTGGTTGAATGTATGTTGGTGTGGCTAGGTTGCTTCGCTTTCCACTACCAATCTGGTAGAACTCATTGTTACCCCAGAATAAGATATCGCGACCCCAATTTGTATCGTTGTCTGTGAGCTTTCTCGATCGGCCGGATACGGCGACACTGGCGACGTTGTCGAGGACGGCGGCGGCATGTGTTGCGCCGACGGAGATGGTGGACAGGCGAATGGGGATTGCTGTGTTCTTGGCTTCATCCCATTCGAAGAGACCGGAGAATGCGGGGACCTTGACGGGGTCGGCCTGTGTGTGCACCCATCGACCAACACCTAGTTGGCCTGTCAAACCAAAGCCGAAGGCCCAGGTATCTGCAGTGGTCTTGTTGCCCTTGGTCGCTTCGACAGCAAGAAAGGACGTGTTACCGCCAGCGAAGACGTTCGTCACCTTGCCTAGCTGCCCAGAGTAGAGCTTTTGTGTTGGGAGCAGAGATGGAGCATCAACACTTTGTGCTTCAGCATTGTACGGGAAACCCAATTGACCGGAGGTGTTGTCACCAAAAGTAAAGGCGCGTCCTTCAGAATCGCAGACTAAGCTATGGTAGTCACCAGTAGCTATCTTCTGGACAGGAAAGCCTTTTAGTGTAGTGATCTCGTGAGGAATGTCGAATGCGCCAGGCGGTCGGCTCTCCCATGTCAGACCGGGTATACCCATTTGGCCTTTGCTGGGGAAGTCTTGTGAGCCTGATGCGAAAGAGAAGACGCGACCGGAGGACGTGAGCATGAGCGCGTGCTCTAGACCAGAAGCGATGTTCGTAACGCGCTCGTTCCATCCCAAGTTCTCAGGCGTGCGCTTGCGGTATGAAATGTTGTTGGAGCCCCAGAAGGGGATCCAGGACCCAGATGGCGGCTTTGGACCTTCCTTTTGCTCTGCCTGTGAGACGGGTATCGAGTATACGGAGCCACTTTTCGAGAGGCCAATAATCCGATCGCGCGAGATGGCCAGTGAGATAAGGTTGTGGCCCGTCAGAGTCTTGGTAGGCTCTTTGATGTCGTTGGCGAAGGCGGTGCCCCATTGTAGAAGATCGCCCTTCTCGTCAATGGCTGCGCCGAAATTTCTGTCCAGTTTGATATCTCTCAACAACTTTCCGTCAAAGAAAGTCAAGCGTCTTGGTGTCTTTATGTATTTCTCGTCTGAGTCCGGTGCCACGACCTTGCCCGCATTTGAGCCCCATGTGTAAACTCCAGGGTTCTCCCAGCTCTTTATCACCTGAAGGTGCTGTGAACTGATGATGTTTCTGTTGTCGTCACTCGATGTTGCCCGCCGCCGTGGCGCTTCGAACTTGATCTCAGGTTCCTCTTGCTCTTCAGCGTGCGCATCTCGTATAATCGACTCCTCATTGCACCATTGCCATGCCGTGGCGGTGGCCCAGAGCGCGCCGACGGCGGCTATGGATCGGACGAAGTGCTGTTGTCGTCGCTGTGCATAAGGATGGGCTGCTGTCTGGACCTGGGATGGCGGGGGTCTGGTCGCTATGTTCCTACATAGTCGCGGGGTACGAGGCGTTCGTAGGGTTGCGCGTGCCACACATTTGGTGCTGAGCATGGTGTAGTATACAGAGTTGATGGATTGGTAGTAGCAAGTGTAGACCCAAAGGTTTTTGGATGAATCAAGAAAACGACATCTGCAACTCGTCCAAGGGTCCGATTATAGTTGGAGCATTGGTAATTGGACAGCTTCGATAGTTTCTCGAAATCGTAGCGGCGTGATCAATGACGCTCTAGACTTTCTCCACACTTGACTGACAGACTAGCATGAATCAAGACTAGCACCATCTGTTGGACCCCCACGAGCATCACCGAGCTCCGACATGTGGAAGCTTGCGTCGCTGTGTTTCCTGCCCACATTCAAAGAAACCCACCAACCCCCGAATTGCGCCAGCATGTATGAGGCAGACTCTTGGTACACGGCCTTTGTGCCTCGCACGGCCAAGCCCCAGGAAAAGGCCAAGCATCGCCGGAGAGAGAGCCTGCTCAAACAGGAGAACGTAAGCCCACCACCCGCTGCACGGGTACGTTTGAGCACTTCTGATGATTGTACTTGCAGGAGAGTCAGGCTGACTTGGAGCGCGTAGAAGCCATTCCAGAGACGGTAGAAGAGGATCGACCCGGCAAGCTCAATGGCCCTCCACCGGCCACCGTGGCCAGACGCGCCAAGTCGTACAGTGACTTCTACACGGTAGTGCGGGCACACCTGAAGAAGGAAAAGGCACTGGAGAAGAAGAAGTCACGTGAGGATATCAACACTGAGTTGGAGTTGGCTGAGTGGTATGGCGGTGTTCATGATGAGTTGCTGGAAGCCAGCCACGAGGAGTACAGGCTCTACCAGAACCAACTACACATGACGCGGAACCACCTCGAGAACATCATCTCCGACACGACTTCCACCCTCGATATTCTCTCCTCCCTATCCGAATCATTCAAGGTCGTCGAAGCGCAGACCAACGCATTCCGTACACAATGCGAAGGCCTCATCGACGACCAGAAGCGCATTACCAAGCTCGCCGACGACATGGAACAGAACCTCCGATACTATCTGTACCTCGAACCTACCACTAAGCGGCTCAATGCCCCAGGTGCAGGCAAGATAGTGCGAGGCAAGGAGTTTGTTGAGATGCTGGCGAATTTAGACAGCTGTCTAGAATACATGCAGGCGCATTCCAAACATCGCGAAGCCGAAACGTACCGATCCAGATACCGACTACTCCTCACCCGCGCCCTCACACTCATTCGCGTCCACTTCACCGAAGCGCTCCGAGAGATTGCAGCCGATGTGTCGAAACGGATAGCGGACAGACAACTAAATGATACAACCATGTCTGCGCTGTTGTACGCCAAATTCCGCGTCGGAGCGCCAGAGTTGAAGAGTATAGGCATTGAGATACAAAAGCGGGCAGTACTACCAGCTGGAGCGGCGCCTGGTGGAGAAGCTGAATACCAAAGTCTAATGAACGAGCTGTACCAGAGCTACTCAGCCACCCGGGGCCGCCTCATCCTTCCCATCGTTACGAAGAAAATTGGAGAGATCGCACAAGCTCCAAGCACGTCAACAGATCTCGTGGCCTTTGCGCGTAGCAGTATAAGCTACATACGTGGCATATGTTTCGACGAGTGCGACCTATGGAGGGAGTGGTTTGACGGTGATGGCGGACTATACGACTTCTTGGAAGCTATATGCGAGCCTCTTTATGACCATCTCCGACCGCGCACCATCCACGAGACGCAAATACTGAAGCTGTGCGAACTATGCACTCTCATACAAACACGATATATGGAGGAAGAGGAAGAAGAGTCGCCAATTGAAGCGAACAAGCTGGACTTTTCTGTCATTGTACATCCGGCACTGGAAGATGCACAAAACAGATTGGTGTTCTTGTCGCTTGCAATTCTGCGGGACGATATCGAAAGATACAAGCCCAAACCAGAAGATCTCGACTACCCAGCAAAGAATAAGAAGCACGCCACTTCCGGAACAAAGTCGAACCAACCCGTCTTGTCTGGCAAGAAGCAACCCAAGTCCGAAGCCCCGCCTACCCCATTGATGCCAAAGACGCCCACAATAGTCGAGGACGACGATCCAGATGCGCGATGGAACTTCAATACTGAGGCGGCTTACAAAGACTGGTATCCTACATTGCGCAAAGCAATATGGTTGCTCAGCAAAATCTACAGGCTCGTTCATGTACGTCTTCGAACGGTCGCATAACCTACATTGTGCTAACGTGCTCCCAGTCCTCTGTGTTTGATGACTTGGCCCATCATATCGTTCACAGCACTACACTTTCACTCGCTCAAGCTAGCACATTGCTTGTCAAATCCGCCTCGCCAACCGACGCTGCCCTCTTTCTTGTATCGCACCTCCTCCTTCTGAAGCAACAGATCGTAGCTTTCGACATAGAGTTCGTTACACCCGAAACTGAAGTCCAGTACAACTTCTCCAGTGTCACAAACACGTTCTGGGAGCTGCGTGCTCGTGGCGGCCTCTTCAACCCACGCAACCTAGTCGGTCTACTCATTCCCAAAGTCGTGGAGAACATGTTGGATGCGAAAGCTGAAGTAGATGCGCGCCTGCGTCAAGCGATCAACGACTTCACTGGACAGTTTGTTACCAGAATGACAGCGCCAATTGATACGAAGAACAACAAGAAGGTGCCACCAAGCGAGGCGCCTGCGCGCACAAGCAAGATCCGGCAGAACATCGAGCACGAGACGCCATTCCTGAGATCGAAGCTGGAAGAGTACATCACCGACGCACGTACACGCGAGATGCTCGTAGCAGCTGTAATGGAATCTGTCACACAAACGTACGAAGATTGGTACGACACGTCATACTCTCCATCTCTGTCCAACCAAAATGGAGCCGGCAGAAGCACCAAGGGCAAAGGTAGGGAGGATGGCGTCTGGGACCCGGATGTATTCAGTGAGTGGTGCGGCAACACATTCAAAGTAGGTACGCTAGGTTTGGGCATTATGGATGATGAACAAGAAGACTATCAAGATGGAGATGATAGTGACGCGGATAGTATGGGTGCTGCCAGCGGGCGATCCGGCACAGAAAGGACAGGAAACACTGGCTTAAGGATCAAGATGTGAGAGTCGTCAGTCAATGAAGGAAAATAGGGTAAACAACTACATGCACTGTTCTATAGTCTTCCAGGAGCGTGGTTGAGGTACCATTACCATGCAACAGGAAGAAAATTCACCATTACTTCCTTGCCACGTTCTCGTTTCGCCAACATGGGTGTTCTCCTTCCTGACTCCCATCGCCTTACAACATCCACCTTCATTTCTGATTCACTCTCTGAATCATGTTTCTCTCTCTTACATGTGTTCCTCATTTTCTGCCTCGCTTTCTGCCGTCGCAACGCATTCTTCTCGCGGCGCTCAATTACATCACTTACTTCGCCTTCCTACTGCAGTAGATCAGCACCATTATCTTCACCTCAAATAAGCGGAAACAGGAACTTACCGAGCTGGTCTCTGTGGAATCTGTTGATCTGTGAAGGGAGCGGTAGGACGAGGTTGCAGAAGATACAGAGAGGTGCTTGTTCGGTGTCGCTTGCTAGCTCTGTTGCCGTATCAGAGGACGAGGAAGAGATGGAAGAGGGATAGACGGCCTAACGATGTTAGTATAGAACGTAAGGAAGAGGGGGCTGTGGGTGTAACTGTCGGCTTACTGGTCATGTAGCCCTACCATGATCTTGCTTTCTTCTTCCCTGTCTCTCCTGCTCAAGTCTCTTCCTCGTCTGCTCGTTCAACTCTCGTTGTTTTCTCGGCAGCACATCCTCTTCCGTTGTCCTTTCAAAATTCTTCACTTTCTTCTCTCTTCTAGCTCGTCCTTTCCCTCGTTCCATCTCCATCTCCCGCTCCTCACTGCTACTGCTAAGGCTATTATATGCCCTCGTGAGAGTTCCGCCACCCTCTTGTTCTAGGCGCTCTACCACGTCGAGAACAGATGCCATAGAGGCTTGTGCGGCCTTGTAGGCTTTGCCTTGTAGACAAGAGACAGAGAGTTGAAAGGCCAGATATGGGCGTAAAAGGTCAAGGGAGGAGCTAGCGGAAGCCGTCTTTACGTTTACATCCTGACCTGTAGACTTTGGATGGGTACCGGCGTTTTTGGTTGTGGTGTGGCGTGGAATGAACTCATGTTCTGACTCGCTGTCAATGTCTATGCCGGTACTAGGATGGATACTATACGGCTTGATTCTGGAATTCAACGTCTTGGAACGTGTAGTACGAATAGTGGAACTAGGTGGAGACGATTTATGTTTCTTCGTTACTGAAGCCTTTGTTGTTGATCCTTGAGTGCGTCTCTTTGGCTGCGCTGCGATTTTCGTTACCTCTGCCATGCCATCTTCGTCTTGCTTGATGTTTACTATGTTCTCTTCTTCATCGCCCATGTCGCGCAGGCAGACTTTAGCATCAGGCGCTTGTTGGTTGGTTTGAGGAGTAGATGTCTTCTCTACCTCGTTTTCGCCTAACTTTATGGATGTTATCGATGCACGGAGTGATTCAACCGTAGATCCGCGTTTCGTAGCCACCCTATCAATGATTTTGCGAGATGGAAGTCGAGGACGCCCTTTAGTAGCTCGTGTACGAACCATGGTAACCGTTTAGCTAACGTGATATTGGGTAGGTATTCACGTTACGGTAAGAAGAGTTTACGACCGCCAGAAATGTATGTACTTTGCATTATCGCTGCTGGAAAGCGGGCACTAGATATGCGAGGCAGACAAAGAACTGCCATGAAACGGTATCCCTTGAAAGAGGGGTATAAGAACAAACTTCAGCCTGGCTGGCAAACTGATGCGAGGTATGATTGGTACCTAGGTATGCCCAGGCGTAGTCTTGCAAGACCGATGTCAAAGAAATGATTATGGTGCGATTACGGAAGACTCTCGTACTACCCATGACGACCAAACTCTAGTTCTCAGATTCAGTCGGCATTGTGTCGCATCAAGAAATCGTGCAAGCTCGTCAACGCTCCATCCGTATCTTTGTCCCCACACCATTACGCGCTTAGTCGTTCTTATCTACCGCCTCTGTCTACTTCCTCTTCCTCTTATTCTTCTTCTTCTCCCCCTTACCACCAGCCTTCTTATCTCAGTCCTTGTCTCCCTCACCTTCCTGATAGAATTCTCCTGCCCCAGAGTGTGTCTTTTCAGGAAGCCTTCCCACAGTCTAGCAACTTCGAAAGAGTCCCTGGCAAGGTTACTGATCTTGGTTGTCATTTCAAGTGTTGTGGATCCTTTACCCCTGGCTTCAGTGATAGATGTTGGCTACGGGGCAGGTGCTGGGTACTCGCCATCTGATGCATTGTCATCTATGTCTGCATCTGAAGATTTTGGATCAAAGATCTTGGTTTCGGCTTCAGGCTTCTGGATCTTTGAAGGGGGCGCTTTGCTTGGCGCCTTCTTTTGGCTTGCTTTGCTGGGCTTTCCCATCTCCACGGTAGATGCTACCCTAGCCTTAGGTGGCGCAAGTATCTTACCATTGTTTTTGATCTCGTTAGAACTCTCAGTATCCTCTTCGGATGAGCTCTCGCCGTCAATCTCGCTAGAAGTCAGCTGACTCTCTATCTTCTTGTTTCCTTTTACCGCGGAGGGCGACCTGATTCCATTTTTGAGTTTGTATGAGTCTTCATGTAACTTTTCGGAAGATTTCTCGTTCGCGGAGTCGACACGATCGTCAGATTTGAGAATTATGCATTCTATCATTAAAGCAGCGAGGTCGGTTAAGTGGATTGGAAAGGGCGATAGGAACCGAGCAACGGTGATAGCCATAGCTCTAATATTTGGTAAAAGGGTTTGCTTGGGAATCAATCTAGGAGCAGTTGTGACAAGGGAGCAATACAGAGACCAGCAATGATGCCTGTGTATGAGTGCTTCTGGCAGGCTGTTGAAGACACTAGTCTCGTGGTTTGTAGTTGCGCAAATGTTGGTGTACGACAACCACCATGAATGTGACGACCGAGAATAGAAAACGCGGCAAGCGATGCAAAAAAGATGCAAGTGATAGTTGGTCTTTATTCAAGTGAAACAAAAGTGTGGTAGAAAGAGTATAATTATAGCATTACGGTGGGTATACAAATAATATCACGTTAGATGACGACTTTCGATACGATGCAAAAATTAGGAAACAAAAACAATGCAGCGCCAGATGCTGTGTTTAGAGAAATCATCATGGAGAAGCAGTGCAGCCACTATACTCTCCATGCCCCGCGCGACCACTATTGCCAAGTGCTCACAAAGGCATATTTGGCAAAATTGCACCACCTTGAGAAGCAAGCGGATCAGCAGAAGGCTGCTTAGTGACCGTTTTGACAGCGTTCTCCTTGTACTTTGCGAGCGTCTTGTCTGAATTGAAGTTCTGGTTGATAACACCACTCATGCCTTTCTGGCAGTGGTTGCCGTTCGTCTGAGAGCAGTAGTACCAAATCGGACTTTTGTCTAGCACCATGAAGGTGAAGACATTTGGCGCCTCGCCTGCAGTAGTGTTGAAGTTGAAACCAGAGAAGATCGCGCTGTCCCCACTGAGAGGCTCGCATGGCTTGTCGAAAGAGGATTGCACAAAAGTGTGGGCTTTAGGGAGGAAGTGGAATTCCATCAGATCGCCAGGTTCGGCGACGACGTTCTCAGGCTCGAAATGAAGGCCATTGTTGGCGGTCGTAGAGCCGGCGAAGACGCGATGTATCACACCGGTAGACCGAACTGGTTGTGCTGGGACAGCAGCAGTGAGACCGATGAGCGTGGCGGCTGCCAGGGTAATGGATGTCAAGGTAACCATATTAAATGATGGGTTGATATGTTGCAGAGTTGTAGGGCTGGTAATGTGGTAATGTGGTAATGTAGAGACTAATGCGGTGACCACCGAGATGTACGAATGAGCTGTTGGATTCGATCGATGATGATAAGAACGTATATGCTATGGCATAAATGAAGTGATGAAGATGCTGTGGTGATGAGCTTGACGAAGAAGAAAGTACCCAGCTATGTACTGGTCCGATAAACTCTATCACGGATCAAATGCTCTACATGTTCTACACATAGCCCTCGGATGGTGATGCTGCCGTTTGGCGGTAAGCTGTGCCATTCTTGCCGTGCTGTGTCGCTAAGTTCGTCAGCTCAGCCTCAAGCTCTCTACATGACAAGAACATAGGGAGTAGTATAGCAGCAAGCCGAAGATAGACAAGCACAATCTTACTCAGGCCACTTCGGACCTAACGTGTTCCAGTGATTGCTAAACAGAGACCCAGTGAGCTTCTGGCAGCCCCGCTAAGGCCGCCGAAATGGCTGACCCAGGGTCCGGATTTCATCGTGGCGTAGCTCTACTGTGAGAGAAGCACATGTAGCGCATTTGTCAAATACCTGCTACGGGACTCGGACAAGTCTTGTGCAGTAGGAGTTCGGGCGTAATTACAATGTTGACTACGCTTTGTGGTGTTGGTTGTTGTTGATTGAACATGTTCCGATTCCGCCTTTGATTGTGATCTTGTATCGACTCCTCTTGGCGGAAATTCGTGGGGAAGGAATGGCGTAAGCAGCAAAAGTGACGACTGTGCCACAAGAACACACTCCCTTCAGCTGCTAAATGGCCTTGGTACTATTTGAAACCATTGACTATTTTTGGGTTTGAAAGAGCGCTTATAGATATTGAGGGCTACACGCCGACAGGTCTTTTCGCTGCTCAAATTCCCACTTCGCCACCCAATACAACATCGCTTGTGGTCTGCAAAAGTCAGCGCATATTACGCGAAATGGAGTATTACGGTTGTTGATGCAGCGATACAAGTCCCCGTGGTAATGGAGACAGCGCACACAGCAGGCAGCCCCGCAGCAGATCTATCGCGAGACCCTCAACGTCCGTGCGCAGCACTCGTACCAAGAACACCACCACCATCACAGATGTATCTAAATTAGTTCAATCTTTTGTTACTTAGTCATAAATCCTATTCTAGGGTTACAGTGTGTACTTCGAAGTCTCAGGGCAGTCGCCTAGCGGATGTGCTGAACGTGCATGGATTGCGGAGACTGGGTGCTAAAGGCCGCTAGTAGGGTAAGACGAAGACATACCTTGAGGTCCTAGTCGAACTCGTGAAGGCGGGGCTGCTGTCTGTCCTTACAATGGTGGTGAATGCTGGTGTGTTTTTCCCCGGGCGCGAAAAAGGATATGAAGGCGGCGGTGAAGAGAAATGTAAGTGTGAGTGGGTGAGGCGGTCAAGGCATGTTAATACATCTTGAAGATAGCCTGGATCAAAAAAGAAAGCAAGTCGTGCTTGAAGTTTCCACACCACCACCACGCTGTAGTGGTGTGCGAAGTCATAATTGCTTTGCCGGGTATCGGTGAGCATTGGTCACCGTGCGGGGGGATGGGCCATGCCAAATTGAGTGTGCTGAAAAGTTTCATTATTTTCTTCTCTTGAGAAGAACGCCAATACATGCTAGCTCATGACTGCGGAAAACATCGAAAGAAAACATGCTCTATCAAAGACAACCCGCTTACATGCAAGCAGCGCCGTCAATGCCAATGACCTTTCCATTGACCCAGTCACCGTCTTGGGAAGCAAGGAAGCAGACGACGCGGGCGATGTCTACTGGCTGGCCAACACGGTTGTGAGGGGACCATGTGCAGGCGTACTCGTCGACCTGGTCGTCGGTGAGCTTGTCACCACCGGGAATGTACTCGCGGCACACGGCGTGGTACATGTCGGTTTTGATACCACCGGGTGCAACGCAGTTGACAGTGATCCTCTTCTCGCCAGCATCTAAAGTCTCGTCAGCAGATAAAGCGGTGGTGAGAATGATGTGACTTACCGATAGCCATGCACCTGGTGAAGGTCTCGATAGCACCCTTTGAGCCGGAGTAGACAGCGTGCTTGGGTACACCCTTAGCCTGACCAGTGATGGATCCCATAAGGATGATGCGACCACCCATCTCCATTCTCTTGTAAGCCGCCTTAGCAACGAAGAACTGACCACGGGTGTTGATGGTGAAGACACGGTCGAACTCCTCGGGTGTGACGTCCTTGAAGTGACCGAAAGAAACGACACCAGAGTTTGAGCAGCAGATGTCGAGCTTGCCGAAGTGGGCAACAACGTCGTCCATTAGCTTCTCAGACTCCTCGACGTTGCCAACATTGGCCTTGAAGGCAGCGGCATCTGAGCCGTTACCAAGAGCCTTGATCTCCTTAACGACCTGCTCAGCACCCTCGACGGCATTGGCGTAGTTGACGGCGACCTTTGCGCCACGCTTGGCCAGCTCAATAGCCATAGCCTTTCCGATACCACGGCCTGAGTGGTTGTTAGTATTGTAGATAGAGATTTTAGATGTGCTAGAGCATACCTGAGCCGGTAACAACAGCGACCTTGCCGGCAAGGCTCCATGTCTGCTCGATTGAGGCCATTGTGAAAGTGTTTAAATGGTTGTTTGGTGTTGGGTTGAGGGTTGGAGTGTAGAAGTGGTTGTGGTAGTGGTGATAGTAGTTGTGATGATGGTTTCCTTTCACGGTCAAGACAACGACATATATACCCTTTCGCTATTCGGAACTCCAGCGGAGACCGCGTTCAATGAGTAGCTCTTTTGCATCTAACCCACCACCGGTATCCCAACATCCATACGATCCCCCCAACTCAATGCCTCCGGTTCGGCACATAGCATCGCCCCCAAGAGTCGTGAGTCCTAGGGCTGAAACAGTGTGTACCTGCGCCGCACCTGTCCCGTAGTGTGGTCCCCGTCCCCGTAGGAGAGCCTGAGCCTCAGGGACAAACTTCGGACAGAGGGGCCGAAGAGTACAGGGGCACTCGTCATTGGTCGGCTCGCGAGATACTAAGGCCGGCCGAGCAACAACAAACTTCCAGGGCCTCTTCGTGAAGCGCCTGTCCGTTTCATGACATCGAAACATCTTTTTTTGTCAACTGCGAGTAATTTTGGCATCCCATTGAGTTTTGTCGGTGAAGCACCAGGCATGACGATGTGAGAGATCCGCATTTGGCACTGGAGATGACTCGCAAGGCTGGTGCGACGCCGACGGCATCGAGACATCTATTTTCGCATCCTCGGATGTCCGCAGTTGACAGAAAGTATCTACTTGGAGCTCATGCATCGTGCTGTGAAGCGTGCAGAATGGAAGTTCGCTGTCGACGACTCCGTCCATCGTAAGCCCTAGGCCATGAATGTTCCTGATGACCCGACACGGTCATGTGATTACCCGAAGTAAATTCCTGGAAGGTTTAGCCTGCAAACTCACTCAGGGTTCGGCAGGACCTCGATGCCTCTCAACACCACAGTGTCCTGGAACCTCAATGGCTCCCCATGCACCAACGGTCATCATGGATCTCTTGGCACCGTGGACTCCGGACGCAATCCGGTAAATGAGAGTGTATTACAAGTCGGCACGAATCCGCAGCTAGGTGTCGCAATCAACGATGTGCGCTGCCGGCTTCCACAGCGGGGATCCGCCGATGTCTTTGTTGTCTGTGCGTATTCCACCTCACTTCATCTTCAGGAGTGTTGTACTGATGAATGAGAAATCTAGGCTGTGAATAGCGAGCTGACTGCGTCCTAATATCGAGTTTACGGATCGTTCGAAGATAAGAATCCTGCGAGCAAATTAAAAAATTTAGAAACGAGCCACCAGAACCGAGCATGTACGACGACGACGCATCTCAGTCTTTATCCAAATTACATACCTGGATTACAGCACAATATGGCTGAGCGCTTGCGCGCGATATTCAGTGCTTGCAGGCTTCATCCTTTAAGCGGGAAAGGGTTCGCCGGCCATGTTGTGTCTTATTAGTTGTATGCGTCGACCCAAAGATCCAAACCATGCGCATATCCACCACGTTTTATTGGCCTTTTCGTGCCGAATATGGATCGCCATTATAAGACGAATTGTCAATGCGGCGCCCAGATATCCAGCGCTTGCTAAAGTTTCGGAAGCTTTTTGTGTAACGCTTCGGTTCGTGCAGATGCTCCTTCGTACTAGCAGAAGGTTAATGATCCAAGAAAGCCACTTGAAGTCGACCATAGTCCGCTAAAAGAGTGCTGAGTAGAAAAGGTGCTTGGGTGGTATTGCTCGTCAGAAGGAGCCACGCGTAAAGAAGCCCAGCATTGGTACTTTCGCATCATGCTGCCAACACGGCGGGACATGGCGGATGATCCTATGTCACAATTGCATCATTCGTCAAAGACCATCCAATGTTGAAGACTATCTGTCCACTAACCAGTAAGGTTGAAATCTGATTGCTCAGAGACTTTGAGACACATTATCACCGTACGAATCACTGGCTCATAAGTGCTTCCCGGTCTGAACAAGGGGTAGTGTAGTAATCTCAAGGAGCTCTTTTGTGGAGTTGTCGAAGCTATACCTGAATTGTTTCGTTTTCCCCTCAGTCCGTTTCCCGTCAAGCACACAGTGGCGAAAGAGGCTGTCGTTGGGCCCTCCACGCGACCGTCTGCCAGATCGCACCGTGCTAATGCATCATATCTCGGGACGATCTTGCTACTCATTGTTGAATCCTCGCATTTGTTGTCATGGTATTTTGATAATGGGGTGGTTTTCTTCATTGCCAAAACAGACATGTTGTGACTGACCGGGAACCTGGAGTGATACTAGATCTCAACAGAGATTTGTCGAATGCTACGTAGGGCTTGGGTAACATGAAAAAGATTCTCTGGCCACAAACCGTTCGGATACTACCCGGTAAGTCCCCGATGCTTAAAATCAAGCTCGGCTGGCATACGGAAGTGCATTGATCGACACTAGGCATGTCTTCGACGAGAATAGCGCCCCCATATCACTACATCCACCACGATCTTTTGATAGGGTGTAAGCCACGAACGGCAATAAAACTCTCCGATCCACCGACCGTTCTATGGAACTCACGAGGGGTCACTCGCATGTTCACCACGCTCTGACGAGTGATATGCATCAAAGTCCAATGGCACGGTCCAGGTTTCCTGGAAGCTACGGCTATCGTGCGGGCATCCGTAGGCTTGGCATGATCCTCGTATTAAATATGCAGATTGGTGCAAATGCCATTGATCTGGGTACTTTGATGCTGTAAATGGTCTTTCATGTCGTAGGTTATTGGGATGTGTAACGATGTCCGCTTGGAACCGAAGTATTCTAACCGCTGTGCATTCGAACAGCCAGTCATCTCAATTAGGGCTGCATATGTTGTCTCTAGACGCGAGTGACCACGTTGAACGCGTAAGCTTGTCAAGCAATGATCCTGCAGGAGGAGGCTTAGTACCGGCTTTCTGTCATTGTGATACCGAAGCATACTGTATATACCCAACCCTCAACCAAACGGCCAGAAGTAGTCTGTGTGGTAGCTGCATCGGGTAAGGACCGTCATTCTCCGAACATATTCAGGGCTTACGAAGTCCACATCAGGCGGCGACTGTAAGGGAGCGTTACCACTTGTTCGGATGTGATGACGGGTTTGAAGATATCAGCACGGCTACAGGGGGGTTCATCGAGACAAAGTATGACCTGGATACAGCGGCACGTCCATAGTGTGACGAAGTACTTGCATAGCGTCCGGCGAAAGAGGAGAGGCGAAGTGACTAGGTGGAAGAGAGAGAGGTACGTGCCTCGATACACCTTGCAGCTCCTACATTGTTACCACTGCCCATAGAAGCATAATGCAGGCATGATACTACTCAAGTCGAGTCAAGAGGCCCGAACATGACACACTAGCTCTTTCGACTTCCTTTGATCCTTTTTGTTCTTTTCATTCAGAGTTTCCGCTGCTCTCGTATCTTCGCATACAATGGATATGCGTCCTTGTAGGGTCTATCTGTCACAGACGGCACATGATTTGAACACCCCGCCGCCGTAGTGCCGCCCTTACACACACACCACTCGCACTCTTAGCCGACCCCGCCATCAAGCCTTCGATTGCGAAAAACACCAATTACCTACGCAACACGACCCATGCCCTGCTTGCACTTGAAACACACACGCAGGTTAGGGGAAAAACGAAGCAATGAAGACACCGGCAGACAGCGATGACGGAGGGGCTTGGCGGGATGAAAGGTTATATGCGTTGCACATCAGCCGTTACGCATACACTCATCATACCCTCACCCATCGTGTTACAGAGAAGCCTGAATTCACCATCGCGACGTACAGAGGTTCTGTCTTGAGTTCAAGACCACCTACGGATGGACGTGATCAGCATACTTTCACGGGTAGCTCTGCAGAGGAAACACCTACCTTCTTCTACAAGCCCTTCGAGAGGCTATCGAAAGCACGTAACACCCATCGTCGACAACAGCCTGCTGGGATACACACGTTTGCCATTCCCATAATCGGTAGGTACCATTTGATCATCATGTCTATGTACTATATATTCATGGACTGCGTCGCAGTCGATTCAGATGACCGCATTCCAGGCACGACGCCAGTCAGCAACCGAGACGAACATCACTCGACGCCGACGCTATGTTTATGCCTTTGAACGCCAACCAACGCTTGGAACCTCGCGTGTAGCCCTCCGAAGCATCCTGGGACCCTGATGAAACTATGCCGAAAAGAGATGGAAAGAGACAGATAACGATGAGATGAAGAACACCAGTACACCCGCTAATACATCATGCGCTTGTACTGGTACGATAAGAGGAGGAGAGAAGAGAAATAATGGAAGTACGGTGTTAACCCCGCGCAAGCTTCTCGAGTTTACTACGAATGCCATCGGAAAATCGGGTAGCGACACCATCGTCAAGTACATCGATACAATGTGACAGGACAGCGAAACCATTATCCAGTGGGACAGGGTTTCCGTCGCGCTTGGTCAAAGTAGGGATACCATCCCTTCGTGACATGTACCTCAGTATCGTTGGGTGGTCAGCAGGGAGGCGGTCCACAGAGAAAGCAGCATTAGACGTTTGATACGTTCCTTGGTGGTTGTTGGGGCTCAAGGACTCGCTATGAGCGAGCGAATCAGTCCAGAAGACCAACCCTGCCCGATAGACAGCACCAGCCCACCACGGCGGGCGAATGCCTTGCGGCATCTCACGGATGAGACGAAGTACTTGGCCAGCGTGGGTGATAGCCTCCTGCACATCCGACAAGCACTTCTTGTGCATCCACATCATCTGCTGGTATGAGCCGTCCACGCCCTCTCGTCGCGCGAGACGTTCAATCTCTGGGAAGTTTGATACAGCATTCATGCTGATAAGATGGAACATGACGAGGTTGGCTTGCATCATTGGACACACTGGGTTCGCCTTCATGTACCGTTGCGCTAAGTCGAACCACCGCCCCAGTAACGCCTGCACCTCTTCTAGACGTACGCGAGTCGAAGCAGCTGTCAGTGCCCGATTTCGCGATCGAGAGGCCACGCTATCGGAAAAGCAACTGAGGAGTTGGCAATACTGGCACACCAGAGTCTGCAAAGGATGAAGCAGCAGCCGCAGGTGCATTGGGGTCAGATGAATCTCTTGGACATCCTGAACGACTATCTCGTCATCTAGGAAGTAACGGAAGAGATCTCTCAGACTCGGTGGCCTTGCTCCAGACCCTACCGAGGAGTATCCATTCGAGAATTCATGGACTTGGTTGAACATCTCCGACCACTCTGAAGCGGTCTGCGCCTGCCAGAGTTGATCTGAATCAGGCATTGGCGCACCAAACTCTGTTACCGAGAATAGAGGAGCGGTATCGTGGAAGAGAGACAGGTCTTGGTCTACCATAACCCAGGAGTAGATGAGGCTGCACAATATTAGTAAGTGTGCACACGTGACTGTACCGAGGTTTTCAACACTTACCGACTGCGGCTTTCTTGCTGAAGCCAGTCCTTCCACAACACATCCGTCGACGTGTTTCCATTCATATGAGGTGTGGTCGGCGGCCGAACATCTAGGATACCGGAGTGTCGTAACATGGAAAAATACATGCCGCGCTGACCCATGGCAATGTCCATCTGCCACTTGTCGCCACTCCACGCCGCTTGGACAGTGAAGAGAAGGGCTGCCCGCAGGACGATAGGATCGCCAGCCATGATAATGTTCTTCTCGATGAGGTCGAAGAGCGATATCCGACATGCCTCAGTGAAGCCACCAGTCAGCCATCTCGCTTCTATGGACGGAATAGTCATGGCGCCCTGCGCAATCATCATGAGAATGAGCAAACTTGATGCCTTGTCATTGTAGTTTTGCATCAGTTCGTTGGCGTCGAGAACACCTCTAGCGGAGGTAGGATAATACCTTTCGAAAGAGTTGGCATACGACTTGAGGAAGTACTCCAGTACGCGAGCAGGCGGAAGAAGAACGAAGTTAGAGTGCGAGGCCGTGGATCCCGGAGACTCGCCACTGCTAGATGAACTGCTTCCATCCTTATGGATGTCCAGAGCCTTGTGAAGAAAGCTTTGGGTGATGGCGAGGAGTTTGTCTCGTGTGGCTTCATGTAGTTTCGATACGGCTATTTGACCACCTTGCTGAAAGTCGGATTCGTCCCATGATGGGGTCCAGTTAGCCCAGCCCTCGTGGTTCTTTAGACTCAACTCTAGTCGCTCAAGATTCAGCCTTGCAGTTCGCGGGCATGAGCTCGAAGCGATGGAAGGAGTGCAACGGAAAACCGTCCAGCCATCTTGAGCCGCAATGATGGCGCCAAGATCGGGGATGCCGGCGTCGGCTATTGAAGAGTGTCTGTTGGAGGGGTAGAACATCGAAGCCGAACTGCCAATCTGCAGGTCTGAGAAAGATTCATCCACCATGCGAGGAGTCTGGACAGGCTGTCCAAATGTCTGCGCAGGTGACATTTCGGGTATCATACCGAGAATGCCGTCCTGGGGTGGTCCCATAGTCATATCCATGCCCATGGTCATTATCAGCGAGGGGTCAATTCGCATGGGATCAAAACTCGTATCCATAGGCATCGAGTGCCATGGATCCATGATGAATTGCGGGCTCTCATTGTCTGACTGATCGCGCACTGTCCTTACAAAGTCGTCGTATCCGGACATGGGTGTTGAGGAGACAAAGCTATTCATGCCCGTAACCGGTGTAGGAAGTGGTGAGAGTAACGATGACGAATGAGCAAGCCCGTTAGAAGGGGACTGATCGAAAAACGGTGGTGTATTCGAGATGGGCATGTGGATGTGAAGCGACTTTTCCTCGGGATTTATGTGTGGTGGTGGTTGTACTGGGTGTGAGATGGAAGGATTCCGCGAGTGGGGCGCTGAGGGCGATTGCGATTGTCTTTGTGACGGAGGTTGGCTGTCGGACACCTGGGCAGGCTGCTGGATTTGAGACGGTGACGACTGTGCGGTTGCTTGTTTCGGTTGGCCATCGTGGTTTGGGGAGACATTCCCGGATGTATTCTGGTTATCAGCGTTGCTACCACTCTCGCTCGAGTCACCACTCCCTGCCTCAGGAGGACCTCCCACTCTCTGGACGCCTTTGGATGCTCGCCGTGTAGGACGTAGAGTACACTTCAGATTCCTTTGAGCGCACCGGGTGCACGGAAACTTCTTGTCGCATTTCGTCTTTGTCTTTGCACAATTACTGCAGGCGATGGGTGTGCGGCCGGCGGACTTGGGTATTATCCCTTGCGGTGGGAGACCCTCTTCGTTGTTCTGGTTGCGGCCGTGTACGGTATAATGTCTTTGCAAAAGATCTCTAGAAGGGTCGTCAGCATTTCGTTCCATATGAGAGGTACCACCAGGCGAGAAAGAGCAAGAAGGATAGGACTTACCGTCGAGCGAAGCTCATATGGCATGTAAAGCATTTGAATGGCTTGACGTTGGTGTCTGTTTGGCAGTGGTGGTCAGTGGGGAACCTACGGAACGATCGGTTCGTAGTTGGCACTGCGACAACCAATTTGGAAGGACAAACGAAGGTCGACTTACGAGTTAGGATATGTCGTTCGAGATGCTCGTCTCTGGTGAACGACTGTCCACAGTATGTGCAAAAAACCATCTTGGAGTTTGGATTGGACGTGTAGTCCTAGAGAAAGTGCGGCGGGAGATGTTGTTCGACACAACCGTGGTTGACCGAGATTTGGTAAGAGCAGTGCGGGGAGATTGTGCTGTACCGAGCTTCAGAAAGAGAACAATGCCATAGACTACAGGGCGGGGATGTCAAGGAAGAAGAGTGTTTGGCAAGGTTCAATCAAATGGGATTGAATCGTGGAGTAGTAGGTCCGAAGTCCGGTTAGTCCTGGAAGGTCTCTAAAACGGGGCGGACATGGAGACCAGTTTGGAGCTAGGTAGAAATAGCAGACGTCAAGTCGATAGCAAGACGTTTTCGTTGGGATGTCAGACGGAAGCCGTGATCGAGAGGGCTGTGGAGCTGACTGCAGAGGAGGTCGACTAGCAGTGGTCTGAGAGAGACAAGCTCAAGATCAGGCTTAGTTGTACCGCTGTTGTTGAGCAGGCTGAGTACGCTCGAGCGGGCGAAAAGAGATGTATAAAGATAGAAGATTATCACGGGAGGGGAGTCGACGTGGGGAAAGGTATTTCTCGAGATTTGAGTACGTATAGAGGTAGGCAATGTAAGAGCGGGTTTGACTAGCGGCTTTTCCCAACAGGGAGTGTTGATTATGCATCTGAGCGACGATGAATTCATCAATTGGGGAGGGATCCAGCTGCACGAGAGGATGAGCTAGTGCCTCGCAGTTACATGCAGCGAGCCAGGCTCTTGGGTGGGTCGAGCCTGACCCGGTTAGCCCAAGATTTGTTTGAGCGACCAGGGGCATCTGCACGGCGTTGATAACAAGACTCAGCAACAACAGGGATACATCATGGAGATCTGCGCCGCGGACTAGAATGGTGGAGGGGAGGCCCAGCGTGGTGGAGGTTCGTGCTGAGAGTGACGGGGGACGAGCGCCGAGCCCGCGTCAGCCACAAGTCCGCGAACCGAGCGCTGGCGCATCGCTCCCTGGAAAAAGACAGCGAGACACCCGTACACCCGTAATGTATTCTGCAATACGGCAATATTACTGCCACGATCGGCACCCGCCCACACATCGAATCAGCACCAGCGGGGCCCTTGGAGCTGCCTGTAAGATACACCAATGTCTCTATATAGACGCCTCCGAGCAAACCACTCACGTTCCTGGCAGCGGTGAGCTTGCCTCAGCCCTCGTTGCGAGCGATACGAAGCCTTTCGCGTCTTCATACTCGCGCGGGTACTGATGGGCGGCGCACACGAGATAACACAGCGGCATGTCAGCATCACGCGGCTGAGTCGTGGCTGACAGGTGCCCGACTCTGATCATGAGAAGCTGTCTGCTCGTCTCTGAGCCGCAATATAGTTTACCATCTCCGTCCGCGGCCACTAATAAACTCAAAGATAGAAGTCTTCTGTACCTCGTCCGAGACCATTGTCGTTCGATTTGTATCGAATTTTGGGCAAGGTTCACGTTTGCATGGTCACTGCGACAGTGGCTCTACGCCAACCGAGCACCCCACTTCGATTCGACGCTTACACGGTTCGCTCAGACACTCTTACTCTGTCCCCATACTTCAGTGGGTCGTCAACTGTTTGGAACGGTGAGCCGAATGCGTCACTGGCGCTGGCGCGGCTAAGATTATCGCGGGCGCCATGGCAAGTTTGAGTAGCGTCCTGCTTTGCTCGTCCTACTGTTGCAGCACGTGATCTTGGAACACAAAAAGTGGTTCTATTACAGCTTCATCTTTAGTCAACGCAGGTCGCTTTCGAGTTGGCAAGGCGGTGCGTTTGACACGTCTGAATGCAGTTTTCCACCTTTAGTCACAAGCTGCTTGCTCACCGTCAAAGTCTGTTGTATTCAACAGTGAATTGCTTTATTCGGCGATCAGTTGCGGTCTACTTTGACAGCTTTCACTTCTGCTTTTTCGTCTGGTCGTGACTGTAACCAAAGTTCAATGGGCGGTCACGGTCGGGCACGAATCAACAACCGGCCCCGGCTGTACCTAGACACTGGCGGCATGCCGCTGAGGCTAACGTCGCGAATGCACTACCCAGTCAGGGTGTAATCTTCACTCCTGTTACCTCATTTCTCCATGATGCAAACGATATTGGAAGTACTCCGCAACGCCTAATCACGCCATATATGTAGACATGCGCTGGTCGCACGACAGAGGCTACCTGAACATTGCAAGCAGATGGCAAAGATCTACATGTCAGTCCAATACTTCCAATTAAGAGGCAGCAAGTGTCGCAATTCCAAGCAACGTACCAAATGCGGGAACCCCACGCCAGCCCTAAGGCTGATCTCGACAGATACAGGGTGCTCGAGCCAAAGGATCGGCCGAACAAGGTTTGGCCTACGATTTGCTTCCGCTTCTGTTCTAAGTCCTGCGCCACGCAGCATGGACCGGTTCGCGAAGATACGAGAAATAGTATCCACGGAGAGATTACTGTGTTGCGACTCGAAACGTCAGACCAGTATGGAGAATAATTGCTCAGAACGTCATTCGCAAAATCTAGGCATCCAGCACCTGAAACTGTTTCGATTTTATATAGCCCTCGCAGTCGCGTCGTGAGTCGTTCAACCCCACTGATGTTTTGAGCACGGCCGTCAGCAATTCGAAACTATTGTTTCGTGTCGACCATTGCCTCATAATGGCGCACGCGAGCGAAAAGTCTATCAAGTCATATCACACACTGCAAATCCACTTTTTGCAAATCTCGTCTATGCCCCTTACCTCACTCCCATCAGGACACCTGAAGACTGATCGTCGCGGTCCGTGACGCGTAAAATCTAAATTAAGTCCAATCAAGAACACGAGACTTCTTTTAAAGTGCGATGGTGTAGAGAAGCAGAAGCGAACCCGTTTCTCAGGACGCGACATGCCATAAATAATCTGTTTCCTCAGGGCTGAATTGTACCAAATTGCGTGCAGCCCTAAGCGCGTGAGATCGCTCCTTCGAAATTCTACTGGCATTACAGTCTTCGAGCTCGCTGTTCATTGCATCATTACGAAGTGACGTAGGGTAAGAGACCGAGTTCGCTCTGGTGGCTTGATGGCTTGGGGTTCCTCTTCGTATGATGACGGCGCGTGGAGGTTTAGCCAGCAGCAGTACTAAGAGTAACCAACGACTCAGCAGCAAGCTCATGTTCTGGTTACCAGACCCTGACTCGAGTTGCAGAATCTCAAAGTCCCATGAAGAATGCTATTTTAAATCCATCTCAGTACCGAATATGCATATGACAAGCAGGCTATCTTCAGCAGAGTGGGATGATCTTCACTCGCAACATCCATGGATGGCATCCGGTAGCGTACGATAAGGATCATAGGGCTACGGATTAGGCCGACGCTGTACGCCTATCGTGAACGTACCGCTTTGAGGCACAGCTAAGCCGTGTCAGCCTCTAGCATTGAGTTTCGTATCGTATGCGATACCTTTGAACGAGCAGCTTATGATCGTCACGAAATCTCCGTGAACTCCCATTGGACGGAGATGCAAAGCGGGAGCGGAGGCCTGGTGGACTGTCTGCCGAGAGATCCCGCTGTGGAGAAATTGCGCGCCTATCAGACACTGAGACACTGCTACAACGTGGATAGGCAAGATTTTCAGTGTACCGGTTCCCCGTCCGGCACGTGTCACTGACTGCTGCCGGTCTCAGGACCGCTCACTTGTTGACCGTTTGGGGCTTTCCACGATAAGAGCAACACGACCACCACGGTAGTTTCACACGAAGAAGATGACAGCATTCCCAGCAAACCATTCGCAGTGATCATCGATGACGATCATGCAGGGCTTATGTACAAAAATATTGGTGGCCCCGTAGTCGTGGCCAATTAGCATTAGCGTTCTCAACGTTTGCGCTAGCAGAGTGCAAACTCCCCTCATTCCAAGATTCTGGGGATCTACATCATCAGCCATCTCAAACGGCAAGCCGCAAGGAAGGGTCGACAACAGCAACCAAGCAATGCGCCGAAACGTCTCCCAAGGAATGCGAAGTAGCTCAAAGATTTAGCCTACGGGCGGAAGGCACCTTCGGTTAGACTTTTTCCTCTGGAGACTCAACAGGCCGCCAGAAATCACACCACTTGCTGCGCATCCGTCAGCTGTAACGCAACCATACTTTGGATGTATGCAACGCGACACCAAAACAGATTGTGGTAGGTTCGCTCTCGCTTCAAACTCGCACCTCCGATCATGTCTTGTCGCGCAAGGAGTTCCTAGATGATTACTTGCAGCTGGAGGAGCTCCGTGAGCCGCCGGAGTACCGCATCGTTGTTCGGCATTATTTCCGTCCAAACAACCTTGTACATTGTGCGGAAGCCCTATCGAATTCATTAGCATGACTGACTACGCCTACCAAGGAAAGGTCTCGCGGCTGTTATACTTCCGCGAGTTCGCGCTACTAATCGAATGCACGTCTAGGTGTAATATGTTCGTTGACTATCGGCCCCTAAGCATCACTTCATCTCACTATTCTCCACTATTTTTCCGATCACACTGGGAGGCGGGACATGATGGCCACCAGCCTCTGGCTGAGCTTACGGCTCAGCATTGCGGTTCCATGTTATGGGCATGGCGCAGCTTCTCACTCAGCAGGACCAAAGCCTCACAAGATAGCTCCCGTTGCTAGGCGCTCGCTAATTTCGTTGACAGCGGAGGCTTAAGTGACTTGTGGCGTTCGAAGCATATTCTAGGCTTGTTCCAGTGCATTGGTGTATAAGCGATGATGGTATGATCAATACTTACTTCTGCATGTTGGGAACCACGACATGGAGACTCGGTCATTCCCATTGAGCGCATGCGCAATGTTCATAGTTCTTTTCTCTGCTCTTTTCGAGACTACCTTAATCTACTACAAGGTTGAAAACATGGTTCCAATAGGAATCAGATTAAATTAGTAATCGCGGACCTCTTTGAACATTATGTACCTATTCTGACGAGATGTAGCATCCTTCACCCACTTTCCATTGGCTCGGCTGCACTGCACATACCTGCACTCGAGGGACCGTGCAACAACTAATGAT